TAAAAAAAAAGTTACGCCATAATTTACATTCATATAAAATCATACAAAATTACATTCACTACTTTGTTAATAAATCAAATTATATTGTGCAATAATAATAACAATAATAAGTACAATACTTATACAAATAGAGTGAACTCAAAAACTCATATCTTCTGTTTCAAACTGCATCGTGATAGTGGCTAGATAACAGTCTCTTTTCCGCGGAATTGCAAATATAATATGTCTGTTTTATCATCACCACGTTCAAGTCTTTTAATTTTCGTTATTTTTTATTTTAATGAATTGTTATTTTGTTTCACAATAAAGTGTAATATCCGCAAACCCACTTTAGAACATTTTATTCTTTTTAATTATTTTTGGAAGTGGTGGACCTATAACCACGTTTTTAAAATAAATAAAAAATAAAATAAATATAAACACTATGTGAAATAATAGTCAAATTTCTTCTTTCACTGCGGCCATGACGATCCTACAATGTAACCGGCCGCTTTTGCATATTAGCGCACGCATTTTAAGACAAGGAAAGACTACAAAGGAATGCCAAACTAAGAGTTACTAAATAGTATTTCAATATAGAATCAGCTTGTCTCTAATCTTATTGGCTCGCAAGGAACACACATATAATAAAATGAGGTGGGCGCGCGCTTCATTACCTCGTTTGAGTGCAGCAGTCTCTGACGTCACAAACGATCTTCTCACTTCCAATCTTCTCATTTGAATSGTTTTTTTCTTTATCAAAGAAAAACTAAAACGTTTAAAATGTGATAAAACATTCCAAGACGAAAACATCACACTGAAACAAGAAGATGTATAGGAAATTATGGAAACGGAGAAGGTCAACAAAACGCAAATCATACGAATTATCTAGAATCCAGTTGTCAGAAGATATGCTGCGCAGTCAGTATCCCGAGGCGTTCATCGAATCTGTCAGAGGGACTGCGGGGAAAAATTCACTTTATGGTACGATAATGTAGGATTATACGTTTAGCATGCATTCTGAGCCATATGAGTGTTGGTTTTTTAACTATTATTTCAGATCAGCTACCGGATATAGGCGAAGAGTTCATTGCGACGGCGGGCGTTGGATTGAATGCATTTGGGAAAATGCAGCTGTTTCCACTGAGCTCTTTCGACATGTATGATTTAGACCACTTCCCCTCAGCAGGCCAGGCCGCTCTCAAAGAGGTTCATATGGCTCGAACAATGAGAGCTAAAGAGAAGACAATGGATGAACTCAAGTCCATTTTAGGTCGCATAAGCTTCACCCTTGGTAGCTTAAAAGAAACAGAAGAGCCAGTTTCTAGCTTGAGTCCTGACACCCAAGAAGCAATGCAAAAGGAAGAAAAAGCACTTAGAAGAGAAAGGATAAGAAAAAAGATAATAAAGAGAAGGAAAAGACAAAGAGAACTACAAAAAGAACAGAAAATAAATACTCAGCAAGGACCARGAACAGAAAAACTTGAAGACGACAAGAATGACATACAAGAAGGTCAAAAAGGTGAATGGCAAGGTGAAAAGAAGCCGGGCACTGAWGAGATTGATGACGAAGAAGGACGACACGAAGTGACAGATGAAGATGACGACTGGTGTTCACTGAGTTCTGATGAATTGGATGAGTACGATAGTGACTTTAGTGACATCAGCACAGATGAAGACGATAAGCAACTGCAGCCTATTCAGCCCAAGTCTTCAATAGAAAAACTAGTAAGTGTGCAACCATTCGATGCTTAAAAATATCTAGTGGAACTGTTATCTTCTAAATATATTTACAAAAAAGCGCAAGAGGATATTCATGTGGAGATGACTTTCAAAGTCATAATTTAATTAATCAATAATAATAATAATAATAATAATAATAATAATAATAATAAATATTTAATAATCTAATTACTAACCACATGACTAATTATGCTAATATTTGTCTAAATGTCAAGGCAGAGAGACGTCGTCGCACATCAGACGCCATCACCCGTTATTTGGAACGCTGTGGAGAGCGYGATGACTTGATGCAACAAATGCAGASTTGGATGTCTGCAACAACAGCTACTTCTGATAACAAGCCAAATAAAACTTCCTTATTTAAGTCTGAACATAAAACTACTAGCCCTGATTTGCTGGACGATTCTAAAACAGATGACATTGATTTTCGGATCCAAACCTTGAGGGACCTCATGGCAAGGCTGAAATTAATTTCAGATGACCTTGGAATAGGAAAATTAGAAGAAGACATGATTGAAGAAATTCTTATTCCCGATATTGCAACTAAAAAGAAACTATCAACAGCTCACCAAAAGCCAAAGATGGAAGCCAAGGTGTACAACGGTAAGAGATTATCTTRAACCAAATCCATTATTTCGCTGTCTTTAAAAGCATTTTAAATCTGCGTATTTTATAGTCATATATTGTTTATTTACAGAGGAAGAGCTAGTCTTACCCGACAACTTAGCAGCAGCAATTGATTCTTTGATTAAGATTCTCGAAGACGCAATCAAGACAACACCTGCACGTCTTCAACGTATCAGCCTAGGCAATGCTCTGAGGCAGTTTAAATTCATTTGTAAAGTAAGTCCGTATAAATATTGTATGTTTTGTAGAGGTMGCATTCACAGATGCAAAAATRTATTTATTCGTTATTTTAAAAGATAATACAGCATCGTGACGCAAAAATAAATGCCTTGGACAAAGAAGTTTTGAAACTTGGAGGGGATGTTACAAAGAAYAAGAAATTGGTTGAGGAGTTGCGAAAAAACAAGAAGAAACTTTCTGTGAAATGCGAGAAACTAGAGTATGTTGTCGAGGATCAAAAAACYCAACTAGTAAGTAGTATAACGATGATGATGTCGAACTCTATATAATATGTTTTTTGATCACCATTTTGGAATGGAAATGATGCATGGTACAAAATGCTTTGAGTGCACTCTGTCCCAGCAAGCAGATTATTTGCAATGGTAGAGGTAAACCCTAGCTTTTGTACAACYTCGTGAGTCCCARTGATCACTATAAATAATCATTTGTCGCGTATGCAATTTTATCCATTCTTGTCATTCATACTTTCTCATTGTTTCTTGTTTATGCAAGTCAGTAACATCGGCGTCTTTTGCAGCTGGCTGTATATTCACTTGTTGCTAATGTTTTCAATATGTTTAGAAAGCACAAGACAAACAGCTCAGCGATCTAAAAAAATTGGTCGAGGATTACAAGAAAAAAGAAAGTTATGGCTTGTACGATCAATCCAGTTTATCTTCATCTTCAAGTAGCACTTCTCTGTCATCTCAAGAAGAACAAAAAATGAAACCCATCAAGGCGAAACACAAGAAAAAGGCAAAAGGGAAGGTAGCTGGGAAAAAATCGGATAAAAAAGAGAGTGAAAAAGTGACTGAGGTGACTGAAACAAAGCCATCTATGGATAGGACAATCAAGAAAGATGCAAAGAAAGAGGCAGGTCTTGATAAACCACAAGAAAAAGATGGCGAACAGCAGCAAATAACACTGCTTGAGTCACAACCTCCATTAGACGTCGAGAACACAGAGGTGTATTTGGACTTAAAGCAGCAATACGAACAAGCATGCAACGAAGTAGAAATAGAACGAGAAAAACTCGCAGAATCTGAGAAAGAGTTCCTCAACGTCAAGAACGAAAAGGTCTTGGTGGAGCAAGAAAAAAGCGATCTCATGATAGAAATGGAAAACCTGAAAAGGCAGCAAGAAGTAGAGACGGAGGAATTACGGGAYAAGATAGCAAACTTTGAACTTGAAACGAGAAAACTTCGCAGTGAGATTGAATGTAACGAGGAGATGATCCAGTACCAAGAAGATCGTATCAATCAGTATTCAGAMGAAATCCAGGCATTTCAGGAAAAATGGACTGGGCAGTCATTACCAGGAACACCTTCGATAAGCTCCACGTCATTTGCTAAACCGTCACGACGCATGTCACTAAGAAAAACATCAATTGCCGTAGAACCACCAACGGCTCGCCAGATGGTAGCGAAAATCAAGCAACAATATGAGTCAGAAATACAGGGACTGAAGGACTTTTTGGCAAAAGAAAATCAGAGATTTAATGCCGAGGCTAGACGAAAGGAGCAAGAGCACAAGAAGGATATCCAAAATATTCATAAAGAATCCTTACAGGTTTTGAGGTCCATAAATAAATTCAAAGACTACGCTGCCAATCTTCTTGAACGGGAAAGTACGTGTACAAAGTTTGCTTAGAATTTTATATATAAAAAAAACAGACGTAGAAATATAGGTACCCAACGAACAATAACGATACGGCCCAGTTTGGTCCCAAACGTTTTAAATTTAAATCTAGTGCGAACTAGCGGTAAACTAGTGCTTGGAGTCTTTATTGTGCAGAGGTGTTAGCAATCCACTTACTTTTCTTTTAAGATCTTGCAGCCGAGTCATATACTATGCGCAAGTTACCTCCTTTGCCACTGGACGACACTCCTGGAGAAGTACGAATGATGCTTGCACGTATGGCAATCCTCTCCAATGAATTACTAGTGTCTATTGAGCTCCAATTGTCAAAGGTATAGATTTAAATATTTAGGTAGTGAAATATAGCAATAAAATGTTGTTAGCAACTCGCCTACAGTGAGACTAAGAACGTTTGGTGGACATTTTAGTAGGCATCCTTATTTTGTGCACTCAAAGACCTTCCTGTACTTTAAGGTGTAACTCTCTCCTCAGGCGTTGATGACTAAGCGACTCGAAATCAAGGGTGTTGCCCAATCTCGAACACTGGAAAAGAGGGACTTGGAAGTTCAAGGCGAGTCTCTCCGTAAAGCTAAAGAATATGGAAGCAGTCAAGCAAGCAAGCTGAGGAGTGCCAAAGAAGAGATGATGGATCACGAAGCTGATTTTGCAAAGTTCAAATTTGAAGAGGTGAGAAAATATAGATATCGATCTGGCACAAAATTGGGCTCAAGGTTAATATGCTACAGGTAGATTACCTTTTATTCTACACTGCAACGGTGTATTGACGGATAAACAAAATTATTGATAACTCATTCTCAAATCTCATTCCACGCTTATCATTATTAATGATTTGTTATTACAGGGTGTAAAACATGAGGTCCTAGAAGAGAGATACAAAGAATTGCTCAGCTCATACGTTACGCTTAAACGTGAAGGCACCGTGGCTCGAAAAGTGGACAAAACAGACATGGAAGAGAAGCTAGAAAGGAAAGAAATTATCATTAAGAAGTCAATGCGAAAAGAAAAAGTTCTCAATCGAGCTTTGGAAGATCAAAGAAAAGTGAGTCGCTAGTTCCATCAATTTTTATGAAATCCATCACCATTACAAAATGATAATAGCTAGATAGGAGATTCCATGGAAATATTTGAGAATATGATGTGCAGGCAGGTTGAAGCAGTAAATTTGACTCTCACCAACGATTATTTTTTTGTTAGGTAATAATAAACTTAACTACTGCGTGGAGATCACGGCGATTTGGTCAATACTACATCAACAAAGGTGATCAGTTGGAAAATCTTCAGCTAATAAGAGAATCTCTGCAGAATGATCGTATTCCGAAAGGACTTTATGAGGTAAGTACATAAATGAATAGAAATTATTACTAGTAGTGAAGAAATACCAATATCATTGCTCGGCATTTACATACTCAAAAGACTCGAAGGTGTTGGGTGCTAATCGTCCTTCATGGCAGTACGGGTGCTGAATTGCGAAAGACGCAGCTCGACGCGCTATCAAGTCRAAGTGCTATATTACAGACACATTTTTACATACACTTACACATAGGCGTGCTGCCGGCTAGGCGCTTCCTTTACATAGTAACGAACGACTGAACGCGGAGCACAGYAGATAGAAATGGTTCGTTTTTACTGATGGAGGAAAACCCGGAAAGACCCGGAAAAACCCTCGACGCCAGGGAGAGAACGAAAGAAACTCAAATCACATATGGCGCCCCGACCGAGATTCGAACAGGGTCCACAGAGGTGACAGGCCAGCGCTATACATTTTTGGTATTACATTATGTGCAAATAATGGAATTCTAACTAAGCATAMTATTCAATTAATGTCCCTATAATCTTTAATTTGGCTATTCTGTTGATCAGATGACAGTAAATTTGATTGAAGAAGCAATCGATCTTCCAAGGAAACGTTTCATCGACTTGGTGCAAAAATATGTACGCTATGTCAACATGAAAGAAATGGAAATGAGAGCACGACGAATGAAGATCGAAGAAGATCTCGGTGACAGTGCTATGGAATTCATCCAAATGTTAGAAAAGCGAATAGAGAAGGTAGCATCAACTATTGAAATCACTGTACAATACTATACGAGATTTTGAATATGAGGGTTTCTGTTTCATCAGCAACAAGAACTGTGGAAAAAAAAGAAAGAAGGCTTTATAAAAAAGAGAGCCGAGACTCTCATGAATTTATCTAAAGTGTAAGTAGGATTCTGAATTCCACTATTCAAATAAGGGCGACGACTAGCAATGGAAATAATGGCGATGACAACCATAACCTTTATGCTAGAATGAATCTAATTTACAGACTTACACGTGTTAATGAAGAAACAGATATACTGATGACGCTTCCAAAAATCTTAATCAAGCGCGCTGGAGAAGCGGGAATGGACGAAGAGACAACTGAAATCCCAGATTTGTACGGTACAGTGAGATTGCTCAAAGATCGTGAAAAAGCCAAGGAATTTAAAGGGGAACTGAAAATGACAGCAAGTCAGATAGAAAGTGGCCCGTCACCTCCGACTGGGTTTAGAGTGGATGTACAAGTCGGGCCAGCATGGCAAACGATGCAGGTACAATATCATTATCGTTTGTAATGGATTGTATTGGGAAGTAACAATTAAGCTTGTTATTTATCGACAGCCACATCACCAACATACTTCAATTGCTACGCCTCGGATCTTGGATCTTGACGTTAACATGACCCGCCTAGCAGCACAAGAGTAAGAACTTCACCATTAGAATTGCATTTATCCTGCGCAGAAATTTGTTCAAGATAAACCATAACAAATCAATATCTGCACTAATAATTCCACTAAATCTCGTTATTCTTTAGTAAACCCACTGCTAGAACACCGCATCCTCATCACATATTCCTAATATATACACTCATTGATACAACAGCCAACCAGAGAAAGGAATACACCACACCAATTTCTAAATGCACTCACACACAAAACCACATCGGGCGCATGACACTACCATACAGGCCTCAACAATCTCGCATTGAAGTAYTCACTAAAGCCGGAGAAGAACTAAAATCCACAATGCAGTTTTACGAATTTTTTTCTGTCATATTTGTTTCTAGGGTGCGCAGAGCGCAGCAACGGTTATTATATTTCTCATATACTATAAAAGGAAAAATCTTTGGAAGCTCGCTATAAAATCTAACTTTCCGCTGTAGGATTATATCTCAAGTTACAAGAGGACCATGGAATCAACTTTCCAAGAGTCTACCTGAACTTAAGACTTTTAGAGCAGGAAGATTTAGTACGTTGATGCAAAAATCAATCAGCCAGCCAACTCCTAAAGCCATGCATTCTATACCATGCAAGAGATTTCTTACTCTGCCACCAATTGCTTCATTTTATTCTCAGAGTAATTTAACTACCACAAAAAGAGAAAAGTAATGCATGAATCAAATATATTTGGTAAACAAAAATGGTTATGAATATGAATTCTGTAAAATTATGATTAAACCTTTGAAGTTGAAATAAACAGTTCATATGGGTCAAGATCGACATGATAATTTCTTGACGAAAAGCCATGAGAATGTGCACATTCTTTTTTGGCACCATGGACGGATCTAAACGAGAGTTCGGATTCGGCCAGTTTTATTTACACGGAAGGAACATAATAATTCAGCGAAATAGCTGTTTGAAATGGTAATGAAACTCAAATCGTTGCTAAGAAACAAATCAGAAGCAAAAATACAAGCTGCCATGATCCGTCTGTCACGCATGCGTCTAGTATCGTTACAAAATGAAAGCATGCACGACTGTTTTTTCATCAGCTGTTTACGAGTCACCTACTCAATAAAGGACTCACCTTCTCAATAAAAGACTGACAAAAACATCTCCTGAAAAAGACTTTCTGGCCAAATCCCGAATCGTTAAACCTTCACTAATGGCCCTTTTTACAGAAAAATAAGAATTAACTTACCCAGATCTATTTTATTCTTGCATATGCAAAGTTTGAAATCGACATTATTCTAAATTATAGATAATTACAACTATTCATTATTATAAAATCTACGTTGCTATGTATCGAGTTGAGTTGAGTATGAAAACGTTTCGCCTTCCCGACGTCTTCAGTTCTTAGACCCTGTTTACATGAGATAGAGTGTCCCTAGTGGTAGGGCCAAAATCCTTTGTTTTAAATCCTCCAGGGAAAAGAAAACAAAAGAGTTAGCCCTACCACGAAGGGGCACCCTATCTCATGTAAACAGGGTCTAAATGTTGTTTTCGGACTTGTATTTGCATACCAAGGTCTATATGGTCTCCCGTGGGAGTTGGAACGTTCATCATAAATGTCGATAATAAGAATTATGTCACAATAAGTATACTTCATTTTAGCAGATCACCTTTCTGACACGAAATCATTCAAAGATTGTAACGCCTAAATATTTTTGATATACATGTATATAAACTAAAAAATGTATCCGCTTGTACTGGGCTTCCTGTGGTGTATGTGTTACTGGTTCTCCGTCATGGTTCCGTGCAAGTGCAGATTTGTGAAAGCGTTGCACGAGCAACGCAGAAATAGTGGATATAAACGACAACTTTAGAAAAATGGACGAGCCCATGTGTTTAACAGAATCTCTTGTCAGTAATAGTGAAGTTTCAACAAGCGAAGAGACAGTTTTAGAGACGTTTAGCCATCAAGTTGGGGGACGTTCCCTCATTCTTACTTACAACCGTAACACTGTATGCAAACCTTTGAATCCCCAAGAACTACGCTTTTATCTCGATCTTCCAGAGTCTTTACGACCATTTACTCCCCATTACAAAGGTAAGTTGTTATTTGAAGCCTGTAGATAACAACGTAATACTGGTTTCGAACTAAGTTGCTATTCATTCGACTTGTATTATTGATAACATTTTTGATCCCGTATTGCCAAACTACAATATATTTTAAAGCATTTAAAAGCTTCTGTGATATTTCTCACCATGCTGTTGCAGTAGATTGTACACAGGAAACAGCTTGAGCTTCATCGATCTTGACGGATATTCACGCAAACTTTCAGTTTACGTAACTTTGCAACGTTATGACTCTAGTGCCTGTTTGATCATGTTGATCTTTTAAAATATACATTTGAGATTAAGTAAACTTTAGTGATTCAATTGCTATCTAAGCCATAATATCTTCCGAGATTCAATTCTATATCGCTCTTCAAGCAAGATCGCATTAATTCTATCCCAAGGCAAAGGTTAGATTTGTAACAAAAATAAAACATCGAGACACACACAGGCATATTCAACGACGTTTTATAMAAAACGCAAACAATCTCGTCAAGTTCACATTGTGTTTCTGTGTACACGCTTTCATCGACTTTCGAGATTATTGTCCCAATGTACAGCACGAGGAAAAAACATGAAAATAATTTGTAAATTTTCAATTTCGTGAACTCTTGGAGTCACGAAAGGTGACGATGGGTTGCCAAACGCAACGCACAACATGTAATTATCAGTATCTTATTTTTCTTTGGGTGATTTGGKTATTTTTAGATGATTTAGAGTTTCTTTCTCGTGGTTTGAACACGAAATCTTGTTTGTTTTAGTTACTGAATTTAACCAATTAAAATTACTTTACATTTTGTTTAGCTAAATATGACGTCATTATATGGTGTTTACCTGTATTCACCCGTAATTGTGAACGAGGTTTTTTGAAAAAAATTCACTTGCCACAATCAATAATCCTTCATCAAAATTATCATTTATATTTTTCTGGCTTATTGTTTCCCTTGTCTGAAATTTGACCAATGTTGCAAGGATGACACTACAGTCTGCAGAATGCAACATCCTTGAAATCTTTTCTAATTTACCATCAGAGTTTGAATCAAATGCAGTCTAAACTTCTTATGCAGACCTTTTAAGCTTAAAGATTGCTAACCTAGAAAACTATTACATCCAATTGTTATTTAATTTGAACAGGTGTCTTAAAAGTGGCTGTACAAATTGATGATGCTGGAAAACTAAAACTGACGTCAAGTGAGACACCAACAGCTTGTAATGGCAAAATTCGAATCAATAATGTATTGAAAGATGATGAAAACCTATCGAAAGGGGGAAATCTTCACAATGGAGATGGAAGTCTTCATTCAGAAGGTATATGCTGAAAAATATATTAATAACATAATATTTTGATAACAGGTTTTCTGTATTGCCCACTTTCCTACATTAATGTGACCGACTAGCCACTAAATAGAAATCTATTTTCTTGTAACAATATTTATTTTGGTTACATTGGACAAAACATGAAGTTTGTTTGCAAGATGTCATGTTTGCTGTGTCTATTAACAAATTCTAAACTAAGATTTTTTGTAGTGCTTGATTTCCTCTTTCAATTTTATACTGTAACATTCTTTAGTAAAAAAATTGGTTAAAATCAGAAACATATACATGTAAGTGGGTTTCAAATCCCTTTCTGTGGAAAGTACATTTTGTTAAAAGAAATTATCATTTACTAACACTGATTCATTGTTCAAGGCTCTATAAACCCATGGACATTTCACTGTGAAAATCTACTCTATGAAAGCCTTAAAGAAAGTGTAAACAACAACAAACCCATAGGTAAGAGATGTTAAGAAGTACTTCAAATAAAATCAAACCAGGGAAGATGACAATAGAAACCATTTCTATTTTCAGATTTCATGTTGATGGAAGATTTAGTTCACAATTATGTATCACCATGTATAATGGATCTTAAAATGGGTAATACAATGCATGATAGCTATACTAATGAAGAAAAGTATGAAAGACAAAAGGCTAAAGTATCTGCATCAACATCAAAGACACTTGGATTAAGAATAGCAGGGATACAGGTCTGTGTGTGTGAGAACTTTTTTTGTGTGTATTTTGGAACTATCAGGGTATATCCCCATAATTTCATACCATTCTGTGCTGACATTATACATTACTTTGTCCATCTTCTAAGGAAGGTCTTTGAAGACTGGTGTTGCATACTTTTAAAACATCATTGTGACTCTAATCTACAGCCTTAAATGCTAATTGGAAATGCACATTATTTAAGAACTATAGCTATTCCTAAGTCATAATAATGCATGCTAGATTTCACMAATTTTTTTATTGGTGATCTGTTACTGAATATTCAATACATTCACTATAATTTATTAAAGTGGTATTTATCAATAATTTCTTGTGGTTTTATTTCCAGATTTACAACCAGGACTTAAAGAAGTATATTTACCAAAATAAGTATTTTGGATTTGAACTTAATGACCAAAGTTTTAAAGAGGAACTCTCTAAATTTGTACACAATGGAAACCAACTGAGAAAACATGTTGTTGTTAGCTTTCTGGAAAAGCTGCAAGAACTTTATAAATGTCTAGAGAAGCAAGATAAGCTGCGTTTCTTCTCAAGTTCTCTTCTTCTCATTTATGAAGGTCACCATAATGAACTGTGTGAGAATACCTCAAGTAATGCCTCAAATTACAGCCAAAGAAATGGACAGGATGAAATGGCAGCTGTAAAGATGATTGACTTCGCAAGGTCATTTCATTATACACAGATGATACCCATAGGTGCTGATGAAAGCTATCTGTTAGGTTTAAGGAATCTCATTAAAATGTTTCAAGAAATTCTTCTTGAAGAGGAAACTCATAATCATAATTCCTTTTCCAGAGTAAAAGAAAGTATGTAAGCACATTACGTATATTATTTCCTTTACAACAGAGCATTTCACTTCTAAAATTTACTCTAGATCTGTTTTTATTCTGTTTAATACTTTTTTCAGGTACAAATAATTAATGGTGATTTTAGCAGACCTATGCTTCTTTTTTAACAAGAAACATGAACAAGGACCTTGAAGAGTATGTATTTGCATTAGGAGACATGACAACTACTCAATGTTAAATTAGGTGAAGATAAACAAGAGAAGACTTGTACTCACAAAGAATAATATATTATATACCTTATTTACATCTTGAACGATTTACTGTATTGGACCTTCCAGAATATAAAACAAAACTTATCTAAGAAAAAACATTTGAAATAAAAGTAATTTTTCAATACAGAATATTCATCAAAAAAAAACTGAAAAAGAAGACAGTATTTTCACATCTTGAAACTTCTATTTATATTGAGTGACAAACTTAGATGTGTGATTTAATAACTGGACTGGAAGAGTGAAATATTTCTCTGTTAATGCAGGAGACCAGTCATGTTGCCAACTGAAGTAACTGTTTTTACATATGAGAATATATGATTTATTGAGAATGTATGTGAATGTACATGCATTTAGTCACTGAACATATAAAAAGATAAGGCAAACAAGACTGAAAATATATAGTTTGTTAAAATTATCTCTGAAATAAATAAGTTAAGAATTTGTATTTTGTTATAATAAAATATTGATATACAATAAGATTCCAGTGTATTTTGATCAACTGCTATTGTTATGTCTGATCATGCTCAGATTAAGGTCTGGTTAGGGTCAGTTAGAGTTGGATCAGGAACTTATTAAGTCAGATCAGGGACTTGTTAAGTCTGGTTAGGGTTAGATTAAGGTCTGGTTAGGGTTGGTTGGGGTTAGATAAGGTCTGTCATAGAGGTGGAGGTTAAGGGTCAGTTAGAGTTGGATCAGGTACTTGATAAGTCAGATTAAGGTCTGTTTACGGTTGGTTAGGGTCAGACCAAGGTCTGGTCAGGGTCAGATTAGGTTGTGGAGACCTTCAGCTTCGGCCGAATAACTGGAGTGATGATTTTAGCTGAGTTATGGGATTCCTGTGGTGTCAGGTTCTAATAATATACTAAACATTCGACTAAATGCTAATTAAACTGGTACAAATTTCGAAACTATGAATTTATAAATGAATTATTGTCCATAATATATTTTCCGGGCCAGTGGTTTGGTAAACACTTCTCGCACGAACCCGCAGCGCACTGAAACCCACTGAAAGAGCGCGCCTTTTTGCAACTGCGTTTGGGGTTTCCTASTGGACRGACTGGACGTGTTGAAGGACAATTTTTTCAAACGCTGCAAATTCTTACAATGCAACAATTCATGATGCATCAAATCATGAACAGCACATAGAAAAGACGAAACAAAGAGCAAAATTGTTCGTGTACTTACATAACTTTCAACCAAGTCCTCAACTTTTTTCACGTCCACGATATCCATGGTCAGCGGAAAGGAAATTGAGCATGCGTACATTCTCCAGTAACGATCGAATTGAAGTTTTTTTAAACGTACAAACTGGGAATAATTCCTCGGGAAAACAAGGATTTTATGGATAATGGTCTATGAAGAACCCATAAGGGTATGTAGGAATATATTTTTAAAGTATTAAGTGTGTAGTTGTTTGGGTTTTGTCAAAGTGGGCTGATAGTCTGTTGAGTTTTGAAAGAGGGAGATCATAACAAAAGGCGGGATTGTGATTAAAACGAAGAATTTACTAAGTTTTTATATAATGGGCTTTTGGCTATTTGTTTTATTGGACCTAAGGGAGTGGGCATTCATCAGTGAAATTCAACATAGATAGTGTCATCTGAGCCAACTGTATTTAATAACCATAGATGTTTTTGTAACAAGATTGAGAACTAAGTCTCATATAAATTAATATGCGTTTCCAGGCGTCTATATGGCATGCCCTACACCATTATGCCTACAAAGATGCCATATTTTTAGCAGAAAGATTATATTCAGAAGGTAGGATCACTTCTGTTTTCTTTGTGTGAGTGGTAATCATAATAGCAAACATGTTGTCTCTGTGYAACATGTATGATCCTTATCAACTCATATCTTCTAAAATGGATATTGTTGGTTTGATAGTGAACACAGGTGACACACTACATCTGTTGGCTACATGCTATTACCAAAGTGGTTTGGTCCAGAATGCCTATTCATTATTACAATCTAAAGGATGTCTTACACCATTATGTAGGATTCTGTTTGCAAAATGTTGCTATGAATTGGACAAGTATGTTGAAAATAAAACGATGATAATAATAATTTTGTTAGTACCTTCAACCACAGTTATGAGCCTTATAGGGTCTTTGCTACGTGCAGTTTGGTAATTTTTGAATCAAAATAAATATTACAGTATATTATAATTGGTTAGAATTCTTTGAATTAGKGGTCTCCTTGTTTTAATATGCTAACAGAAGTCATTTAAAAAATATTAAGTGCCACAATTCCTATTCAAATTAGATCCACCATTTAATTAGATATTGATTGAATTATATTTATATTCAGTATGAATTGAGACAATTACATAAAAGTAAACCAACAACAGGGTGATGTTAACAGCAAAAATAACTATAATTATACCTTTTTTAAATTGTACTTTAAATCAAAGATTTCGGGTTAATTTGATGCATGTAATTTATATGTAGGCTTGCTGAAGGAGAAATGGCTCTAGCAGGAGGATGTTTAACCAATGGAAAACCCATTGAAACTATTGCTAGTGAGTTTGGAAACTCTGCAGGATATGCTTTGGCTATGCTTGGGCAGATATGTAGGTTGGTATTAAACAATAACCTTGTTTTTCACCATGAYGTGTGGTAAAGAGTCCTATGCTCTGATAACTGAAAAAAAAGTAAGGATTAGTTTAATTGTATATTTTTGTTATGTCATTTTAATTTTTAATTTACAGGAAATCTGATCAGGCCAAAAGGGCAATTGAGTGTTTTAAAAGCAGTTTGAAGTATAATCCTTGTTTATGGAGTTCATTTGAAGCACTGTGCAATYTAGGTAGGTCCCATTGGTGTGCATTATATTCTACATACATAAGATTAATGATAACTTTATGTAACACAGGAGAAAAGCCAGATCCAGCAGAATACTTCAAAGTATCAGCATGTCCCAAGATATTTACTGTACTGACAAACAGAGAAAGTGTATCAACAGGACTATCAACAGCAGGGACATCATCTAACATTAATAATAAACGCCAAGCAGAAGAATGTATTGCTACAGAGAATCTTGACCCCTCTCAGAATAACAGTTCATCTTTTAGTAATACCCCTGTAGGCGATGTAAATAGTGGTGTGTTTTTAGTTCCACCAACACCAATGAGCTCAATTAGTGAGAATAGAGTAAGAACAAGAGTGGGAAGAAATTTGCTTGGTGCTCATCAGTCATCAAGTCCACTTACTGCAAGGTGTGTTCATTGCTTTCTTTGAATATTGCCTTTTTTCACTTTTATTTTGAAATGCTAATTACAAGAATAAAACTTTAACTTTTAAAAAATGAGTAAAAAATGTAAACRTTTTCAGTTCCTATCCAAATGGTGATCAGTATGTTTCTTTGAATATYATTTACATACTATTATCCTTCCAATACTCCATTATACACAATTACCATTACACAAATAAGTTGTAGTGCTGACTCAGTTTTTGGTGTGTGAGTATAAGCATTCAGACACAACTACAGTGCTCAGTATGATAATCATATTTTCTTTATCCATACATGTATAATGTAATTTAGTCGTTTTAATGAATGTCTTTTGTTAGTTTTGGAGTATTACCGTCAGACACTCCCATAGAGATGAATTTTATGCCATACATGACACCATCACCGACTGTAAACTCGTCAAGTGATATACATACAGGACACACCCCAAAGGCTCCTGTTAAAAAGGTAATTTTGAAGTCTTGTRCATTTTTACCTACAAGGGAAATGAAATGAGGCATATAACATGAGCAGTTGTACTGTAGGTTGTCCATGTAAGTTGGAAAAGTCAAGCATTTGTATGTGTATGTTTTTATGGTGTTATTAATTCTGTAAGTGTTATATCTTTGTAGGTTGTGGAGACATATCCTGACTTTGATGGTACATGTATATCAAATATATTTTATTTTGGTAGGGTGTTAGAAGAAGTGATGCCACATCAACGAAAACATCAGCTTCAATTACAACGCAAACATCAACTTCTTCATCTCTTATCCTCACAAGAGCCTCTCCACAGACTACATCAACTCAGTCAATCTTGTCACCAGGAAAGAAAACAGTACGGCGTAGCACAAGATTGTTTTCAATGAATTCAAGCTCATCTGAAGAAATTGGCTCTGTAAGTCTAATTTGAAGTAGTTCTGCTTTTAATGCAAATTATCAAAACAGCAAAATTGTGCTATAAATTCAGTTCTATTAATTATTCTCGTTTCTTGACACATTTTGGTTTATTCCTAATACATATAGCATACATTTGCACAGGCTTATATTCTCAATGTATATTGTTTGAATATTAGGACATCAAAAAATTAAGAAGTACAAGTAGAACAAGTACGGTTAGAAAGGTGAGGAGTGCCAGAATGAAATGCTTTTCAACATTATACAACAGACTAAWGTCACTCACTGTATCAGTTACAGATGGCTGATGAATACAATTAGCTTATTTTAGCTTTTGAAAACTGATTACTGAATTTTGTACTATCCTAGACAAGACGGCAGACAAGAAGCAGTAACCAGCAGCCATTGGGTCCTTGTGTATCTAATGTGATTCAGGGTGAGACATCTGTTCAACAAGATAAACCATTAATCAAGGGATCACCATCCAGTAATGGTCTTGGTATGTATAGCATTGATCCATTCATTAGGGAATAATATTCTTTGTAAATGTAATATGCATATGATTCATGAAATACAAGGTTCAAGACAAGAAGTTCAACATACGTGCATGTACAAATATCTTAATACAGTGTTTGTCAAGTATCTTGTCTGCATGACCAACTGAATTATTTCTTTGCAGAAGGACTTATGACATTGCTTCGTCAAATTGGAACTGCCTATCAAAAGCTGAGTTGTTATGAGTGCAAACAAGCAATAGAATTATTTTTAGCTTTACCTCCTCATCAGTACAACACTGGATGGGTGTTAACACAAGTTGGCCGTGCTTACTTTGAAATAGCTGAGTATCAAATGGTATGGATTCCACTTTTTTAAAACTTCATTAGTCTTCCAGCTTAAGCCAATTTCATTGTCAGTTAATAATAATGACTTGGTTAACATTGATTATTTTCTAGGCTGAAAAGTTGTTTTCTGAAGTTCAAAGGTTGGATCCAAGGAGATTAGAAGGTAGTCAAAGTACATGTGTTTGTTGATTCAACCATTATATGTTATTACATGTACATTCCCTTGTAGCAGTTAATCACATCATTAAATACTTTGTATAGGAATGGAAATTTACTCCACAACACTGTGGCATCTTCAAAAGGAGGTTGCCTTGTCAGCACTTGCTCAGGAGTTGACAGAAATGGACCGCACTTCACCTSAAGTAAGTATCTTTGATAGAGAAACATACAATGTTGAGTGAATATATAATTAATGTGGCTAGACAAGCTCCAACATCTTGAAAGATATTTATTAACTCAAAAGTGGACTTGTTTACCATCTGGAGTTTGGTTTGGTTTTGCTGCTTTGATAGTTTCCATTAACTAATTGTTGCTCATTTTACTGACAGGCATGGTGTGCCACAGGGAACTGTTTTAGTCTTCACAAGGAACATGATACAGCTATAAAGTTCTTTCAACGTGCTGTACAAGTTGATCCAAACTTTACTTATGCTTACACACTACTTGGTCATGAATATGTCTTGACAGAAGAATTAGATCGTGCTATGTCATGTTACCGCATGGCTATCAAGGCTGATCCTAGGCACTATAATGCATGGTATGGCTTGGGTTTCCTGTGTTTTATGCTGTTCATCCTCCCAAAGATATTAAATCTTTCAAAACAAAAATGAATGAAGCTTGTCATTTCTTTAGGTATGGCATAGGAATGATTTATTATAAACAAGAAAAGTTTAATCTGGCTGAAGTTCACTTCAGGAAAGCATTGTCTATAAATCCATCCAGTTCTGTGTTATACTGTCATATTGGCGTGGTAAGTTTCTTGGAAATGTTGAACAGCAGATATTAAGCTAATAGTCATTTGAATGAGAATCAATGTAATGTTGTAAATAAAGCCAAAATGTGAACTGTATGCTTTATCAAACTTATTGGCTTAATTTGATCAATCTTATTTCTGTTTAAGGTTCTTCATGCTATGAAAAAATCTGAAGCTGCTTTAGCCACCATTAATAAAGCAATGTCAATTGATCCCAAAAACCCTTTGTGTAAATTCCATAGAGCATCGATATTGTTTTCTATTGAAAAATACCAGGTATGTATCATCAAATCATGGCATTACTTTCAAAACACCAAGATAACAGCTTTATCGACTCGCGTGCATGTAATATCCTCTATTTATCGAATCGCGTGCATGTAATATCCTCTATTTATCGACTCGCGTGCATGTAATATCCTCTATTTATCGACTCGCGTGCATGTAATATCCTCTAAATAATTCGCGAATTTGAGAAGATGTGCCTGAGATTCTATCAATCACGTGAACCAAGCAGTAGTATATACCACCGTTAGTCAGTAGTCTGTAATGTAAATAAGACACCATCACGTGACCAGAGCAAGAGACCAGTCTATATGTGGTTTATACACAATCAAGCATTAGTAATTTTAAAATGGCAGCATAACGAATTTATTTATGCAGAAAGCTTTACAAGAACTTGAAGAACTCAAAAAGATAGTGCCAAGGGAGGCACTAGTGTATTTCCTTATGGGAAAGGTATGCCTGTTTTTCCTTAACGTGATTCAAATAATCACCCATACTGAGCTATGATTATTGTGTGTTCCAAGGTTCACAAGAAGCTGGGTCAAACTCACTTGGCTCAAATGAACTTTTCATGGGCAATCGACTTGGATCCTAAAGGTGCTAACAATCAAATTAAAGACGCCATTGATAAGCGTTATCTACCAGATGATGAGGACAGTACATTAGGGTGTAATGAAACATCCATGGATCAATCGGGAGACGACGAAGACGCTATGGGTCTTGACAATGAAAGTAGTTCTAGCATGGTCTTGTTTTAATATTATTACCAATCCAAATTAGACAATAATAATTGATCAAATTATTTCTGTACAGTACGTTTCATATTCAAATACAAGTTATTAATTTTGGAAAGAGTTAGGGTTTATCATTAATCAGTGTTTTATTTTTCTATCTCAAGATATCATTGTATTATTAATTATATTACAAGAAGGACTGTTTTAAGAACGTCTACTGAATCCAATAAAATTGCATTACTACCAACTGGAGGTTCTTACTATAAATACTTTATTAATGTATTGCTTGTTTATTTGTAGAGTAGCGTTTCAAATTAACCGATGAATTAGATATTGAATGGAAGTGATGAGTTTCTTTTAATTTAGAGGTAAGTTTCTGTTTGTGATGGAAAATGTCATTCCACCATTGTTCCTCCCACTCCTTTTATGAAACACCTTTGTGCCGCCTCAGTTGCAATACACGTGCACCATGTTTGTCCCAAACAAGGTTCATGTTTTGACTTTTCAATTTTTATTGTGAATCACCAACGGCAGCTTACTTTTATACAAACACAAGAGTTCATAGTTCAAAACTATCCTAGACCCAAGCTAAAAAAAGCGCATTTACAAAAAAAAAAAGGTAATATTCGCCGCGACTATTTACAAATAAATACAAATTCATATAGAGTCAGATTTTGATGAAAGTCTCTGCATTATGAAACTCTCTTCACTAGGAGTGTCTAGCTTTTTCAATTTTCTGCTTCTCAGCTTACGTGCCTTCCACAGTTCCAGGCTGTGTTTTTTTATCAGTTCTCTCGACGTTCTTTCCATATTATCTTTAAAGGTGTTAACTATGTCCTKCATTATCTCTTTCTTCTTTGAAATGTCGTGCAAAACCGCTGAAAAAAGAGTAAAAGCTTATTTAGTGTTTTAGAGATTGGTTGGATAATGCATTTTTTTGCATAAAAAGCACTCCTTACCTTGCCCTTCGATAGGGGCCCTCGTTCGTACTCTTCGTATCCAGTCAAAGGTTATACCAAATATAAGAAACAAGCACAACACACAACCTGTGAATTTCACTGAATCRTTGAACTGTTCAGCCTTGGTGTTGAACAAGCCATCTGTAATGATCTGGTCAGGAGGGTCTTGTTTGTACTGTAGCGAAAAACAAAGACCTAATGTATCGAATTCAGATTTGATGATTTCTCATTAATTGAGCACATGTGAGATTCAGCGTTTGAAACGGGCGTCAGAAAAAGGAGATCAATCAATCAATGCATAATGAAGTCCAATGACGTACGTACCTCGATCATTCTGACGTTATTGGATATATTATGGTATATGTCTGCTGCAAACGCCGTTAAGTATTCATGAAAGCATTGTCTTAACTGAATGGCATATCCAGCAGTTACCAGACCGTACGCCATCTTATAATCCAAGACTTTAGCAATTCTTAGGGAGGGTCTGTTAAACAAGTCACTTCTTGATCCCGCTGCATACGTATCTACAAGAATACCGTCCACTTCTTTGTCTTCCAATGCATTGATCAGTTCGAGAAGAGTGTGGTATTCTCTTCCTTAAGAAATTTTCATTAAAGGATGTGTTATATTATTATACTGGTCCTTGTGGATTTTCAATTTGACAATAATCCATTTGATTATTGGACTGTAGGAAAATTTACACTTACTTTCGTTTACTTTAGCATTTTTCCTTTTTCCCAACCAGAATTCGGGACTGTTATGCAAAGCAGCAACCTTTGAAAAATTTAATCAAAACATCGGTGATAATGTATAGAACAACAACAGTGTCTCTGTTACTGACCTTGGAACCGTAAAGCATTTGTTTGTTGTTGATTGTGACTTCTGTAAGGGAAGTTGTTACGGTACTTGTACAGACCGATATTATAATAATWCCGCACAAAGTCCAAATTACTGCAAACAAACGACTACCGTGCCCAATTGGGGTTTTATCACCATAACTAGTAATGCGATAACTGGAATTAGTACTTTTTAGTGCAACAACTGTACAGATTGACTGAAAATACCGACTAGTGCATACAACATTGATGATAGTAGTGGTATGAAAACCTTGTCATGCTYACCCAACCGTTGTCATGGAGACAAAAGCCCACCAGAAACCATTTTGAATTCCTTTGTGGAAGGACTGTGGGTAATGTTGAGGGTTTAGTCTTGAGTCCTGGAAAGAAAATGTGACCTGATCATGGATCATCGGTTTCTTGTATGAACAACCTTGTTTCTGATAAGAACTAATAATTCAGGCAGGCTACTAGCCGTGATATGGACGTGCTATCAAATTAACTGGCAGTTCATGGTCAATAGTCTTTTTTGAGAACATGGATGTTGCAACAATATTGTTTTGCATGTTCTTAAAACGATGATGTTTGTATGATTACATGATAATGATTTTGTACACTTACAAGGACCCAGATGATAAACCCAGCAATGTAACACATAACAATCGGAACAGCCAACACAGGCCAACACCCAATTATGGCGTTAAACATATTTTCTCTTAATTTCACCGTGTCTTTCTTGTAAACGATGAACGCGACTCCAGGAGACAAAATCAAAGGAGAAAAACCAAGTCCACCTTTGTACAGAGATTGATCGTAATGGCCGTAAATCGGAAAACTGAAGTCAGAATGACCGTCGATGGATTGAACAAGCTGAAACAATATTAAAAATAGTATCATCTGATGGGATATACATACAAATGACCACTCAAGTCTTAAATGTCATGTTTTTGGTTCTCGATGTTGTTCTTTTTACATAYTGAGTGATAGTATTGTCTTCCACCGAAGTTTAAAAGTACGGGTTCTATGCATTACCTCTCCAAGGGACGATTTCTTAGCGGATGTTCCATTCCCATCAAATCTAAAGTTGACTGTGGAGTGACCATGATCCTTGCAATGACCACAGCAATATGACGTCATATTAGCAACCAATGCTGGTATTATAAGACCGGTAGTGATATTTACATATGGACTGTATTCACTCCAACTCGTTGTCAATGTTCTTGTACAGCGGCATGTTTCTGAAATGGAAATCATGTGATCGTAATTGAAACAGTGATAAAGATACGACGAATCTTCTCATCTTACCCCCAAATGTAGTGGCTTTAGGACCGGCTCCCTTCCTTGTGGAGGCGACTACGGTTATCCTATACACAGACAGTGGCTGCAAACCCATGATAGTGTACGATGTTTGGTTAGGCGATAATGAAACTATACTGATATTGTCATCATACACTTCTTTGTCACCCCGTTTCACAGCTAAATAGGTTAGATGATAACCTGTCAGCTTTCCATGCATGTGATTGGCTGCTACGGGTTTCCAACTAACGGGTATTGTATATAGACTTGTCCAGTTTTGAGCTGTGAGGTTCTGCGGCGTTTCGCTGGGAACTGAAGTAACAACAACATTATACTGCATCTCTGTTGCTTTTTAAGCCACTTTGCTAATGATTTTGTGATTTGTGTGCAAACTATTATCTTACCATCTTCGTCAGTTGTCACCGAATGAAATGACTTATTTCCATATCCTGCGGAAGTGGCTCCTGATATTATGACGTCATAGCGTGTATTCTTTTTAAGCGCTGTAAGTCTCGTTGAGAATTGATCGGTTTCTTGTGTGTATGACTCGTTGGATCCAGTCCTTCGATATTCTACTCGATAACTAATGATTCGACCATTGCGGTGTCCAATAGGAATCAAGTCCCAGAATACACTAACGTTGGTTGAACCTCTTGAAGCTACCACTACTTTAGTTGGTGGATGTGTTGGCACTGACAAAAAAAAGGACATATAACTATCTACTACATCCAAAAAAGTGTCCATTGGCAATAATGTTAGTGATAAAATTATCATTAATGTTTCCATATATATGTTCAGTTTCTTTTGAAATTGTACATCTAAAATGTCGTGTCAGTTCTCGTCATTACCTGATTCTCCAGTTGTAACATAGACCGGTTTACTGAAATTCCCCTCAAACGCGGTATAAGCTGAGACTTTGATGATATATCGTGTGTAATAGTACAGGTCTTTTAAAATAACCTCTTGGGTCCAATGATCAACTGATATATTCCTCTCACCAGCAAATGGATGGTTAATACCCATATATAATACACGATAACCACGAAGTTGTCCCTGTGCAATGCTGCTCCATTGAACTAATATTCGATTGGTACCGTTCAACTGTGCTTTCACTTTAGATGGAACGAACTTTGGAGCTGGCAACAATAGGAGACTGTCTAAACACATTTTGTACTTTGTACATTTATCGCGTTAAGTAATATTTCTTCGTACTTAATGCAATATTTGATAACAGGTTTTTTTGTTCATTTTGTACTTGCTCATACCTTCATTATTTGTTGAAGTATAAATTAACTTGCTAAATGGTCCTTGTCCTTTCCTTGTAAATGCACTGATCTTGACACTGTAATTACTCTGCTTTTGTAAACCGTGAAGAACGATCTTGTCATGGTCACTGGATACTTCACGCCTTAAGATCATCAACCCACTTGAGTTGAACAACATGACCAGGTATTTGGTTATAATTCCTCGTCGCTGTGAAATTGCAACAGGTCGCCATTTGACTTCTATGCTGGTCAAACTCACTGGAAAAGCTGCAGGAGATCGGGGAGGACCTGTCGGGACTAGATTCATGCACCAAATATTGACATCAACTAACCTTGTTACCTTATATCCTTTATTCCTATATCTATACTAATGGACATACACTAAAAACTCACGTTGACTGTTCCAAGTTGCTCAATGGTGTCGATGAATAAATGGCAAACTAAACAATTGTGAATTACCTGATTCGTCAGTTCTACATGTCACAGTCGATACATTTCCTTCTCCTTTTATGGTATAGCACGTGACATGGATGTTATACAAAGTGTAATTGACAAGTCCTTTCAGGATATATGATGTAAGCTTTGTATCAATGGATCCCAGACTATCAGCTCCATCGCTGTAATTGACCTTGTAGCCAAGAATGATGCCGTTAGGATTAGTTGGTGGTTGCCAGGTAACCCGAATACTCGTAGAACTGTCATTGGTTGCCTGGAGACTGATAACTGCTCCTGGGACTAAAAAGTGAGTTATAGTTAATACATCCAGGGGCGGATCCAGAACGTTACAAAAGGGGTTGTTTATTTTTAGAATGAGTCCCATACAGATTTGATTCTTTTATTAATTTGTGTCATTATTTCTATTTCCATATTTTGAAATATACACGAATGAAACTTCATGTACGCATTTTATTTCAATGTGTTATATTTGTACTTACCATCCTCTCCTGTACTGACCACAAAACCTGGGCTGTAAGGTCCTTGACCAACTGTCCCTCCAGCGATTTTGATAGAATAGTTCGTAAACTTCTGTAAGCCATCTAAGATGATGTGAGGGCTTGATATAGCTCTTCTTTTCCGCCGTGAAAAAGACGATGTAATGTTCTTAATATAAGTCAGCGTTGTGTTGACCACTTGGTATTGTACGATGTAATACCGTAGAATGCCGTTTAATTTAGGTTTGGGAATTGTTTCCCATGATTTTATTAGTATAGAAGTAGATCCTTGACTTATTGCCTCAGTTATTACGGGACTTCCAGAAGGAGCTGCAAAGTAAAAGATAGACTCAGCAATACTACAGAACTATCCACTATTGAACTAATCTATAGTGGGGATCTGTCTAACTCTAGTCGTCAGAAAGGACCATTCTAAACAAGTATGAACATGCAATATCTATGACAGTTCAATTCACCTGCTTCGCTGGTTTTGATGATGTAAGGAGATTTCAGTCCTGGACCTTGTCCTTTAGTATTATAACCTGTAATCTGTATGCGGTATGTCGAGTAAGGTCTCAGGTTTGTTAAGGTTATTTGTGAGTTATTTGTTGTTGCATAGCTTGGTACTTGTGCGTTACTATAGTTGAGTAAGTAGTAGGTTATGTTATATCCTAGTAATAAACCATTCCTTTGTGATATTGGGATTGGTTTCCACGCTAAATGCACTTGACGTGAAGCGACACTTGGTAACGTAATATTATGAGGAGATCCTGTAGGAACTGGAAAGAAACAACAACAATGAATGAACTTATGGAATACCAGTGTTCAGCAGTCGGTGGGCGCATACCTTCTTCGTCCGTGATGCAAATAACTGGTTTACTTTGAGGTCCTATCCCAATCGTATTAAAGGCAGCTATTTTGATGACATACGCAGTATATACGTCCAGTCCAAGCAGGGTTGCCTGAGTACAATTGGTTAGCAATGAACGAAGTGGCTTAACCTGACTATCGTTTCTGAAGATCGAAACCTCATAACCTGTTATGGTACTGTTATCTTGTGGTTTGGCCCACTTTACAAATATACTTGTCGAACTGGTATTGTAAGCTGATGTTATATTCGGGATCCCTGTTGGTGCTAGAAAATAACCATCGTCTCATTACCATAGCGTGACAGACACATGCCAATCACCGATATCAGTGTCACCGAGTATCATTTATTGTATGATAGCATGTAATGGACTTACCTCCAATGGCGCCAGACAATGTCACCTCGTTAGAAGGTAGTCCCTCTCCTTTGATAGTGAACGCTGTCACCCAAATCCTTAGTATTGTGTACGGAATGGGGTCTTTAAAGATGACTTGTGTTTGCATTCCTTCCACAACAAATTTTGTCCAGTTTACTTCACCTTGTTTAAGATAGTACACGTTATAACCTTGGAAGTATGATGAGGTCTTACTGTCCATCATCGGTGCGTTCCACGTCGTCTTGATCGTATTCGATTGTTTGATGGTTTGGACGATTGAAGGTTTGTTTGGTACTGCAAAAATAGTGATTGATTCAGTTTGACGTAAAGCAAGATTAAGATTTTTCTTCTTTGTAAATATTGATCTCCGTGTCAAGTTGTTTATAACTTACCAAGAACAGGAGTAATTTGAAGGTCTTTCAGTGTTAGTCTGCCCATCATTGATGTAGATGCGATACTCTCACTTAATAACGTCACGTGCTTGTTTGACCATGGATAGTACCTGATCGTGAATTCACCAATGACATTGCCACCCTCTTCCCTTAAAAAAAGACAATCCACTAATCATCTGTAAACCGATTAAAAGCACGTACTGCATATGATAATGAAAGAATGATTGTGGTAGTTTGACATAAGATTTATCGTCGATGAGTTGAACGTCGAGTTATTACCTCAATGTATCCACCGTAATACTATGTATGGTAATGGAATTATCTGCATAGAAACGGGATATCTGGAAAAAATATGATTTGATCAAGTTCCAAATTGAAATCAATAACATCAGCATCATCAGGTCAGTGCTTACGTTGGACTTAATTCTCTCCACGAAGTCTAGATACAATTGACTGTCTTGTCTTGATAGGCTGTTATGCCATGTTTCGTCAGATAATTTTGCAGAAAAGCCAACAGGAACGATTGTTTTATCTACAAATCAACAGTATTCAAATTATGCACTACTGACATCTTCGTGTATTTAGTGAGACAATGATAGACAGCTGTCAATAAAATAGGTTAGATAGATCCTACCTGTGTAAGATGTCATGATATCGTTGATATGACTCTGTAATAGCACTGTATTTGATATGACAAGATCATCGAATTCAGCTTGTGTTCCTCCACAACTTAACGTTATCAGACCATTGAGAGGATCATTTTTGCTACTTTCACTCAAATCTGTAAAGTTTCTCTTGATATTTTTCACTTCTTGTTTGTTCTTATAAATTATACTTTCCATCTTACTAATGACGATGGTATAATGATTCCATATTCCAGCAGGGGAATAAAAGATATTCTGAATAAATCTGTCGTGATTACTGTTAACGTTAGCGGCCATTTCCATGACATTACCCTTTGGCTGGTACAATGTTAATAACCCATTAATGTCCAGGAAAGTCTGGTTTTGAGTGCTGTTCGTTAACCAATATTTCAACCATAAGCTAACAGTTATTTCACAAGTAGCTTTTAAACAACTTGTATTAAGTCGTTCAAGAACAACCTTTGATCCAACGTCTATTTTCAATGCACCCATGTTTACGCCTGAAATGTATGTGACGTCACCTTTGACCACGCCCCATGTACTGCTTTTTAAATTCTTGATGTTGTTTGGGTGGTCAAGAGGCCAAAAGTATTGAATTTTAGGGTATTTTTGTTCTAATGAAGGAATATAAAAGCTTAATTAGTTGGTCGACTATCATTTCTATAGACAAGAGGCATGCATTACATACCTATATCACATAACCCAAACGATGTGTCAGCGGTATTACATATACAGCGTCCATTGATTTCATCACAACTGTAGTGATACGAACATCGGGAAGAACACAAACTATCTGCATGACAATAGGAAATAACACTATATTACAACTGTAGGGATACGAACATCGGGAAGAACACAGACTATCTGCATGACAATAGGAAATAACACTATATTAAGCTCTTATCAACAATAGACATATGAATATTAATACCTGTTTTGTACAGTACTTCAATGTCGTCAACTGTCAATCTCGCCCTGGGTAGATGGTCCAGTAACTCATATGAGACATTTCCACGGTATACTGCTGTCTTCATGGAACCGTTGACACCAATAATCAAATCATGAGGCGATTCACCGTACACGAGACCGTGTGACTCCTGGAGACTAGTAGATACCTCAACGTGTTTACTGCTTATTTTCGCAACAGTTGAAGAACTGTTATTGAGGATGAACAGAAATGCACGTGTGTCTGGACGGTAGGTTTCTCTTCGACCTGTCAATCACTTGATATCAGTTATATTTTGATAGCTTTTAGTAGCATGCGATAACTATACTTACAAGATGATGGGCTATACGTTTGAAGCGTCCCAATCACATGGTGACGAGCGTCTGCCCATGACAACAAGTTTCCTGTAATGGAACCCCATCTCAAAGACAGCACGCGCAATGCCTCTTGGGACAAGAAGACGTCGATGATATTGAAATCAGTCAATCTTCCGATAAAAATCAGATTTGAACCTAAGTCTCCATTAGGGTTGTTGTCCTTGGGTGTTTGTCCCAGAATAACTTTGCCATCTTTTGGAATTGACTCTATATATTTATTCAAACTATCTTTTTTGAATGGTATTGAACCCTCTAACAATCCATCAACAGTGACGTCAACTCGGAGGTTTACGTCATACCATGTGACAGCCACGTGGTGCCAAAAACCGTCATTAATTTGCGTTTGAATCAGCAATCTAAAAATAAAAAAAATTGCATGAATTAGCGAGTTATCAATTCTAGATTTGTTGGCCTGCTCAGAATAAATCAAAGCAATCGAGGTCGATCTTTCATCACGAAACAATCTATATTACAGTAAAACGTCACTACATGAGAATGTACTAGAGTTCTTTTCTTATCAAAAATCTAAAATACAATAAGTGTGTAAAAATAATAATAATCGATATTAATGCTTGCCCATCGTAAAAATATTTATAGAAACAATGGAATTGAAGATAACAGATATCAACCATGGTGTTGTGGAAGGACATTACCTTTCTTGGTATTTATAGGGACTGGTACAATTCCTGGTAAAGTCCAATACAAACATCCACTTTGATGTGGTTTCATTCCAAGTGAAGCTTATGCCAAAGTTGTTTTTATGTGTACATGCATCATTCATGTATGACAGGATATACAAGTCTTTGTATGTATCAGTCTTCATCCACCATACCATTGTGAATTGATGCAGGTCTCGTATCCATGCTGAATTTATTGCTACATAGCCTACCACAGCAGATGGGAAAAAAAGGTCGTAATCCCTTTCACCTAAAAGCAAAGATCTTTGTTCAGATATTGATTGTAAGATTTCCAGTCTTGAATTGTTCAAGTCGCTCATGAGTAAAACTGGCAACACTGACAAAATACCTACTTGTGTTCCATACACAAGAAGACGGCACCACTGTTGTTGTTTCTCTGATACCTGCTTTAAAATCTTTCCAGGTAATGACGTTACCATGGTATACATGACGATATCCTTGACTCAGAATTCTTGCAAGCCCTTCATCAACCTCACTGGACCAAATATTTGCACCATCGAGTTTACCCATGTAATACTCTTTGTTTGAGGACCCTTTGCCAAGAAGAAAAAACGTTCCTTTCCGCAATACTTTGTTAATACTAAAGCTTGTTTTCTTCATAAAAACACCATTGATGTAAATGGTAAGGTTTTGATTGAAGTGTTTCCACTGGACAAAGATGTGATGCCATTTGTAGTCACTCAGAGCACACGGCACTGAAACACTGAAGAATGCAGTAAAGTAATAATCTTGTGTACTCACTTTATATCACTTTATATCTTTGTACAACATATCTTTGTACAACTTCTATATCAAGGTTGTTGTAGGAGGGCATTCTGGGATGAGTGGGGAATTGGGCAACCCTCAGTGAACACAACACTCTTATCCTCAGCTTTTGCGAAACACAACTCACACAATTGCCTGCATTATTTCGAATTACCTTTGAGAAAAGAGAGTTATATTTAAAGTGTTTGCTTGGTATTGAATGACCAACTGCTCTGGGGTCGTTGATAACAATACCATGCTAGATAATGATGACGTCTGCATCCATAAGGAGATGGTGAATGATGAAATGTCACGTGTCAAATTGACAATAGAAAAACTTTTCTGACCATCGAAGTCCAGACTAGACATTTCCTCGTTAGGACACTCTGTTGGTGATAACTTAGGTGATTTAGTATATTGCCATTATTTTGTGAATTTTAGATTGTTATTCGATTATATCCGAGTACCTTGTATCAAGCTGTCCTCGGTGAATCCGCCATATATGTTATTCCTACTGCGAACTAATGCTATGGTGGGGCCTTTTGATTGACAGAGTTTCTTAAACAACGTTATATTCCAGCCATGATCACGTGATGTGTAGCAAGGAGTCCATGATGTTTGTTGATTTTGTGCGGTCATGATGTCATTGAGGAACTTCATATATGTGGGTATATGGTTTATGATTTTCGTTTTTATCACTGTAAGCAAGAGTTACATTAAGTTGCTTTAGATGCTACCAAAATATCACTTAATAAGCACGAGTGCAAACAAACGGAGGCATTTGTTACCTGACGTGTTGCTAGTAGCATTGGGAGGTGTAAGCAAGCACGTTTGGACTGAAAACGTTATGTTGTCGATTGATAAATGTTCTCCTGGGTCGTTTGCCAAAATTCCTTCAAATTCAATCTGTAGATGGCAAAAATTAGACGCAACATTATAAGTAAACCATCTTTACTTAGTCTTTATTCATTTAATGATTCATTTCACCATGATTACCTTGAAGGAATGTACTCGATTAAGAGGTATACGACCTTCTTTCCAAACATTGCCAAGGTTACCGCTGGTTCTCCATAGCAACGTTTTCTTACCACTTAGCTCAATGATGTTGACATTAATCCGGCCAGTGGTATTTCCACTTATTTGATAATCAAAGAATATGCACGATATTGCGCTATGGAGGAGAGGACTGGTAAACGTCGAAGACTGACCTCTGTAAACTGGTAACGACTTTAGAGACAAGCAATAACCTGGAAAAAGTAGGTGTTCGATGTTTAAGACGCATGGAGCAATATTTATGTTACTCTAAAATTTAATGTCGAAGTGTCTGACTGCTAAACTATTGTCAATGACAACAAAGCTAGTTGTGAGATGGACAAGGACTGCCTCACTAGTATTGTATGTAATACCTGTCAATGACAACAAAGCTACAAGTTGGGAGATGGACAAGGACTGCCTCACTAGTATTGTATGTAATACCTGTCAATGACAACAAAGCTANGCAACGTTTTCTTACCACTTAGCTCAATGATGTTGACATTAATCCGGCCAGTGGTATTTCCACTTATTTGATAATCAAAGAATATGCACGATATTGCGCTATGGAGGAGAGGACTGGTAAACGTCGAAGACTGACCTCTGTAAACTGGTAACGACTTTAGAGACAAGCAATAACCTGGAAAAAGTAGGTGTTCGATGTTTAAGACGCATGGAGCAATATTTATGTTACTCTAAAATTTAATGTCGAAGTGTCTGACTGCTAAACTATTGTCAATGACAACAAAGCTAGTTGTGAGATGGACAAGGACTGCCTCACTAGTATTGTATGTAATACCTGTCAATGATGTATCATCTTCACAAGGTCCTATCTTTTTGGTTGACATGCAGTACAGACTCCTTTCCCAAGAAAACTTCTGTTTGGAGGAAATTTCAAATCTATCCAAACACATATCTTGTTCGAAATCGCAGTTTACTGTTGATGAGGAATCAGGTGAAGAGATCAGTTTGCAGCATAATAAAAGAAAACGGTTTAACAAATACTTTGATGAGGAGTAATTTATAGTTGTCTAATAATGTCATACTGATCACACTACTAACTAACATACTTGATTCATAATCCTTGAATACCATTCTTTGATCTATTTCTTGGTTCCATACTTTTAAATTTCCAATTTTTACTGGTGTAGTGCCAACACCTTCAGCCATCGTTAAGGCGATGGGTACTTGGTTAGTTACCTTGGTTACAGCGTTGCTAAAACTACTTTGCTCTTTTAGTGTGCCATTGTAGTAAACTTTGATCCCATTGGCTGGCGACCACGTGATTGTGACGTGAGTCCATTGTTGTAGCGGTGCTCTGTTCTCTACTTTCCATGTTTTTGAAGAAGTTGAATAAATGAAGCTGTTGCTTCCTTGGCGAAAAGCAAATTCAAGACCTTCCATGTTGTCTTCTATACCTGAATTGAGTAATATTCGAAGATGTTACTACGTTTTTATGCAAATTGTTGGTATATCGATGATAACTGAATATTGTCCTATTTTCTTGATCGTTTTTTTTTTTTTTCATTTGTCCAGCTATTATTACCTGTTTGGTTGCCGTAAATCTCTATTCTTAAAGCGCAGTACTTGGAGCATTTTACCGGATAAATACGAACAAACCTAACCATAACTGAACGAGGCATTACGGTAATAACTTCATCTAGTTGATTTTCGATGCCTTGAAATGTCTGTGGATCACAACGGAGCATGCGCATTACAATGTCGTATAGTTTAACTAACCTGATTTGAAAGGTAATGTGTAGCAACGCCACTTTAGCGTTCCTGAACATTGAGTCATTTATTTATTTACTAACGTTCCCCTTTAAAAAAAATACAAACGTATTGAAAAAATAAACAATTTCTAAAATATATTGATAAAAAGGTATGTAAATTTGATAAAGCTATAAAATACTTTTCAATGTTTTTTTGCACATGAATGTACCTTGTTATTGTACTTTGTCTGCATGTATTTCCACGTATTTCCATCTAGACTGTATGCAAACTGAAAAGCTCTAACGTAATGGATTTTGTTTGGACGTCCCTGCAACGCCAAACATCGTAATGCGGATACATTCCCTAGATCCACTTGAAACCAATAACCGATCTTCATAAAAGCTGGATGCCACGCCTTAGCGCCTTTTTTAGAGTTGAGTCTACCGCGATGTGGCCAGCGGAATTCCTTTGCATAATCGGGTTTATAAGTTGAAAATGAAGATGAAGCCGTGATTTTCTTATCGGCGATTGCACCACTTTCCATACCAAACGCTTCAGCACACTCTTAATGAAAACTTAGAATAAATACATTATATGCTACTCACTCCAGCAAAACATTTCACTTTGGGTTTTGTTGTTCATTTTGTTTTAGGGAAATGACAAGAAGGAAGGTAGTAGCTTGAGTATACGAAGGGGTTCGGGCCAAATCAGGGCTATAGGAAGTTACCAAATATGTCTACCTTTTGTTGTTTTGAAGATGTTCACAATCATGCATATCTGTTTGTGCCACTTCGTTGGCGTTATTTTTACACTGTAAGCTTGTATAGGAGGCAAAAACGAGTGAACAGTTTTCACCCATTTAGATCTGGATACATATACCTAGACAATGAAATGTCGATAAATAGTTTGAATATGTACTTGTTAAATAGATAAATAGTTTGAGGATGCAATGAGGAACTAGCTGTATTCAAAGGTAATAGTTACCCTTGGTAAAATTCTCCAAGAATATCTAGTACTTATTGAGGAGTAGTTGACAAGAAAGGCGGTGACGTAACCCTGTGTAGGATCTCCCTGTAAAGAGATGTGAGTTATAGTTTCTAGCTTGTCGAAGTCCCACTGAATGAACTGATCCAAAGCTTTTGAAGACGAACAAAACACATTGCTATTATTGATGAATGATGTAGATGGTTTATCTTGGACTTTGGTCGCTGGCACTAACAAGAAACAAAATATTAAGATATATCATATGGATGATAGAAAGTCTTTTATTAGGTCTACTGAGTTTATGTGAAAACGATTTCTTATATACAGATCTTAGTACTCCTAGAACATAATAGATACCTGGATAAACTGCTTAGCCACGAGAATACATATTGCTTCAAGAAACGTATAGCTGCTAAGTACTTACAGTCGTACAAGAAAACCTCGATTTCATCAGGGTAGAAGACAGAACATCCTGTAAAAACATTCGTTCCTTCTACAATTGTAACATTATAACTTGTGCCCAGGTTGCTCCAGCATGCTATTCGGCCGGATACATCTTCATATACAGTGAGGTCGTTAAAACCAAAGCTTGGACCAACAAACTGATTGGTGTGAGCAGCAAACTGTGTCTGATCTTGTTTGATGGGAAATTTTGTCGGGGGTAGTTGGTGAGGATTATTAAGAGTAAATAAGAATGCATTTGTGCTTGGAAGAAATCCACTAGAACCTATGAATGAAAAGAGAGAACCACTCAGCCAAGTTGATCGTATACTGACAAACTTAGTCACAAACAATTTAACAACCAACCAATCACCTCACCAACACATTTTGGCCTACCAACGAAATTTCTAGTCTATAATGGTCGTTGATTGGTCGTAAAAGCAAACTTACAACTTACCACCCCAACTTTGATCAATCATCCCTCCAAATATAAAACCTTTGACTTTTATTAGCGTTATAGTTGGTCCTTTAAAGTCACATTGATTGTGAAAGCTTGAAGCATAATAACCATGAAGCTTTGACGAGTAGCAACGAACCCACAATGCATGATGGGATATGATAGGTGATAGCCATGTTTTAAGCTGGTCATAGTACATATTATTATCACCCAGAATACTTGATATAAAAACTAGAATGGAAAGATAGAAATGATAATTGTAACAGTGAGACAATACATGTAAAACGATGACAAAGTCGCAAGAACTAAAACATCAATATTTCATCTACCTTTTTGTTTTATCCAGAAGGACATCGCTATTCCCAAGGTTTGGTTTTTTACATATGATGATGTAATTGAACCTTGTTTATTAAAAATAATCGACTCATCTGGTTCAATTATTCCACCTTCAATGTGCGCTGAAGCGTTCATTTTATCATCCACTTGGAACGAACCATTGTTACTTTTAAAGGTCCAACGATACGTCTCTAAGATGACAAGAAAACAAGAAGTAGTGATCCTTTCACCAGTGAGTTCTTGATCTCATTTTATTGTGTTATTAAGACGACTATGTTTATGGACTAATGACAAACAATGTTGATAATAACGCAGGGAGATAAGTCAAAAACAATAATCATAACAAACTGAATGAGTACTTTTTATCACAAAATTCCTACAGTAGCTAAATCACTAGGTTTATATTATTTGTGGGATGATAATCAATACCTTGTAGGGTGCACGATGAAGGGTACAGCACTTGAACATTAACTGGAACCCAGGCCCGAATTAATGCCCACATCAACATATTACCAGATTCTACTCCAGGCCCCTTGGATATTGCTTCAATAAAACTCTCATCTTTTACAAAATCCCATAGGTGCATGTGACAAATTTGACCAATGAAATCTTTTGAAGTCTGGATAGAACTGTCACTAAGAGTGTCCTGATGTCGTCCTATATTCAGGATTCCTGCCTTTGAGAACACGTGGGACTTATGGCCCGTGCTTTGTTTTATACGTTTACCTCCAATATATACGCTGATGTGACTCAAAGATCCTGTCCATGTGATGCAGATATGGTGCCATTTGTCATCGAACAGATTACAATTTATCAAAGCACTATCAACAGATACTTAATATTTTAGTAAGAAAGGAAACGTATTTTTCTTGTGTCGTTTTAATGGGTGTGTTGCCTGAGATGCACATTCAGGGTTGTTAGAACACAAGATGAGACTTACTTAGTAGCTTACCTTACGTTTGTACAAGAAATTTGTAATTGAACAGGTGATGAAATGGCCAGATTACATTTCAAGTCATCAGACACCAGGGAAAATAGTGTACCACTATGGTGCTTGCTAACTTTCGTCCACAGGCAAATCGTGAATGATGTTAACTCGGTGAGATTGCGTAGACGAACGTTGGTATGAAATGAGCGAGATGATCCCAAAAACAATGTGAAGTCATTAGGCAGGTCTAACGAAAAAGAATCATAATTAGATGCAAAAACAAATCGATGAAAGAGAACCTTTTTACGGGTAACATTTTTATTACAAAATCTTATTGTGATTGTTCGAGAGATTTGAACTTTTGAACAGACCACGGCCGTACCCAATCTAGTACAATTCCTGGTGAGAATGTACTGGAAAATAAGTCAAAGAATCTCTTAGTCGCAGATTTACCTTTGAAAGGTCTGATCTTCAGTTCCACCTTATCAAATGATGTATTTAAGAACAAGTTTTTAAAATCAGCCAACGATGTGAGTGGTATGTTAGACCCTGAACACCCACCAATTACTGTGTTTGGTGATTCCATTCTAAAAGAGTTGCACAAAGTACGAGCAAGATTTCCTTTACTTGGATGTACTTCTGCAAGAAGTTGATGCGATTCTTCTGTCATGGATGCTACAATGGTACCTCCAAGCCAAAAATTTTTCTCGTTTTCCCAGAACCCATCGGTGTAGTTTTGGATCGTTTGATCAAAGTATTCATTGTTATTGGTTCTGGTACCAATAATCAACCATCCTCCACCGTTAGTTTCCTGGTCGCATGGTAGTTGGACTGTAACTGATTCATGTGTAAAATTAACCTTGTCTTTGCCAATAAGAAGAGCACCCATACAATCAGCTGGAAAACAAATTGAACTTTACCAGAAAACAAGAAATAGAAGCGACAACGTATTTACAAAGATACTGTCAATAATCACTACCTGGTTGATATGGACGTGTCTTGGTACATTTACCGATGTCTGGCCATGTTTCCACACTAGATTGAGTTACCTGAGGACTTGAAGAACTAGAATACACTGGCTTCCAAAACGTTTGATAAACACTTGAACCAACCGCTGAAATGAAACAGAGAAAGGGACTCATAAGCTAAAACATGATCAGAAGTAAAAGAAGGAAACGTACTGGTCTCTTTCATAGAGTGTTTAACAACAGTGTGAGCATGTAATTCTAGATCGAGGAAAAGTATCGAAATAAAAACAAAGAAATTAGTTTAAATCTGATTCTTCGATGTTTTCTTACCCATTAGGGTAGCAATATCGTTATCTGATAAAGCTCTTTTAAACACCATAAAATCACTTAGATAGCCAAGAAAATACCCATAATCCCATGATGCATAGGTTCGTCCAAGGTACCACTGGTCTGAAATGGGCGTCACCCAATTCTGTGTACGGTTTGCTTTTCCTTTGTGGATCAGCCGACCATCAACGTACAAACGCACGTGATAGCTTGTCGTATCTTCTTGCCACACCAAAGCGACGTGCTGCCACGTGCTGCCACTTCCGTTAATTAAATCCTCTTCAAACAAAAATGTTATACTAGTCAATAAACCTGATTTTGGTTATCACTTTCAATCTAAAACACTTCTACTGGGATCATTATTATGCACAAACCTGTGGTTTCCAAAACACTGACTTTTGTAATGTTTCCAGATTTATCAATATAATGGCTTCTTTGAACAATAAGGCTATTTTTCAATATTTTGAGTATAAACTCATCGTGATTGTTGACAATAGTCGCATTGCGGGGTTCGTCTGATATGTATTTCATCCAAAACGAAAAGGTGAAATTCCCATTCAGGTTTATTCCTGGTTTTAGTGTGGCATACGCTTCAGTGCTATCAAGAAACAAAGACTTGCTGGTGCTGTAACGACCTTCTAGATAAACCGCACTGTAATTCAGTCTGAAATAGAAAGTAAAGGTCGATTTACCGGTCAAATTTTGCTGCTTTAATTGGTAATCTGAAATCATTGAGATTGAATGGATCAGAGACGTCCGTGATTAATCATTCATTTTTTTTTTGTACCTCACATTGGTGTCAGGACCATTCAGAGTCCAATGATGAACCAAGCCAGCTCGATTCCATTGAGGCGCTGAAACAACACCTTTTGTTAATATTCCAACTTCTAAATAATTTCAACAGTAAAGAAACGAAATGTTTTGGATATTATAACTGGTTCAAACTCTCGTCAGTGCGCTTATTCATCATACAGGCCATAGATCTTACCTTGTTCTGAACAAATATCAACATGAACGCCTGAATTGACCTTAAACGATTCCCATGGTATGACGTCACCTCTCTCGACTCCACAACGCTGACCAAGTATTGCAATCACTTGAGTCGGCAGAACGTAACTCCACATGTTAAAGTGGCTGATTAGACCAACAAATTGCCCCAACTTGCCTCCTAAATATACCTGATCTCCAGGCTTGATTACGTAGTCCTTCGAAAAACCTGTAACCATGTCAGCAAGAGCCGAGTTTACATATAGCCTGCATCGTCCATCATTGTTTGTCCATGTCAGGCAAATACTGACAACATTGCCTGTAAGCTGATGGGACTTCAAAATCCTGACAAATATAAAGGGATGCATACCATTTGGTTTGATTGTATACCAAACTATGAATCATGAATGGTTAGTGTTACCTCGAGACAACAAAAGCAAAAAAGGGAAGAAAATGCGATATGGATTGGAATATAAAAGGCAAGTTTGTTCATTTGGCTTAAACATTCTTATGCTATAGGTTTTGTTCTTGCGCTTATGTCGATTGACGGGTAAATTGACTATGTTTAATAGGTATACAGATGAGACCGCTTTACTGATAAATCAATAAATCACTCGGATTTCATCAAATGACCGAACAAGAAATGAAGACAATGTGTACTTTAGCACTTGATTCTACTTATCTCCTATCTAACAATCAATTAGAACACAAATTATTAGTTTATATAAGATTATCATGTAATGATGCATATATATATCACCCCCATACATCCTGTGAGGGCTATTCAAAATAACTCGGTTTGTGAACAAGTAAGATCACCAATCATCGGCCACTGATGGACCTTTCTTGAGGCGCGAAGCATTCAGATTTGGATTCTGATTCAAAAATAATAGAATACAGACTCTCTCAGCTGTAATTTGATTTGTAGAATACTCGTAGAATCTTGTACGCGTGTAAAGGCGTTGTTTTTGTTGACAAGCATGTCATGGCTTTTTAACGGAAATTTGAACACACTTTGTTTTTAATTAAAAGCTAGAGGCAAAAAGATTGCCTTAGGATATTGACAACTATTGATGTTTACTTACTTTTTACTTGAACCAATTTGAACGGTTACACTGCTAGAGTTCTTCATTAGCATACTGAAAATTTGAAGGCCGTTAGACCCTTTTAACGAGAAAACTGTCATATCACGTGATCCCTGAGCAACTTTCATCCAAAAACAAACCGTTAGTTCGTTTTGTGGTACTTGGACTTTTGATGGTGAAGTCGCTGGTTCAGATGAAGAAGAAAAATCCAATGCAAAGCGGTTTTCTGAAAGAAAGAAAAATCAATTCTATTATAAAACAAGTAACCTGTTTTCTGAAGCGCTGTGCAAATAACGACACTGTCTTGTATTCCAATTTTTTTAAAATATAATTTATTCCTGTTAAACATGAAATTTTGAGATAGTCCAAAGGCGATGAATAAACCAAGTCGGAAAGTTCAATGTGAAACGAAAAACGAATTTTATTCACAGTAATGCTTAAATGTACCCCCAAAACACATTACTTTTCAGGGAATTCCTCAAACAAACGGGTTTATTTTATTTGTTGTAGCAACAACTCACGCAAAATTTAATGGGATTCGAGCGTTTTCTCAAAAACACGTCTTCCTAGTGCGGAGATTCATTTTCGTAAAGTCAACACAACGAAATTGCGGCTCGGAAATGATTGACGTCTCAGCAAACTGTATTGAAGAAGTTTTACAATATTATATAAACACTATTTTAAGGTCGAACACCAACAGTTCTATGCTAATCACCTCAACAGACATAAAATTGGTTGTCCAGATACTTCACTGTTTTTAAGACTATATATAGATTGGTACTTAATGTTCCAATTACACAACTACATTAATATAGCATCAATTCGATGTTTTAAACGTTTTTTCGATGAATTCAAACATCGTGTTGTCATGGTGATGCTTTTCTCTCTTTTTTTTGGAAACTCGTATCATGAAAATATGGAGATCCCTATTGATAGAACTTTGTTTGGAAAACATCAAAAAGGCTTGAATTCAGTAAATCTATATCAATCGACATGAGTAATGATCCCTTTTTCTGTGTAGAGGTTTGATTTATACCAATCGTAGCATATAAAGTAATTTAACTTCCCCATTAGAATTAACAAATAAAGGGGATAATAAATACCTCCAATGCAATATATGCGAGAGAGAAATAGTCAAACAGAGCTGATACGCAAGGGTTATGTATTTTGAGTCCTACAAGGTGCATCATAATGTTTTCAATTGATGTTCTAGTTGTGATTTCAACATTTATTGTCGCTACATGAATCCAATCATCTTGAATTCAATAAAATTTATGCAAAGTGGTCATTGAAACTTTCTATAGAAATGACAATGTGAAATAAAATGAATGTGTCTTTCCCAAAATCTGGGTTGTTTCAACAAAATATATAAAAATCCTCATAAAACAAAACAACACATAACTCCTACCTTGACATTTGAAAACTTGACTCCTTGCTTCGCCATACACCGACGCCAAAATAACCTGATATAATAGAGAAAGTAAAAGTACATGCATCATTGCAAACGATTAACCGAAAAAGATCATACCATCGTTTGTAGCAAGCTGTTCATCGTGATCTCGTTGGGGCGATAGAAATATCGACCGAACATCAGCAAATAAATTAAAAGTTCTCAATGAATTCGTTACTGTTTTTTCTTCCCTTTTTCGGCATCTTCTGCCCTGTTTCTAAGGTCCTTTTCAATGAATCAGTCGTTGGTTGCACCTGTCTCGAGACTCTTGATTAGTTGCCAATGTCAATTGGTATTTTTCTGCTTGTTTAGCTTGCTGTAAAACAAACATACCCACAAAATAGGCCTATTTTACAATGCTGATTTAGGATTAGACTAAGCTGTAAATTTCGAAAGTTATGAAAAGTGCTGCGAGACAAAGCTGTTAGCATTAGATAACGAATGATGAATTTCGCTTTTCCAATAATTGCATCAATGACATTTTTCATGTCACTGGACGAGAATTATTATCATACTTGAACTGACAGTTTTCAATGAAAAATACTTAACATGCATAATGTTTTCCTGTAATTATGGTAAGGGTCGGTAAAACTTGACTCTTGATGATAATTCTGTTCAAATAACACAATAATAAAAAGGTATTTTGTCGGGACAAAACAATTGATATTTTGAAAACTAAATTGCACATGTCATCGACAACCTATTGCGTAGGAAACGTGTATAACTTAGTAATTATAACGATGCTAGAAAAACAAGGGCAATTTTTCACGATAAGGACGGAATGTATAAAGTCGATGAAGGATACTGTGGACCGAGTAGGCCGTAAAATTGACATATGAAATACTTGGAAAAATAATCATTGTGAGTTTCAATTTTGAGCAACACTATGACGTTCCAGCCCCCCTCCCCCCACCCAGTAACCATTCAACAAAACAACACAAAAAACATCGATGAAAGGGGCGCGGGGGAACTGCTATGCAAAAAGGGAATGAAAAAATGTAAGACTTTAGGCAATCTACATTATGGTCCAAGGCTATATGGTGACAATTGTATCAATCACACTACTGTTCATTTGATATCTAATAACCACAGGTTTATTTGGCGAGTCATCAAATTGATATTATACCTTTTTCTTTTCGAAACTGTCGGAAGCTTTTCTCTGTTCTGTCATATATTTGAAAGAAGAACTTTCAGAACTGTCTAATATAAATGTTTCAAACGACTCATTGCAAGTCACACAAAACCAATTAAGACACTTTGTCTCCAGCAACAACTTAAGTACCGCACACACATTTGTAGAATGAGCAATTACGAGGAAACAGATTCTTTTTGATTAACGTTCTCCGAAATGCTGTGATCAGAATAGACACAAATTTCCTCCTTTAACAAACTCGAACACCACTAACAACGTTCATTGGACGCTCATCTGAAAATAGCACAACTCATTAAGAAATACGATATTACGCGCCGCATGTTGTAGTTTTAGACCTGAAATGTCATATGTTTCTATTAAATAGTGACCGCCATCGTTCATAAATGGACATTTTGTTCTTGATTTCAAAAGACAAGTGGAAGAGCATTCTAGAATGTGTTTTGTTTCCATAGTAGCCGCACGAAGAAGTTACCATAGCAAAGATTTGTCTGTCGACAACATTCAGCAGTTAAAAGATAGCTCATTTATTTCCCTCAAGTCTTAGGAAAAAAGAGAAGGCAAAACACAATGCTTGTTTAGTTATCTTCACTTGCTGTGTACAAGATAAACTAAGAAATAACACGCGAAACAACAAACATATCATGAACAACAAGCTAAACAAAAACCGCAAACAACACACATGCGACAATAGATACAACTTACCAAACAACAACAAAAAACATTGACTACTCACGAGATATTCCCTCTTTCTATTTACGCTATTCAAAGGAATGCGAACACATTCAGGACTCATTGCTCCCTGAGAGAGTTTCTTTCCTTCGTTTTTCAAGAACTTTCTATTTGTTTAATGTGACGTCATGGGTAAATACAGTACTTACCCTCTTATAAGACCCATTTTTTTCAAATTTAGCCTAAAAGGGTTTATTATGTAAATGGTCAGGTTCTTAAAAATAGGTTCTTATTTATCCCTAATGTAATAAAAATTTACAAGGTTTTCAAACTTTATTTATACTAAATTTAGCAGTTTATACATGTCCAAGTTCACTACAGTTTGAGTTTTGAGGTTAATTTCTATAAGAACCTTTCTACAAGAACCTCTTTCAAATTTTAGGCTAAATAGGTTCTTAATATGTAAATAGGGTCTAAATTGATATAGGCTAACAGGTTCTTATTAAGTACTGTAGTACATGTAGGGCTGCTTTAGATCATACATTTTCAGTTGGTTAAAATTCTCTAGCAGTACAATATATCGTTTACAGAAGTGAAAATAATTTTGTTCTGGCCAAAAGAACTTTTTCTGTCTTCAGTGTAGTGATGCTGGCTGATCATAATACTTCGTTATAATGCGCATTAAAGTACAAATGTTCTATTCCTCTGTGAAAATATGCTCTCTATTATGTTACATGATGAATGTTGCTGATCGAAGATGGACCGTCAATCGTCGATCATGACCTTTCTGATGGATACACCGAGCAAATAAAATTACTTTCTCCCTCTTTTTATGTCCAGTTTACATGTACTTGAGTCCTGTTAACCAACGCAGAATGCCACGGACAGATCCGCTCATCCAGAAACACATTATTTTAACTCGAAGTCTTGATCTGATGTTTGATTGTAGAATCTAGTCTAAAATTGATATCTTTTACTCAAACTACTCCTCATTGAACTCGTTTATTCGTTTCGTACATGTAACGTAAAACTGAGATCAATATCAACGCTGCTAAAACGAGCACAACAACTGCCTCTGAACTACAAAACATTATTACTGCTTATTGATGTGTTTGATGAACCTATTTGACATTTTTCTGCAACAAAAGAAAACATAATTTAATGAATTCGTAAAAATAATTGTCCAAACAGATATAGTTTAAGTGAGGCTGGGCACCAGGTCTCCGACATTATGTAGTTCTCGTCTGACTGATCGATTTTACACCGGTGGATACTGTGCTATCGCAGTCTACTAATTCTTACCTTGTCACGAAGCAGCTCAATGATTTTAACATTTTCCGTACTTTCTTGGTAAGTCTTTCCGTCTGGGTATTTGCCACTTGTATCCGCACCCTAAATTACGAATTGTTGAGTAACGTTTTTCCATAGTATATTAATTGTTTTATAATTGAATCATTGATTAGTTATTGATTGAAGCAGATATATAGGTATTACATAAACACACGCCCTTGAGTTCTTAATCAGGCTACATCACACAAGTCACATTCCCTGATTCCATGGTCTTCTGTCGGAAGTACAAAACTCGACATGATTGTAGTGGACCAGTTGATGTTAACTCACCATTTCAATCAGAAATTTCACCAGATCTGGATTATTGGTATCAATGGCAATCATCAATGGTGTGTAATCGTCATCATCTGTCATCTACAGCAAGATAATTATTATCAATGCACACTTTGACTTGAGCTGAACGCACGGGTGAGCTTTTTGAACCCAAAAGAATTGTTATAATACCGAAGAGATAATACCGAAGAGAAGAAAAATAGCTTCAGACTCCAAAGAAAACAATTTAGCAAAATAGTCTGGCTTAAAAGCAAAAACAGAACTTATCGCAAAACAAACATAAAGCATTGTCTTTGTAAGATAAGCCAGCATCTAAAATAATCTAATTAAGAATAAAAAACAGAAGGTTTTATCCTAGTATTTAGGTAAACAAACTCTTTGTCTACAATCAAATTGTAAAATGCAACACTTACGTCGATATCGGCGTGATGTTTGTTCAACAAAGCTGCAGCAATGCGTTTTTTATTTTCTTGAATTGCAAAATGAAGAGGTGGTCGGCCATTTTTGATAGGCGCATTTACATATCGACCCTACGGGAAACAGACAAAGAATGTACACATATTTAGAATGCACGCTGATCAAAAGAATAATAAAAATGTAAACACTGGCTCGAGAGTTGTTTGTTAATTCGTATTTTTGTCTACAAATATAAATCTTTTATTCCTTCAAAATCAGAATTTCATTTCTTGTTTCATATTGTATCATAGTTAACCTTGTTCTGTTGCTTCAAGTCACTGATCAAAAACTTTGTAAAACTTTCAGATTCTTTGATCGGGCATTTTTAGTTGTCTCATTCAAAAGCGGTGAACATTTTTCTTAATTTGGATGCTGTGTATGAAACTGGTAGAAACATGTTACGACATCAAAATGATATCTATAATGATGCTAGATATATATGTTTGATCGCAACCCGTCAGTAACAAGGGCTCAAAATAACTATGATATATTATTGATTAATAAAGCTGGGAAGTATTCGAACAATATTAAATCAATACTTACCGGCTGCCTGAGCAAGTGTTCTAATTCAAGTACACTATCAGAACGAATGGCGTTAACAATACTCATGATCTTTCGAGTTGCCCACTTGAATAAGTCTGTTGTCTTCCTCCACGCAGAACAACTACATCATATGGGCTACCTGTTTCGAATGGTGAGAGACTAACACTCTTGCCCGCTCCATATCTTCTTAGGCGATCACCGTGAACAATGCCGTAGATGCGACCAGGGTCAGCTTGTCTCAATAACACAAGCAATAGAAATATTCTCGAATAATTCACGACACCGAAAAAACAGCTTCAAATTTACATGATGAACTTAGGATGAGTGACAACAGGCCCACAATTCTTTTCGAATCGTGTTTTTCAGGTTACAGGTTTGGTACTGCTTAATGCGGAACATACAAAACAAAAAGTGGTTTATTGGTCTTTATTTCTTACATCAGCTGAACCTTAACTCTATTCTACTTTAGTCAGTTATACAAAAACGTCATTTGAAAAGCTCTTTGATAGCCTCGTTTTCAGTGCACTCTATGTATTTGTCACCATCCGGGGACTTGCCTTTTTTGTTTGCACCCTGAAAAGACGAAAACACGGTGGCTATTATTGTGATGCCATGCATGCCATGCCATGCTACCCTCTTTGTCCATACATTTGATATTTGCATTTATTGCATTTTCCATATTTGCATTCTATCGATTCTTATTAGTCGTTATGTCGCCAAAAAAAAAAAAAAAAAAAAAAAATGTCGCCAACCTGTTCCAGAAGGAATTCAATCATCTTCTTATTTTCCTTGAGAATGGCGATATACACAGGAGTACATTCTCCTTCATCTTCCAACTGAAAAACAATCAACTGATTAATCGAGAACAGAAATCAGATGGCCATCATCGGTAAGAAGATCAGAACAAGAGCGAGAGCGGGGGCTACAGCTTACGGCGTGAATCCACATGGTATTTACTCGCACATAAGAACAAAAAAATAAAAATAAATAACAAAAAAATAGAAGTAAAAATTAATAAATGAATAAATAAAATGGAAAAACACAGCTAAACACAGGATGATGGAAACGGAGTAAACCCTGGTCATCCCTAAATTCCCCAAAATATGCGATTTTCCGTGTGTGAGGTTCCCGAAGGGTTTAGTTAATAAAGGCTGCATCAAATATAGACGTCCAACGCGGACCGAACGGACACACCCATCGATCGAGACCCGCTCTTTGGAGTTCTGTCTGGAAATAGTCATTTATACTGTCGCATCATTTTTTGCCCTAAAAAGGTCAAAACTTTGAAAATGGAAGCAATAATTTCCACAAAAAAGTTATCAGATCGCGATGGATCAGACTGATTAATTTCGACAACTGGCCTCGCCGTCAAAAGGCGATGTCTATTTCTATGAGACAAATTATGTCAAGCACGTATCACTCTTTCACCAACTCAATATTGAGGTTGAATGAAGGTTTCTTTTGGACAACGTTTTTATGTGAAACACTATTTCAGATATTTAGAAGTTAAAGACCGTTTATCACATCATAAACGCTTATATATTTGCTTTCTTATGTTTAGTTATTTCAGTAACATATTTTGGGAGCTTCAGTCACCTTCTCGAATAGAACAGTACGGATAAATTAAAACTCCACTAATAGATCCAAACAACTTAAATATTGACTTAATGAGAGCTCGCTTGGAAGCTAGCCAAAGCAACCCGCTGTGCACAATAACAATCGTTTCTTTTTTAGAAGATGATAGCTTACATCTGGGTCTGCCCCCCTGGAGATCAGATGCTTGCAAACTTCAATTTTTCCTGCATCAATAGCATGGTGTAATGCTGTTCGGCCTCCAGTTGTAGGTGAATTGATGCAAAACCCCTGCGTCATATAAGAGTACATGTCAACAGTGTTAACTTAGGCTTACATTCCTACACAACCTACACGAAATGCTTGAAACACCCAGCTACTGAAACTGTCGGGTTTTTTTGCTGAAAGTTTTTAAGCAGTTTACACAAGTTCCTTCAATCTAGCTAGCTGTCATTCAAGAGGATAAAATCTTAATAAAGATTGCAACTCACGCAACATATCAGATAAATGATTTTTGGTTTCGCGCTTTCAATCGTTATATACTATTATTCTTGTCTTACTGGTTTGCGGAGTTCTGCATCAATAAGTTTGATGTCGCCAGACCTTACAGCACGTACAATGCTAGCCATGATGTACTTAATATACTGACTTTACTACGAGAACCGTTTAGGGGTGCGTCGTGGTCACGTGATGCACTTATTTGGTCACATCTACAACAGGTAAAAATCAGAGTTCAAATCGCAGACGCTGATGAAATGCGATACGTTTGTTTTTGACTTATATTTGATAAGTGGCCAATAGATTGCCCTGGAGTCGACGGATAGTAATCTATCTTTAATCCGTAAGGTATGTAAACTGAATACAAAGCAGCCCAGTGATTGCTTCTATGAAATGAATAATGGTATTATAAGTGGAATTGTTTAGAGCTATCAAATCCTAAAATGAAAATCAATTATTAGTATCAATTATTTATCAAATTCTGATTATCTTCAATGGGATATACTCAACGTCTGACCTATGTCTCCTAGAGCTTAATGAACATCAAAACAGGGAAAAATTTGTAAAACTAAATTTGTAGTTAATAAAACTGACCTAAAATCATAAAAACATCTTTGCAATGGCACACATATGGAACAGCACACCTCAACTCCACTTCCTTATTTATAAATTGAGCCCGCAATATTTTAAAAGTATCAGCGGTAGTATGATGCTCGAAGAATCAATATGGCGTTATTCGATGTCATATCTCATGATAACGTCGGTGATTGTAAATATATCCTTGAACGCGACCCTTCTTTAGTTCATTCGGTAGGATGGCATGGAATGACACCATTACATCGTGCAGCTACAAGAGGAAATTTAGAAATACTACAGATTTTGCTAGAATTTGGAGCCAATGTGAATGCATTGAACGGATTTGGCGAAACACCTTTGCATTTTGCTTGTCAAACAGCAAGTTTGAAATTTGTGGGTATTTTGGTTAATAAGGGAGCAGATATTAAAGTTATTGACAATGGCGGGAGAAGCAGTGTCCATCATGCCGCAAGAAGTGGTTCAGTGTGAGTATTTATTCATAAAGTCAAATTGTCAACAATCAACCTGTGTAGTACGTGTGCTATTAAATATTAAATCTTTGGTGGACCAGTGTTGTTTCAATATTATCAACAAGCATACATATATAATCAGATTGAATAAAGAAAACTTAAACATAAAAGTATTGTTGTTTCTTTTGTCTGATGTTGTTGATAGGTGGCCTATATTAGTTGCTTTCATGCAATTAGACAAAAAGAGTTGAGAATGTCCTGTATGATATCACTGATATGCATAATGTTTTGCTGCATCCCATATCCTCCCCTTTTGCTCAATATCACATATGAACATGTAGTTCTGGATGCTCTTTGGCTGCTAGCAATGTATTCTTTGGTATCATGCTGCCTTATTTGGCATTGTTTCAGATGGAAAATTCACTATTTTGTCACACTTGGACTTGACCTACACAAGCGAGACAGCAGGTAATAATATTAGCCTGGACACCAGTTGATCATGTGACTTGAACCCACAATTGACAGCTACTAATAATTTTGAATATCTATACCAAAACCATTATTGAACAATAGCAGAATGCAATATATTTGTTGATAAATATCTTGCAATAAAAGTACTCACTCTGTTTTAAAACTATTCTAAAGGATAAAACTAAAGGATTTTAACTTTCTTAATTATTTTCTTTTTCCAGGGGTCAAACTGTACTACACATTGCAGCAGAATGTGGGCACATTGACCTTATTCAGTACTGTTTAAGAAATAAGGTATTTGACTATGTTTGTTCTATGTATTGCCTCCTTCTATACCACTGTTTTTGTAATTTTTCAGCGTTTCGATCCTGGAATTACTGACAACAGTATGATGACTCCTTTACACTTTGCTGTTCAAAGTAAGAATCGGTAAGAGTTGACTCCTAGATATGACTTTCAAATCCTTGTACCTTGAATGAGTATAAATGTGTAAAACTCTCATTACTTGACCCATGGTACATTTCTGATTCCAGTCAATGTGCTTGGTTAGTGGAAAGCTCAAGCCATAAATCACTTGTCTTGTTACCTGATATCCATGGTTCTACACCAGTAGACTATGCTGCTAAGGGGAATACCATGGAGTAAGTACGAATTGTACGAAGATACTAATTGTATAATTTACTTGAAAGAATCTAAAATTGCTAATTGAATATAATTCTTCAAGGATATAGTCATTAGTTACCATGTATTGAAGAGAATGGTTTCAAACTATCGCTTTCTTTCTTTCTTTTTTGTCCAGTCACAGGTGGTTACAAACACATCTAAAATACTGGAATGCAAGCCGCTTTGCAGGCTATCGACCAAAGCCTTGGTTGCCATGGTTACTGCTACTGATGTCTCCCTCCCTGTTAATATGTCTAATTGTTTATTGTGTGAAAGAATATTCTTATGTTGGTTGGCCATTAGCTATAGTTCTCTTTGCGACATTCTATGCATGGGCATTCACATCACATAGAATACGACATGTTTCTGGATTTCCTAATCCTGCCTTTGCTGGCCTGTTTTTTGGAGTTATTCTTCAGAGTTTAGTGTGTTATACAGTAGACTTGGCACCTCATATCCTTGAATATTGTGTTTGTGAATTACAACCTTAACCTTATTTTCTTGGCATAATTTTGACTTTGCTTGTCTTATTTTAAAATGGATTAACTTAACTTTTTACAAGTCTTTGGCCTGAACTGTTTTGGAATACTATAGCACTCTTTGTTTTTGTTATTCTGTTGTGGGAAATCAAGTAAGTTGAACTATTAAATCAATATTTTTTTGACTAGTTTCCTCTGAGAAGGAGCTTTCCATTATTTCCCATTTTTTCCCAGGAAATTGTATAGTGACCCTGGAAGACTTAAAACCTCACGATTAAAGGATGATGGTCAACCTTATGTACGTTTACCTTGTAATTTGTTTATTCTGGTAATTTCACAGATAGTATTAGTATATAGTGCCATTATACAGTATAGCGTGTCTTATTTAATTTTTGCTTATACTAGTGATGGGTTATTTTAACGGATGTGTGGGGTGTCATTTATCTTTTTTGTTTTTGCATGATAATGTTATGTACATTGACAAAAGTTGTTTCTTTTCAGACTATAATTGATATTGCAAATGGATTACTTTCTTCAGATGATTTCTGCACTGATTGTGAGGTAAGAATATATTTAGTGCAGGAATATGTGACTATGTAAATCTATCTAAAATCCAGCAAACTGAAGTGCCCCTTTTAAAATCTGTATATTTTCTTTCAGATTGTCACCCAACCATTTACTAAACACTGTAAACTATGTAATCATTGTGTTGTTGCTATTGACCATCACTGTTTATTTCTAATGTGGTGTGTTGCACTCAACAATCATCGTCATTTTGTGATGTTTATGATACAAGTCTTGGCATCACAGTGTCTGTTTATCAGGGCATCTAGTACATGTAAGTGAATTCATGGTTTACTCTTTTATTTGCACAAGTGATTCTTGAGAACTGAATGATTTGAAAGCATCATCAATATCTGTGTTAAGTACTGAGGGAATACAATCAATTTTCAGAGCAGTTATCAGTCAAATATTTACAAGTAGTTTTCATTTGTTTTGTAGATTTATATAGCTTGGTCCAGTTAAATGGCAAATATCCCACTTCATTTAGGGTAAAGAGCAAAATATGATTTCAAGTGCCATATTTTATATTACAATGAGTGGTTTGTTTTTCACCAGGAGGCAATGGGACAGGAAGTGTATATTTCATCTTTATTTCTCTTGAACTGCTTTGGCTTTTTCTGGGTCTTAATGGTGAGACCTATTTCGCTTTTATCCTTTAATCAAATGTATTGTTTATAAGACGAATTTRATCACTGGGACTGATACATGTCTGTTGTCATTTATAGTTGACCATATTTCAATTCAAAGTTGTATCAGAGGGTGCAACAACATTTTATACTCCTGAAGGATCTCAAAAATATTCGTAAGTTGTATTTGTCGAATGATTGTTGGTGTTTGTACATGTGTCTGTCTTTCTGTCTGTCAAAAATGATTGTGATGTTAATATTAATATCTAACATTATGGTGGTAAAGAGAATAATGGTCCATTTGTACAATAGCATGATAATACTTAAAAGGTTTGCCCATTAATCTGCAAAAGGAATAAAAATCTGAGTAACAGTGAACGTAGTTGTCGCGCCAATGCCCCATCTATATTGTGGTTATTGTCAGGGGCGGATCCAGGATTTTTTTAAGGGGGGGGCAGGCTCCTCCCCTACATCTGCCACTGATTGTTAAGAATGTTGTTCTAAACTAAAGGCTCTAAAGTTTGTCAAGTGGAAAAGCCTTTTAAGCGCAGGTTTTTGTACTGATTTCTTTTGTTGTTTTCAGAATGAGTATGCGAGAGATGTTTAGCTTTGGACGTGTGGCGTTTTTACATCGACTACGGAATTTTTTCTTGTTTCTTATAGGAGATTATTCATTTTATAAAAACAAACAATGGGAACAATCTGTATAATAATTGCTTATTAAAGTATTTTTAAAATATTTTCCAATGTACTTAAAAAGTTAAATATGAATTTACACATTGATTAAATGATGAAACCATACCTAATAATAAACTATACACGGGTAATAATCCTATCAGTTTTAAAATAATAATGTTAGACATTGTTCCATAAGATGAATGTGGTCATCTTTTCATATTTGTATTTACGGATGTTTATTGGACTAGTTTTGTATTCTCTGTCAGGGCGACAATCATTGTAAAATTGTTCTCAATGAATTTCAAATAAAGAAAAATTCAAAAATGGTCCCCCTCTCAGTCACATCAAACTGAAATTGGTTTCACGAATTTAGTGTTATTTTTAGGCACAAGTATTAAATCAAACGAATCATGCGTATTTCTGATTAGGAAGACCTAGAAAACACTTAGGCGTTTCCTAGAAAACACTTAAGTGACCTTCCCTTTCATAATGAATATGACGTAAGCGTTCCAGATCAATGTAGAAATTACTGTCGCTCTATTGTCGAATGGCTTTACGTATATATGGCCGTCTATGAAATTAAAATGCATTCACTACAGATCGAACGAATTCCATTCTTAGCTCTCTCTTTTCATTTCTTCTATAACACATGCTTTGGACAAGCAACACTTAAGTCTATTTAGTGATTATAGGCTTTGTAATATTCTTATTGAGACAGACTTGTGACAGTGCATTACCAGTAATGGAAATTTCAATTCCTGTTTTAATGCCTTGTTGCCTTGTCATCGAGCTTGTCAGAAGACTGGCTGTTACTCTCACGTCTACAAATACACCGACCTGATATGCAATCATCCATATTTTGTGTTATCCCATATATTTCACAATCTCCAGTAAACAATCACGCCTATAAGTGACCACACTACTAAGCTCCACCTCACTAGGCGACCACTTCACAAATCCTGTAAGTGACAGTGGGCAATTCTAGCAATGACGATTGTTTTTAATCTGAAATAGTTTAGACCTACCGCATCAAAAGCCTAGTTGCGATAAAAACTTTCACCCGCGTCATAGCACTTGACAACACTTTAGAAAGAGGTTCCGGTTTTTTGCTTCGTACCTTTTTAAATTCATAGCTTTTCATTATCTAAAAACTTAAAAAGGTTGGTCAACAGGAATTAGTTCTAATGTTACAAATGTTTGCAACAGTTACCATTCATAGAGGATAAGAACAGTACATAACAACATAAGTCGTATAAACAAGATATGATACTTAATAATAACAAGGATGATATTAAAGATGACTAGCAGCATTGATCTGTTATCATTTATGTAAGCTGACTGAATTTACCTAAAATCAAATAACTCGATAACACCTGTTTACATGCGATAGTGTGCCCCTAGGTAGTAGGGCTATCGACAGGACTATCTCGACTGACGTGCGTTTTTGGAAAATGTGATGATTTCCAACCTGATAGTATTACAGACAAACTTTGATAAGAAAAAAATGGATCTCTCCTGTTACACTAGAAATGTAATTTTTGTATGTAATATATTTTTCATATTAGCTATGTACAGTCGATGATCCATAGATCCACTACGTTAAAAGCAGAAGGAGGAAAGTATTTGGATTAGAAGGGATTAAGAAGACAAAATGAAGTCATTTTTTTGTTCTTTTGTCTTAAATGAGATTATGTCGCACCCTTGACTTCATTCCTTTGTCTATTCTTTTGTTCGCGGTTTCTGCCTATGCTAGTCTATGCTTATCTCCTAGTGAAAACCAGAGTTAACCGTTGGCACTCTATTACTATTGTACACAGATATACTTCCATTGTTTGAAATTCCTTATTTACCGTTGTAATTTCTAAAGTAACACTATATATTCAATCGATTGTTTATTGAGCTAAGGGTATTTCATAATGTTATAGAGGGGCGTATGCTTGCATCCATTTTGATATTTTCCACAATGCAGTAAAAAAAAGAAAAGGAGATTCCAGTCTGTTTTCCTTAAATTATGTGAAACTAAGTATACTAATCTATCGGGATAGACGACATTGTGGAATTAAATAGATGGGCAAAGGAAAGAGAAAAAATCGCACGGCTTGGTTCACATTCTCGTGATCAGCTATTTAATATGAAGCATGGATATGTTATCGTGCTAGTTCAAGATTTTTATTCCATTTTTAACTTTCCACTTTGCAATAGGCGGGGAATTATTTCTTGGATTTCAGCAGATTCATTTTGCAGTATTAGTTTTGCATTGGTATTATTTTGTGTTTATGTATGTTTCTCGAAGGATGGTTTTTTAAATGAATGAAAATATATACAAACAGTATACATCTTGATTAGTTATCGGCGCATTACGGAAAGATTAATTGAATAGCTTTCAAGGGGAGTTTTGCGTCCTAAAACACTCCAAAGTCAATGATTATATTCTGCTTTTTAAGGTTTATCAGCTAAAACATTGTGCCGAATAGATATCATTTGATGTGTGTTTCGCATGCTTTTCGCATAGAGATATTGAGCTATATTCTAAAGCAGTCACACGGTATTTTTAAGGACATAGGTTATTTTTGATACAGCTTTATAAGGAAACACTCAATTCTGAAAGGACCCACTGCCTATAAAAGAGATTGTACAGCTGTATGTTTGAGATAAAATCAATTAGGTGTTCTTGATCAGCCATGGCATTTCATTGTAACCCCATTTACGTACTTATACAGAATAGTATAATCATTTGAGTGCCATTGATCCGACTAGACTTTGCGTCAATTGCAAAATTGTCACATTTCAAAGGAGTATTATATAATATAGCCTCCAGCCGAGAACGATAAACTAAAACATACTTGAATATTCTTAAAGTATTTGTAAGCTCTTATCAGGCGGAAATGTATGAGATAAATGACAAGAAAAAAAAAGTTCTTTGTAGAAATAACGACTCTCAGCCGTGGTCAAATTACTTACTGTCGAGACACATAGTGAGGATCTGACCTCTTGTACCTCGTTGAAATATTCATTCTATATTATAGCTACAGAATTGAAAGGTAACGATTGGGCTTTCGATCAACTCTTGCCAATTTCGTAGCGTCGGTTTAGTGGTGTCTGGGCCATCAGTGATTCCTATTGTCGATATTCTGGTATGGAAATAGTGGGTTTGAACTCACATTGAAAAAAAAGCCCTCTTTATCCTATAACCGGTCTGTTATCTTGTCCTTTATAACTAAAGGAGGCTAAGTGAGATTCTTATCCTGATCGCATTCAGATAAAATCATATTAATTACTTGAACTGAAAAAGGTTTGGCAGATAGAAGTAACTACAGATGTACTTTGAACCCAGGAAACCAATATCAAGTTTTGACAGAAAAATCGTGAAGAGCATATTTATTATTGTTGAATCAAGCGAAGACCATCTCCTTGTAGGCCGACTTTCTTTACCTTCGACGAGAAACCGATTTAAAGACCAGACTTTTTCTTTTGTCGCATTTTAGGTTAGTAGCAAAGATTCTAGTTTCAAAATTCACCTGAGTGCTGTCAGTAAAGGGAAAGAATCATGATATGAGCTGAAAGAAGCGATTTCTTGCACTTGCAGTCTGTGCAGAACTACCAGATGAAATTTTTACACTATTTCATTATCGTTAAGACTTATTTTGAATTGGTTTCTGTAATTTTTACACAGATAATTCTTTTGACTGTTACAACGAGACAAAGCTGAGAGAGTACAATCTGATAGTCTGCACCATCCTGAACCTGTCGGTTACAACGAGACAAAGCTGAGAGAATACAATCTGTTAGTCTGCACCATCCTGAACCTGTCGGTTACAACGAGACAARGYTGAGAGARTACAATCTGTTAGTCTGCACCATCCTGAACCTGTCGGTTACAACGAGACAAGGCTGAGAAAATACAATCTGTTAGTCTGCACCATCCTGAACTATTGCAATGAGCTCATCGCTGAACCTAACGATGTCAAACAGTAGTGACTCTCACTGTGCACATTGTGATACTACTGTTGATATATCCATAAAAATTGCAGCACTATGTGTCATTATGGTTGGAGCTCTTCTCTGTAATTCGCTTGTTATCTCTGTCTTCTTGACAAATCCTTCGCTACACAAAACAGTCAACTACTTTTTAGTAAACATGGCTATATCTGATCTACTGTGTCCTATTGTTGCTATACCCAAGAGACTGGTTATGCTGATTACAAGACAATCAAGCTGGCAAGTAAAAGGAACAGCAGGCTTAATACTATGTAAGGTGCAACCTCTCTTGCAAGATTTGTCACTGGCAGTTTCTATTCTTAGCATTATCTGCATCACAGTGGATCGATTCTATGCCGTAAAGCGTCCTTTACGAATCAGCCTAATACCAGACAAAGCAAGATGCTTAACTATTGTGCTTATTTGGCTTCTTGCATTCCTAAATTACTCACCTTACCTCGATGCATTTGAACTGGCCATATACCATGGAAAGACGTACTGCAATTTGAAATGGACCCCCAAATCTGTGACTATCTTTATAACCTATGTCGCCGTTCTGTATGGTGTTCTACCGTGGATTCTAGTTGTGATATTGTACGGATTTATCATGGTTTGTCTTCGACGCGCAAAGGTTCGCATGCAAGCAAATGCTCAAAGTTTGATGCAACATCGACGCACAGCCAGTGTGACAAGGCAAGCATTTGCAATCGTCTTCGCTTTTGCTGTGTGTACTTTTCCACAAACTGTAATCTTTATGATTCTTGCGTATTACTATAAGTTCACTTACTCTCCTCTTCCTTACTGGCCTCAGTTGTACTTTGCAACAGAATTTATGTTGTTCGCTAATTCAGTTCTCAATCCGTGTATCTGTTTGTTCCTTAATGAAAACTATCGCAATGGTTTGTGGAGGCTGCTGAGACGCAGTGATCGTATTCATCCTGACGTTGTGAGAGAAGAGATACCCATTGAAAACTTGACAAGATCTACTGTAGCGGCACGACAATAAGCAAGGTGACTGTATGATACGATATACGTCCTACAAGCCGGAATTCTTGCCTTTTTACAAACCGACGAACTATAAAATCAGTAGTAATAGCCGATAAAAACTACAATATACAACAGAATAGAATAGTATAGGATTACTGCATTTAATTTGTGAGTCATATATCATGACACAAAGTATATCAGATATACCCATGTATACTAAAAGGGTAATGCATGTATATCCCTTATATCATGAACCATGTGTATCCTATTCTTGACTTTCACTGATCACGTGATAGTCTAAAAAAGCTATTTAGAGGCAAAATTAGCAAACTTTTATTATTGTTCTCGAGAGAACATCTTAATTAAAGGATCATTACGAAATTTAGAGCCAAAATAATGATTTTTAACAGAAATACAAGCGATCGAAAATTGGTAAGAATGTATGGGATTAGCACGGCTCAATGCGTTTTGGACTAGTCAAGAAATACCTACAAAAAGCTTTGTTTTAAGATTCAAATTAATCTTTTAAGTCCAAGGATCAAACAAGTATATAACTCCCAACAGTTATGCAAAGTTTGAATCAAAACTGTGATTTCCTAGCGAAAATATAAGCGTTTTAATACGGTCTTACTTTACAAAGAAATGTATGGGGCCGCCATGATTGTGCCCCCGTCAGGAGCATAAAGATGGCGGACCGTAACTCCGAGCATCGAATTGAGCTCAAAACTAATGATTTTGCTTTAACTTTACAAACTATATCATTGTAAACATGTAAATTGATGCTGAGACTATAATTGTTTTAAGATTCATAGACTTTTCGAGTATTTTTGGCGTGTATCAAGTCGCGTGGCAGTATTACGTAACATATCTTTGAACGCTAATAACTCAACGAATAAACAGCAAAAAAAGTTTAAACATTCAGAGCGAACTTCTATCATGCTCTTCAAGATATTTCATTGCCACAATGTTGTGTGTCTGTGATTTTAGAATTTTGTTTCGACTGATGACGTCACGTGAAAGTCGAGAATAATTATAACCATGCATTAGCATTATATGAAAACCATCATCATGAAAGCGGTAAAGGTAAAGTCAGTCTTCTTGTGGTATCTGGTGCAGTTGCGTATTTTAGTGATTTTTTCTTATTTTTACCGATGAATCGTTATCTTTTAAGACTGTTTTGATTATTGTAGCCAGTACATGTAGTCTCATGTTTCGCGTTGTATGACACACCCTCCAACAGTGAAGACCAACAGCATCTTTCTAGCTTTGACTAGAAATATGTAAACAGGAAATTCGACTTTGGTCCGGTCGACTAGTGCTGCTAGTGTGTTCATAAATAACTCATGTCCAACTACTGGTGTCATTAATTGCAAGCTAAGACTTTTTGACTTAGGATTATAAACTCGGCATAACTATCGCATAACTTGTACTAGTAAATTAGCTTTCATTTGACGGCTTGTTAATAGTATCATTCAGTAGTATTTTCCAAGTTACTTTGACATTGTAAATGCCGTGGCGGATCTAGAATGAGTCCAGTCAGATTTAATTTCTCTTGTATCATAATTTCTATTTCTGTATTTTTGATTACATTGGCCGGGGCCATGTTATTCGCCCTCTGGATCCTCCCTTGAAATTGACGTATCTTAACGACAATACTGTTAATGCTAGGCAGTGCTACAAGGTGCTACTAGGTCCCTGTCTACACGGTATTTTTGGGTATTTTGAATTCGCATACGATTTTTGTGTGTCATTTATCTTCCTCAAATGTATTCAAAATGTACCCAGTTATTTTATCAAATGCGTATAGACGCGGAACTTAAATGCAAAAACAACATTGTGAGACATTCGGTGTCCCGTGTGCAGTCAGGGCGGGTCCACGGAGTCTCTTTGACTTAAGTATATGAAATGTGATTAAAATATGTAAAAGTTATGTTCTGTCTTGTTACTTGTCATTTTGAGAAATCTAGTAACAAGTTACAGATTACCCCACCCCTTGCTTCAATGTAAACCATTCACTTCGAATCAGTTGATTCTAAAATTTACAAGCAATCCTTGTCATACTTTATTAAATCTGTTTTTTTAAGTGTTCTCTTGCAGAAAACGTAACTGAATTAACGAACATTACAATCAGAAAAACATACTGAAAAATTTACAAGAACAATATAAATAAGATTTAAAACGCAACAATTATCATCTCGTTGTTCTTTGTTATTTGCTTATTAATAATAAGCTTTTTATAGATATTGAATATATTGTGTCGAACAATTTCTTTATATAGTCAAAAGTATAAAATTCTCCCGCGAAAAAAAGAAGTTGCGCGAAAAATGAACCAATGGTGGCACTCCATGTAGAAGACTTTCAGCCAATCAGAAGTCGCCCCGTGAGTACATGCGATCAAATTGGTCAGCGGTTTTGTTTCGAATAGTCGAAGTTTGTAAGAAGGAAGTGTAAGAATGGCCGAAAGAAGAAAAAGTCTCTTAATTACCTATATATTGTGGATTCTATGGGGCTGGTTAGGAGTACATCATCTTTACTTGGGTCGTGATATTCAAGCGTTTGTATGGTGGTCTACGGTCGGAGGAGTTTGTGGATTTGGTTGGTTTCGTGATCTGTGGCGAATTCCAGCATACGTAGAAGATGCAAACTTGGGCCCTGATGAAGCTGATGTTCTCAAAAAGAAAATAAAAAGTGGTAAAGAACCTCCCTTCAATGTGTCTAGATTTGCTGGTCAGATGTTGGTGGGACATTTTTACGGTATCTTAATGCGTGTGGCGATCCCTGACTCATTGCCAAAGCTGACAATTGGTATTTTGGTTCCTATTGCTGTTGCAGCCGGCGTGTATCTTGTAGGCAACATAGGAAGAGAAAGAGGGGATTTCAAATATGCATTCATGGGCTGCATCTCGTCTTATGCTGTTATAACCTTTCTTACTAGTGATGAACCAGGCAACATGTATGTGGCTTTGTTTGGAGCCATGTCCTTCCAGTACAAACGTGAATACAAGAAAGAGATTCAACCAACAAAGAAAACATTGTGGAAACGTCTACAGATATTAGGCCTTGGTGCACTAATTATTTTTGCCTTGTGGTGCTCTTTCTTTTATTTTAACGCTGAGGTGACAACGGAAGATGGTGAGAAAATCAAATTAAGAGATGCTGTAAATCATTTCTTTAACTCTCCTGTTTGGATGGAGTTCAAGGATACAATTAAGCAGTTATATGATGAAGGTCAAAGGAATGGATGGGACAAACTTTATGATGATTTTGTAAAAGCATTAGATCCTAGAGGAGAACAAAATGCATATAAAGTTTTAGGTCTTACAGAAAATGCATCACAACAAGAAATTAGGAGACGCTACAAAAAGCTTGCTGTTATGTGGCACCCAGATAAAAACCCTGACAACAAAGAGTTGGCCCAGAAAAAATTTATGGAAATCCAAGAAGCATATGAAATTCTTTCGCAAATCAAATCTGCAAGAGCAAGCAAAAACTCAGAAAGTAGATCAGATAAAGATAGATCAGAGTTTTAATTGGTGAATCATCATTAGCATGGGTTATTGTTTATTTATAAACAGCTGATTCAATTGATTACACATGGTAAAACAGGTTGACTAATAAAGTCTTAGCCAAAACTACATGTGGCTAGCTTGTGGCAGTTTACTTGATATTCCTTCAATGCTGTACAATGAAATATACAAATATAGATTAGGATAGGTTTAGAAAATGCCAATTTTTTTAATTTTCCTTTCTTCAGAGGTCACGCTTCCCTTAAATTAATAACTTAGTTTCTGAAAACCATTAACTTTTAATCTGATTCCAGTATCAACATATTGTCATATAGATATTGTACATGAAACAATCATTTCTATATTTGGAAGGGTAGCAAATCTCAATTCAGATTTTCGAATCCAAAATAAACAATAGGTGATGATTGCAGCAATATAACATGGGTTAGGCATGATGGGAAGTGTAGTTTGCACTCTGTTATATTGTCAGATAAAACTAATTTTAAATTCAGTTGTTTTATTTGCAAATAGTTTTAGCAATTGTGCTCGAAAATGGATTTAGGGAATTAAGTTAGCAGAAGACAGCTGACTATGACCTAAAAGATAAACTGATATATACAAAATAGTGAGTACTTTGACTTTTAATAATGTTTTCTTAATAGTAATACCTATTTATTTTATATAATCTCACTTTGTAAAATTTGTTATGATTTGTATAAACATAGAAAAATAATAATAGTGATATAGTTATTGATAAGTACAGTCAAACCTCCATAAACCATACCATTATTTAGTGGTCACCCTCCATTAAGCAGTTAGTAATGAATTTCTCACATAATTCTACTGTAAATGTTACTCAAGTTGCTGCAGTTGGTTGGCTATCATCTATTAATTTGATTATTATATTTATTGATATAAAAATATACCACTGTTCATATGCTAACTTGCTTTTTCATGATTCCAATAAACTGAAATGATTTTTATTGGCTGCTCCTTCATATAAAACAATGATCCTAAATCAGGAAGCCCGACAAAAGGGGACACTGCAAAGGAGACTAATACTTGATTAGTTGTCTGTATTCATAAATAATCTAACTAGTTGCTGTTGAGAACTTGGTAAATGAGTGACTGGACAGCAGCCATGTTGGTTTAGATGGCGATAGATACATGGATAGCAAAATACATATCCTGATGTTGTAAGTACTGCTGGATTTGTTCGTACATTCTTACACAATGGGCACTGAGCAGGATGGCTTGGTAGTTGAACTCCAAATTCTGCTGCCTGTACATTAAAAATAAATGAACATAATTTAGTTTGTTGTATGCTAACACCCTTTCTCCACTTCAAGTAGTTTATACAGGTGAGATAATGAGCTAACAATATTGACATAATGGCATTAAAAAAGGTCCAAACCTCTATATTCATGCTTGTCATATTTCATTTTGTTATAATGTTTGCACCAGAAACATTATGAAATAGTAAAGACTTGTATTTTGGCCATTATGTCACAAATATGTACTGTTATCAATGTGATCGGAACCAGGTCCTAATGGAACTTATTGAACACAAAGAGAACACAAAATGTGTGTTACCTTTGGCTGTGGCGGTGGTGGTGGTATTGGTAGTTGCGTTACTGCTACAACGGTGTTTGTGTTTTCACTGGAGTACCACCACTCCAAGAACTTGAGAAAAAATACAACCAAAGGTAGTCCATTAGAAAGTACATTAACAAGAATGTTGCCAAGTACATTCGGAAGGTAGAGCATCTTACTTAGTAACGTATCACCCTTGAAGTGCAAGAGCATCTCACCCTTGTAGATATCATGGAGAATGTCCTGTCTTGATAGTCTCTGAAGATGAAGTCCAATCCAATGAAGCAAAGGGGAATGAGTCATTGAATTTGATGAAAATAAGTACATCATATGATAGCAAAGAAAGATTGTTTCCCACGTACAATGTACAAAAGGATAAGCAGCAAGAAAAACACGTTTTAAGTGTTGCAAAAACTGTTCTCTTTTAGGCGTGTAAGATCCTGGACTTGACCCGTCTTCACGAACTTTGATAAAGTACTGATCAAGCTTCATTTTCAAATAAGGAATAAATACTACGGTAAATACCGACATATATCTCTGTCTGTGGGACATTTTTGATGGTTGACCTACGACATGTGGAATAACATTAGGAGAGCTACTCTGGCATCGCTTGAGACCATAAAAGTGTTCTGAAAACGTTCCATTGTGTCTTTTTAGATAGTGATTTTGTAATGCATAGTCAAATGCAAGATAGATCTCGTCCCCATACTTCCAAAGCCACCCTAATCTTCCCGGATGATAACTTGCAATTACTTTTAGGGCGTATGTAATGGCTGGCCTTAGAACTGTGGTCATAGATTCCTGGGCTATCACCTCAAAAAATGTTGGTCTTTCACTGCTAGCATTTTGATTTAGATGAGCTCCGTATTCAGCCATAGTCCTCTGTACAATACACCTTTTGCTAAATCTGTACAGTGCACTTAAGAGTAGAATATGTAAAGATCCACAGTCTGTCAGCCATATTGAATTTGCACGGCATTCTGGGTCATCACAAAAAGCGCCTTTTGAAGTAGACCGCTGAGTGTTCTATTACGAGTCCAGAACAAAAATGATTGACCTATAAAATACTCAAAGATAGAAGCTTCATGAATGTTGATTATGGACAAAAAAGATAATCATTTGGAAAAAGCTGTCAGAGAAACGTCTGGTTCTTTATTTTGGATAAAAGTAATCAGTATATTTTAGTTTTGTAAGCAAATGCTCTGCTAAATAACCGTTTGCATGGAAACCATATGAAACATACGTCTCTATTTCTTTAGATTGCTGGGATTGGAAACGAATCTGTTGGGAAAACTTGTCTTGTGAAAAACTTTTGTGAAAAAAAGGTATGCTTTCGTCACTGAAATAGTGTGCAAAGTCTACCAATAAAAAAATGGAAAATTAGCATAAAAAATGCTCAATACTTAACTTACTAAGAGTATTTTGTACTGTTTTGCACATTTTTAATATTTTTGTACTATGATCTCAAATGATCTCAAATCAATGAACTATTTTCTGTTAAACAGTTTTCTAGGAACTACCATCAAACTGTTGGAGTTGATTACGGTGGGTTTTATATTTCTACAATATGAAGCTTATTTATATCTTTTGGAGTTTCTAAAGCAAAACAAAACTACAACTCTAAACAAAAACACTCACCCATTTGTTCTTTAAACAGGCTTTAAAATACATAAAGTTAATGGCGTGGATTGTAAGTAGAGTTTTAATGCTAATTAATTCCAGGTCTGTCTTTTTGCCTGGACTGATCATATAGCAATGCAAATAACAGAAATAATACTTTTATTATAATTTCATTGACCATTTTTATTCCAAAGTAAATTTTGAATCTAAAATTAACTCATACAGACAGGATCAATTTTTGGGATTTTGGAGGAAATGCAGACTATGATGAAATAAGGATTGAGCTTTATGGACAGACACAGGTAAACTATATACATTTATAATGGGAGCAGAGAAAGAAAGAAAAAAACAAAAACTCCTACTAAAAAATTTAAATGTTTATTTTTTTTTCAAATTATAGGCAGTTATGCTTGTTTATGATGTCACCAATAAGGTTTCATTTGAAAGTCTTGATGCATGGCTACAGGAATTTGCTGCTGGAGGAGGGAAGAATGCAGTAATCGCAGTAGTTGCAAATAAGGTATGGTATTATTGACTATTATTAAAATTCTAGTTCAAGCAGAAATAGCCTCATTCGTAGGATAGGAAACATTGGGAATAGCCAGTAAATTTACACATCATAGTTTCAAGTTAATAAATAGTCATTCAATGTGAAAACTAAGTTGGACAGCCTCCTAAGCAGCCAACTCCTAGTGTTATCAATGGCAAGCGGTATAGTGATTATTGATTTTTTTAATGCTAGGTTGATCTCACTACAAGGAGAGTTATTAGTACCAAAGAAGGTCAAAAATGGGCTGCTGCTCATGATTTTAGGTATAACAAATACTACATAAACCAAAACAGTAAATCAAAAAAGACTTAACAAAAAGTAATATTTTTGCTATTTTTCAGATATTACGAGACGTCGTCTGCAAATAGCACTGGTGTTTATGATATGTTCAATGACATTTTAAGGGCTGTAGTGGATAGAAAGCTAATCAAACCAAAACCTGTCATTCATTCTGAAAGCAAAGTGAAATAATTTATTTCTTTACTAAAATACTGGTATTCTTATAATTATGATATATGTACACTAGAAACTATTTGCTTAGTATCTACAATGGAAAGTAAAACATACAGTCATTCATTTATATATAGCCATGAATAAATGCAAAGAAGTAAGTTATAGTTCTCATAAGTTTTCCAAACTAGAATGTTATATTTTAATTAATTTATATTAGAAAATGAAAGATTTTCAATGCATGTTTATTCAGGTTCACTATATTTTCTTTGTTTCTTGGATTTCTTTCTTGGTTCCTAAAAAAATTATTAGATGTCAAAATGTGATTTTTTAAAGAAAATATAACAAACAACAAGTGATCCATTTTAGTATTGGGCTGTTTGATTGTTTCAGTGTATGTTATATTGTTCCAATAAATCCACTTTGTAAAGATTGGTGCTTAGCATGGGACCATGTTTCCCATTCTAAATAAACCCTTTTTAGTGAACCTGTTTTTTAATAATTTTCTCACTCACTCTCTCTCTTTTTTCCCTATTGTAAGTTTTGCCTAATGAGTTGCCCAATAAATCTTTTTTAAAAAATCAATAAATTAAACGTGTGAAAGTGTGAACTGATACTCACTTCACTTAAAGATGAGCCATCTTTATGTTTCGAATGCTTACGCTTTTTGGCCTTTACTTTCCTCTGATCATTAAAAAATGAAATAGTGTTATATTCTATAATGCTGCTTACAATTCTGTATATGCAGCAAAGGAATATAGAATGAGAAACAAGTCAGATAAAACAAGTCACCTCAACGTCATCTGATGAACTGTCTTTTGCGTCTCGACTTCTCTGCTTGTGCTTTTTTACCTTCCTCTTCTTTTCAATTATGTAAAAGAAAAATGCATTACAAATATTGTCTTTACAGAAAATTGATGATTAGATAATTGTACACAATGACGTGATATTTACCTTTCTATGTTGCCATTGTTTTTTACTATCATCATCATTTGAAGAAGACAAAGAGGAAGAACGCAACTTAACCAAAGAGAGAGGACGCAAAAAAAAAGAAACAAAAACAGTACATTGAGAATTGTCACTTAATCGCTAGTGTCCATTCATCGCAGCTACATCCTTACAGGGCTGTCAACTCTCCCAAAATCTAATATTAAAAAAAAGAATTGAAATTGATGATCTGTATATAAATGGTGGGTTTATTTATCTCAAGGTACATGTATGGAATTATCTGGGGTTGACAGCCCTACAGCACGCAGACACTAAACATTATGTTTTTTACACATAACATGTCATACAAAACAGTGTAAGTTATTTCCAATATTCACAAGACACTGTTACTTTTCTACTCACCCTTTTCTTTTTCTTCTTTTTCTTTTTAGTTTTGCAGTCCTGAAATTATAAATGGGTTTATCATCTTTGACAAGCACAATGGAATGATTGGCAGTAACATTTAAAGATTTAGTTTGATTGATACATAATACTTTCATATAATAATTGCAAATTAATTGTAATCTTCAAAGCAATGTCTGATGATGGATGGCCAAATACCTTGTTTTTTGGATCACTGCTTTGGACTGCTTCTCGGTTCTTTTTAAGCTCTTCCTTGAATTTCTTAAAAAACATAAGGATGAAGCTGGAAGCAATTCTTACAATCTATTTTACGGGTAATTATTAACACAAAATGAATAAAAGACCTTGTTAAGTTCTTCTTCATATGCAGCTAGAGTAGTTGAACCTGTTGATTTGCCTTTGTCAATCTGTTGCTGAAACTCCTCCCTAACATGGATATATACTTGTAAGTAGGTATCATTCTGTATTGCAGTAAATTAGCATTTTGTCTTCCCATAAAACCATTGGATACAAAAGTTTTAAGACATTATTTTTTTTTATAATTTTTTTTTATGAAATCAACCTTATTTTTCCAATCCCCCTCCCCTCATTGTATATTCAAAATAAAAATTTGTCTGGACATATATGTATATCATTCTATATTGATGCATAATTATAATACCATGTTGGCCTTGGTCTGTTGAAGTAATCCTTTATTGTGGTACCTGATGTTGGTGCATATGATCTTTGTGCTAGTGGGTTTATATAAGCCTATGATTTGAAAAGAAAGTACAATATTCATCTTTTCACCTTTACAGCTACCACATAAGCCATTTAGTCAACCATCATACACTGCACTGCCAATTGTGCCTCAATTTTTAAAATCTGTTCATACCAGTTTATGCCCTGTAAGAGTTTGCCTTCTGACACTCATTATTTTGTGAGCTTATCAACCTCACACATGTACCATAATTCAATAGATGCACACTAACTATGAATAAATTGAAAATAATATGCTACAGTAATTCATCACAAAAAATTATCTTCTCTTCTTCTTTGTGAGTTATGGGTTGATATGGGATTGCATTTTATAGTTTTATGTTTTGCTTTCAGTAGCTGATTAATGAAAGATTTATCGGTTAGATATCGATTGTCCAAGTCGCTTTCGTGGTTTGAGTACCTGTCTCGATGAATACATTACATCCACTGCTATGCTTTAGTTGTTATGGAATGCAAATGCATCAGCTTCAAACATCTAAGCATTGTTTTAGCTTTGTCCGATTAACGTTATCGTATGTTCACCACGTTTAGCACACTTTCCATGGCATGGAAAGCAAACACCCCTAAAGGTGAGTCTATATGAAACCATACAGTACTTACAATACGCTTGTCTCTTTTACCCATCTCAATGATATTCCAAACAACGCAAACGTAAAAAAACTCAATATAAAATGAGCCTACATTGTAAAAAGATATAGAAATTGAATGAAATTGAACCAGCGCTGAGTCTGCACAGCGGTGACACAAAGTGCAGGAAGCCCATGGATCAAATGTTGAGAGGACGTCTGTTGAGAGGGAAGTGATGTTTAGACCAGTGTAGATCTACAGCTGGTACACATGGTTACAGTAAAGGGACGGCGAAGCAGTTTGCTGTTATTAATTCTCATTATTGTTTTTAACTTTTATTTCTAGAATTAAAGGAAAAAATTATTTGGGGCTAAAGCCTCCCGGCTGCGCTGTCCCTGCAGTATAAAACAGTGCATTTTCCTTAGAAATTATTGTGATCCGTTGTACGGATCAATTCTCTAAAGCGCAAAGTTCTGTGAAATAATTTGAATTGAAATAATTTGCCTACAATTTTTATCTAGTCGTTAAATCATATCATCACCGCTTTCTATTTTAAACAACTCGGTGATTAACCCGAACTGTCAATGAGGTATCCATTCTTGTCGTATTGATTGATCAGTTGACTCTGCGTTGCTATTTACGGAAAAACTATCACTTGGGATAAAATAAAAGAAATTCCGCACCATCTGCTCACCAGAATAAATACTGTTTACTCTCTAATTTTTGTGTGATTTCATTTTTAGAATATTTAGGCGTATTAATTTTCTTCAGTGGCTTTTTGTGGATTTCTGCTGATGTCTCTCATTTCCATTTAATTCTTTCATTGCAATAGTCGATTGTATTCCTTGGGTCGACAGTAAGGACCAGTTGGTATGGTGGATGAATAAAAAAAACGTTATTCGTTTCTCCCAAAGCCAAGCCGATTGCTATGAATAAGATTCCTAACATATTTTTGTTGAATTTTAGCCAATGGTTGTGACGAGGAAACAAGATACTTATAGAACTTCATAATGGTATTATTTACCTTATTATTTAGCTCAGCGAGGCAGATGTAAGAGTCATTGGCTGGATTGCAGGGGTCGTCAACTAAAAGATATGGTCAACGAAGAGGCTGAAAGCTACGATACTGTGACTATCCCACAAAGACGATCAAGCTCTTCCAGTTCAGGGATGAGCGTAACACAGGATGATGTCCTTATGGATCTCGAAACAAAACGTTTTGATAAACGTCCGACAACACCACAGCGAAGAGTTAGCTGTATTAGTAGTTTTGGACGCCGGCCTTCGTTTGAAGGAGCCCCTGCACGCAGGGAGAGCTTTGGGGGACGTAGGTTTTCTGTGGATTTGTCTAGACCTCGACTTTCGCCGCAGTTCAAACGCGATAAAGTGCTGAATAAATTGTTTTTTGACATGGACGTAAGCACGAGAAAAGTTGGTGAGGACACAGGAGCTCTTGTTCATGACTTGGTAAGTAAACTTACTAATTAAAGAAAAAAGGTACGGAATGTACGCTGCCCGACAGAGCGGCATGAAAAATATGATCGACGTCACGAAAAAAAAACACGGCATTTGGCCTCTCAGTCGTTTCGAAAGAAATCTCCTTTCAAGAACAGGAAATTGAAGGTAAACTATCAACGCTACTGATGATGATGATGATGTCTTGACGATGAAGCAGAGTAGTTTTAGATCATCAGTTGTTCTTGAAAGGAAACAGCTGCTACATTCCATTCTTGCTTTGTTTGTTTCTTTTTAAGAAAAATCACCAATCAACTTAACGACAAACATTGGACTTCTTGACACTCTTTCTTTGGACCGCTGTCGCGGTGTAGAAATAGATACGATATTTGAAGTAGCTGTTGACTTTTGGTATAACCATGTAGAATCGATGAGAGTTGATGAGCATTAGCGGTATCGCGCGAATCACTTATGACGAAACTTTGTATTTATTTCAGGAAGTCGTGCAAACATCGAACCTTACGATTGGCAAAAGGATTGATAACCTTCTGTTTGCAGCCTCCGAGATGCGCGATGGACATCGGCATATATTTACACAAGTAGAAAACGTCTTTGTTCCTAGACGGGGAAAATAGACATATTTACGACAATGTCAGTATCATGAGACACGAACCTAGTGGTCAGTACGTCCCGTTATGTAATTTGACAGCTCCATCTCCACCCAGGATGCAACTTTGTACAGCATGTGGCAAACATTTGGATCGTCTATCGATCACTTTTTATACATTATTAACCCTTACTGGAAATGATACGTCAATCTATTTTAATAGATTTCAGTTTTGGAAATCAAAAATGTTTTTAAAATGTTTTTAAGGATCTTAGTTTACAACTCCTGATAGATGGCTAATCAAATGTTATCGATATTGTAATGTATTTTTACAAAATTATTTGGAATATTAAAAACATATCCAATTTGCAATGCCTTTTTTGGTATCTATAATGCGTATTGATTATGTAGAGTGGATAAATATAAAGGTATTCACTCCTAGCCTTACATTTTGTGGATTTTCTACTGTTTACGAGTTATCCCGCAAATAGAGCTATTTGTATAAAAGGCCAAAGGTTTTCACCCACCCCGAAAAACAAAAAGTGCAAAAAATGTATTTATGACGCTATTTTATCCTGCCAGTAGTGTGCCAATAACCGGACACACAACCCAAAACTGTGTATACAATTTACTAGCTTTGTTTTCGTGTTGAAGGATAAAAATAACACTCCAGATACTTCTGGTTGCACAATGTTGGGAAAGTTTTATTTTCCAAATTAACTGAGAAAAGGTTTGCACAGCAATAACTGAAGTGTTCCAATAGATTCTTACAAACAATGAAGCAGTACAAACACTAACTATACTGCACTAAGCACTATTGAGAGGTAACGCAAAACAATGGAAATGTCAATATGCATACTTAAAGTGTTTTGAATAAGGAAGTTAAGCCAAAACTGTTCACTCAGAATTATCAAAATGTCCTCCAGATTTAGTCAACCTCTTCAATGGTAGGTCCTGATGATCCACCACCRCCTGGTGCTGCATCACCTCCTGGTGCACCTGGGAAGCCACCTGGGGGAGCTCCTGCTGCTCCTCCAGCACCTTGATACAATTTGGTTATCACAGGACTACATACTTGCTCAATCTCTTTCTGCTTAGCATCATATTCAGACTTATCAGCAGATTGGTTGACATCAAGCCAGTCAATCACTTCTTTACACTTGTCAATTACCTTCTGTCTCTCATCTTCTGGGATTTTATCTTTGACCTTGTCATCTTCGATGGTCTGTTTCATGTTATATGCATAGCTTTCCAAGGAGTTCTTGGCTTGAATTTTTTCTTTGATTTTTTCATCCTCATCCTTGTACTTCTCCGCTTCTTGGACCATACGTTCTATGTCCTCCTTGGACAGTCGCCCTTTGTCATTTGTGATTGTGATCTTATTCTCCTTGCCTGTGCTCTTATCTACAGCACTCACATTGAGAATACCATTGGCATCAACATCAAATGTGACATCAATCTGAGGTACTCCACGGGGTGCAGGTGGGATTCCTGTCAACTCAAACTTGCCAAGAAGGTTGTTTTCTTTGGTAAGGGCACGTTCACCTTCATAGACTTGAATGAGTACACCAGGCTGGTTGTCAGAGTAGGTAGTGAAGATCTGATTTTGTTTAGTAGGAATGGTAGTATTTCGCTTGATAATAGATGTCATCACACCTCCAGCTGTTTCCAGACCAAGAGAAAGGGGTGCAACATCAAGGAGAAGCAAGTCTTGGACAGTCTCATCTTTGTCGCCATGAAGAATAGCGGCCTGAACAGCAGCACCATATGCAACAGCCTCGTCAGGGTTGATAGATTTGTTCAACTCTTTCTTGTTGAAATGATCTGACAGAATTTCTTGGATCTTGGGGATACGAGTGGATCCACCAACCAACACAATTTCATGGATTTCATTTTTACCGAGTCCAGCATCACGAAGGGCCTTGTCAACAGGTTCAATAGTTGATCTGAATTCTTTTTTGTTAAGATCTTCAAATCTTGCCTTAGTGAGTTTTTCAGAGAAATCAATTCCCTCAAATAAGGAATCAATTTCAATGTATGCTTCAGAACTTGAGGACAGGGTACGCTTGGCTCTCTCACATGATGTCCTGAGTCTCCTTACAGCTCGTTTGTTGGTGCTCATGTCTTTCTTGTGCTTTCTCTTGAAGAGCTCAATGAAGTGATCAACAACGTTGTTATCAAAGTCCTCTCCACCCAAATGAGTGTTACCAGAAGTTGACTTGACCTCAAAGATACCATCCTCAATGGCAAGAACAGAGACATCAAAGGTTCCACCACCAAGATCATAGATGAGGACGTTTCTTTCGGCACCAACTTTTTTATCTAATCCATATGCAATGGCAGCTGCTGTAGGCTCATTGATGATTCGCATTACATTGATCCCAGCAATAACACCTGTTAACCAACAACAGAATTACATCTTACACCTTGTGACAACAAATTTATATGAAGATTTGACAATGCTTACCAGCATCCTTTGTGGCCTGACGCTGAGAATCGTTGAAGTAAGCTGGAACTGTGATGACTGCATCAGTTATTTTCTTACCAAGATAGGCCTCAGCAGTCTCCCTCATTTTGTTTAGTACCATAGAAGAGATCTAATAAAAAGCGATTATACACATGAGTAAGGATATGGGCCATTACAATGACGATAAAAATTGAATTTCATTTTCTGATAACAAAATAAACATCTCATACCTCTTCAGCAAAGAAATTCTTTTTCTCTGACTTATATTCGACCTCAATTTTAGGACGACCTCCAACATTTATGACCTAAAGGAAAGATACATGACGTCACATCACGAGCACATGGCATGGATTTGAATTTCGCAATCCGGCTATTTTACGATCCATTGAACATCTACTTATGCCGGGTAGTTGCTCGATTCTAGACATTTCAAAGATGTGTTCAATTTTTCAATTAAAAGAAAAATATTGATGTTATTTTACCTTGAATGGCCAATGTTTCATATCCAATTGAACTGAGGACTCATCGTAGCGACGCCCAATCAACCGCTTGGCATCTGTAAAATCGAAAACGAAACATTACAAAAGGACAGAAACTCATTGACTCACGTCCAAAGACGACGATTTCCACTCAAATATCAAATCGAAATTCAATACTTACCAAACACCGAATTCATAGGGTTCATAGCGACTTGGTTTTTAGCAGGATCGCCCACCAAACGCTCAGAGTCCGTGAAGGCGACATAACTTGGAGTAGTTCGGTTTCCTTGATCGTTGGCGATGATTTCTACTTTACCGTGTTGAAATACACCGACACAAGAGTACGTAGTACCAAGATCAATACCAACAGCAGGCGCTTTAGCCATTTTATGAGAAGGAAGACGAAGAAAATACGTTAACTCGGAGAACAAAACTTCACCGTACCGGCGAGAACAGTGCAACTGAAGAAGTGATTACGCAAGCGCACTAAATAAGGCATGTGATCGAGTTTCTAGAACCTTCTATCGTGAGGGTCTGGACACCAATGATACTATTTTTGGCATATGACAAATTCCCAGGAATTCTGGAAAGTGCGAGAAAGTTCTTTTTCTTTCGGAATGTTCATAAAATCACATCGTGAAAGCGACAGAAGGAAATGGTCTGATTCAGTACCTTACTACAAGGTACTGAATCAGAAAAACTACAAGAACAGGCGCGTCGGCGAAACTGTCGGATACCCTGTATATCATGGGACATTGACCATTAATCCCGGGGTGGGTTGGAGAGGCAAAATAAAACTGAGTCCCTTAGTTTTGRTCTTCCTTATACGGTATACAAATATTTCCTGTTTTGTTCGCCAGAATTAAAAAAACTCTTTTCCCACAGGAACCCCATTCAATAAAAGGGATCCGGGACAAAACGGCCCGGAGACTATTGAATAATGAAAATTGTTTATYAATAGTTAAAAATTCCTGATTTATTTGCACATGTTTTTTTTCACTGATTATCATATCATGATTTATATCATATTGAAATTAGTCAAACGTGTTTTTTTTTCATATGATTGTGCCCCTCCCTTTCAAAATGTTTGGATCCACCCTGGTACTTTATTCCATTCAAGCACTTCTGGTTATGTAAATTCTGGTTCAAAGCAGCTTTTTGTATTTCACCTTTTCATGTATGTAGTTGTTTTTCATTTGAGCACGTGGTTGTTTTTCCGATCGCGCAACTACGGGACTACGGCGGTAGTCAAAGCCTTCATGATAGGTTCTTTAAGCTCAATGACACAAAGCTTTTTGATTTTTGTCTGAACAGGTAAAGAAGTATGACATATAATTAAGAGTCATTGATTTTTTGCTTGCGCAAGGTCGTACTCGCGAAAACTACAGGCTGGGCCACTCGTTTTCAGGCTACTTCTCCGTATTTAAAGACTTGTTTGCACCATGACACGGAATCTGGAATCCGACAAAAAAATCGCTGTGGAATACAGGCAATAAAAATCCGGATTCCACCGGGAACCGATAGAAGAAAGAGGATCGGAATCCAAATTGGTGTGACTCCAAATGTTTTTTGTTCGAGTCACTGACAACAAAAATAGCTACATTCCTAGACATTTTATTGTGGGACTTGATTGCAACGTGTTTTCGTTAGAAAGTTACAACACGACAACCACTCGGTAGAATATCGTGCCCCCCGGCCCCCTGAACAATGTTGTGTGACTATTTTCATTTGCTTTTTCATTCTTCAGTACCATGGGGGGTCAACTGTTTATGGTGTCCAAATTGTCCTTGATTGTAGGATGCTTTCTGAATCCAATATGGTCAGATGAAATCCAAAATCATTGCAAATTTTTCAAGTGGAATCCGGATGGGGAATCCAGGAGCGCCTGTGGAAGACTACTGTGCTAGGTATCAGTAGAGAGAAACATGACTTCTTCGTTTACAATTCGAGAAATTTAATTTTCAAATGTACTTTTACCCGATAAAGTATATAAAGTAAAATGATAGTGATGCATAATTAAAGGATATTTTTAATTGTTTCAGACGTGACGATATATTACATAGTTGCCATTAATTTATGCGACCGCTGTGTTCCTGTGTTTGCAGATTCAGTTTTGTGTGAAGATGGAATGGCTTGTTAACATTTAGTGGGGTGAAGTCACTTCTCATCGTTCTCAATGTTATGGACAACGGAAATCAGCGTTTGTTAGAGAATAACCCCGAAAAAACACACTATTCTGCTATGGAGATGGAAAATCCAGAGTCTTCATCTGAATCACCGTTAATTGACAGCGAAAACCAGTCATCGCTGAGGATCAACAAACGAGCCCTTGTTGTCTTTTTTGGGGTTACTACTCTAGCAGCTGCAGTTATTATAGTTGCTGTATTTGTCACTCTCTATTCAGGTGAGTTGAAGACAGAGGAGGTTAGGATACTCACTAAGCAATGTCAGGGTTTTTGGGAAGAGATACATCATTTTAAAGTTATCTGAATTTGGTTAAATGTAAGCTAAACGACTGTGAAAATTCAGATGGAGCGATACACCTGGAAGGCTTGATTAGTCTGTGGTTGATTCGCCCGCATTTAAAGAAACAAATATTTAACCCTCGAGATCGACGAAAAATAATTGCTTATACATTTAGTCCGTGCTTAGCTTCCAAGTATTTTTCCGTTATTTTTCTGACAGCCGTAAAGCCGAGGAGAACAGGTTTTTGCATGAAAGCGATATGTCAAATTCGCTCAACCAAAATTATAACCAATTCATTATTAACGTGCCCGAAACTGCCATTGGTTTAGCGAATAAAGCAAAGATCCAGCAGCTCATTAAGGAAGTTTGTGTTAAAGTGTCTTCTGTGGTTAGTAAGTAAAAAAACCTCAAACTATGACGAAGTCAAAGAATGGGCTGAGAATGTTTTGGTYTTTTTTAAAGCCGGCTGTGTCGAAGCTTAAAGTCATACCTGTTATGATTCTCAAAAATATTTTAGACAACAATATCAGTCAAAAATAACAATGACAAGTCTTTTCTCTTACTATCACAACTGAATTTTACTTTATAGTATATTTTCTTAAATTCTCTGTCATGGTTACACTACAAAAGGGTCTAAAAAATTCGAACGTTTCGTAACTATAGATAGAGGATGCCATCGGGCTGATTCGATCTGCTATGATAAGACATTTTTTGACTAAGTTKCGGAAAATATGAATTTTTTGGTGTAGTGTAATATATAATAATATTGTCATGCATCCATGAATTCAATACATATTTACATACGACAACAGGAAAAGTCAACCATGTGTGATTATTTTACGATCTGTTATTGGTCCAATTTGATCACTCTCAAGCACATTTATTAGCACATTCTTCTCTATGATTCCTGTTGCCCTAAAAGCACACGATATATAATTATTACTGTGCTTAAAGGGCAATTTTGTCACTTTTCCTTGTTTTCTGTGATCTCTGATCCCCACACAGGCAAGATGTGCATGACCAGTATAGAAAAAATAAGCTYATTCCAAATCCTTATCTCTCTAACCATAACTATAACAAACCATTTAAAAACCATAGTTTTTTCTAGTTTGACAGTTCCACCATTTTTATGATGGACTCATTTCTATTCAAAACGTTTTTATGAAAATCACACAGTTGTTCAGTATAAAATCAATCAGAAACTCTCTAATCTATTTTATTTAAAAAAGCTAAAAATATAATTATGTTTGTATCTTTGTAAGATCCTTACAGTTAATTTTGGAATTTATTGAACTGTTCTCTCAAAATATGACCTGTCAGTATGTACATTTTTAAAGGACATTATTTATTGTCGTTGTTCAACTATTGTTTCGAGCTCCTGTGATGGATCTGGTCAGATGAGAAATCTTGGAAGTCTTTTTATCAGAAAATGATAAAATTGTAATGAGCCGAAGTTGCCATAAATGCAATTAAAGTGTTTGTTGAAGTTCAAATGCAGGTGTATAAACACTGTCATGATTATTATCAAATCAGGCTGCTATACAAGCAAAGTCCTACATAGGCTGTCTGTTATATTGTAAACATGACATAATGGAGCCGCACAAATGCATAAGAAATTTTAATTAAATTCCTCTAAAACATCGAAGTACATGAGAGACTACATGTACTATATTTCTTTGTCAATTGTTAAGGACATAAAATGTTCTTGAAACATCATCCAGGAATCCAGGCATAATCTTCTGGCATTCGCTCACTGACTCCCAGAAATAATTGATACCCCTGGTCATAAAGTTTGATAGAGCTTTTGCTCGATTCAAAATTAAAAATGACGGTTGACAATGGGACTTGATCAACCAATCAGGGGATTTGCCTCAATCAACCAATCAAGGACATGCTAAAATTGAGATCACCAACTGAGGTCAATCACATATTGTTTTGTCTTATAAAAATGACTCTAAAATTGAATCCAGAACAAGGTCTTGGAGGCTTTGTTCCCAGGGGTATTATTTCTTGGGATAAGGAACCAACTACAGATAAGATTACGCCTCGGCTTCCAAGGATGTTCTTAAAAAAATATATTGAAAATTTTAAATTATAATTAAAATCTGGACATGACATAAAACAAGATTATCTTTAATTTTTTGGAGAATTATGATCAGCAGTGGTGTCTGTGTTCTATACAAGATACCAAGGATACCACTGTTTTTAAAATTCATTATTGTACTTACTCTGCTATGATTGGCCAATAGCACACAATTTGGTATTCGCTATTTCTTGTTCCTAATTTTGTAAGGCACAGCTGTGTATAACTTGTTTGGTATTTGGGATTGTTTGGTCACCAGTGCAAAGGTGGCCTGAGTCCGACGATCCCAGTTAGCCATGATATTACTTAATCAAACAATTTGATCATTCTTGCTTTTAATGTTGTGACATGTCAGATTWTGAGATTTTTGTTCTTTATTCCTCTTTATGTTGTGTTTTTTTTTCCCCACCGATATATAATGTTCCTTACAAAAATGATTTTAAACCTAACATCACTTAAGATATCCTTGAATGTTATTTTCATTGTTAATATTTGAATTCATTTCTTTTTCTTTTCAGGAAATAATGCTTTATCAAACAACAGATTAAAACGTAACAAAGTGGGTAATTTTACATTAGATGATTTCTTAGATGGAAAGTATAATCCATTGTCATATCAAGCAGACTGGATATCAGGTATAGTTCGTTGGCTATAATGATAATCTTTGAAAACTGCTTTTTCTAAATCTGGAATAAATAGTTTATCTAACAATAATGAAGATATAAAGATTGTATACAAAATTGATCTTTTTTTGGAAATGTCACCTTTTGTACTTAAAATAACTTAATTAACTAATTCATAGTAACTGTTTTCCTGTAGATTTCCAGTACATAAATCGTGGTCCAGGAGGGAGTATAGATATCATTGACAAAACTAAAAATACGACAACTACACTTGTTGATGATAAATYTGCTGTAAGTTTTCTTTAAGTGTGTGATATCCTCTGTTTGAAGCTTTGTGTGATGTGTCAAGCTACGGTAAATCCTCTTAGTTTGTGCTGCATGATGGCAATTAAATTGATAATAAGATGTTTTGAGAAAAATGTTTTATATGTTGCTTGTTATGATTTTTTGTTAACAGGGGTCATGGACTAAATTCTTTTTATCACCTTCAAGAAAATATGTTCTTGTAGCTAAGAACCTCATTTTTGTAAGTAACTCTATAATTATATGTTTTTTTTAATTGATTCATAACTTTATTGTTTTTTTAAAAAGATCAAACAAATATTTCAAGTATTTCTAGAAGATATCTATGATTCATTTTGGAATTGTGAATGATGAAAACTGCATTGATTTATTTTTGAATAGCAATACAGATATTCAACATTTGCTGACTACTACATTTTTGATGTGAAATCCAAGTAAGTTATTTGAACAAAATCTTAACCAGTATTTAATATAAATGAAGAAATATTGAGCCCATATCTGCATTCTAGCTTATGATGGCAGCTTTAATAATGAACATAATCCATAATGGCTCCCTATGATCAGTACTGTTGTTTATCTGCCACATCATTTTGCAATTGTTGCATATAATAGTTTGAGGGTTGCCTTTCAATTGCTTTTTCAACTAATATGTTTGGAAAATCCCACCAACAAAGTTTGAAGTCCTCACCTGCCTTAGCAATTTTAAGGATAGTTTAGACAATCATGTCAAGTAATGTAGTAACTGACTGTATTAATAAATATGTAGTTTTAAAGCAAGCTTTCGTGTATATTTTTCTGTGCTTTTTGCTCATAGAAAAGAGGTCAAAATCAAATCAAAGAGCAAAATACAGTATGCTCAATGGAGTCCAGCTAAAGATGCTGTGGTAAGAAGAATCAACTTTTCCTGACATAATTATAACCATTGAACTGTTACACTTCAGATTAAATCAGATATTAAAGTACATCTTAGACAGTGTGTTTAGGCATGATAGAATGTTTGTAATAATTTTTTTCATTTTTTATTCAGGTGTTTGTAGCTGAAAATGATATGTACTATTTRAAGGATGTATCAAAACCAGATGTTATTAATCGCTTGACGAATAATGGAAAAAAACATGTGATCTTCAATGGTGTTCCAGACTGGGTTTATCAAGGTTTGTAGCTCATACATGTAAGCCTGCAATATATTCAGACTAATATTTTGATTGCATTTAGTAGCAATCTCAGAGCATAACTAACATCTTGAGAATGAGACTTCAGTACTTAAATGGATGCTTGCTGTATATCCAAAGGCTGTTGGGATGGATTATCAGTTTAAAACCATTGTAAGGGTTTGTAATAATAATTAATGTAATTTTGTTTTTCAGAGGAGGTCCTCAACTCAGATCATGCTTTGTACTTCTCTAAAGATGGGAAATATTTAACTTACATTCAATTTGATGACACTAAGGTTAAGGACTTTGTGTTTTCTTGGTTTGGTTCACCTAATGAAGAATACATAACACAGCACAAGATTGCATACCCCAAACCTGGTACAGGAAATCCAGAGGTTACAGTCTATGTCATTGACCTTGACACTCTTACAGATGCACTTCCCAAATCTGTAGCAGTAAAAAAGCCTAAACAAATGCAGAATATGTAAGTCAATGAAGGATGTCCTTGTTTTTTTTGTTTTTTGTTTTCAAAAAAATAGTGATCATACATATCCATGGTCACATTGTTCTTAGCAATKTKCTATTTGCAATATTGATATAACTAGTTTTGTGTTGTTTTTACAGTGATCACTATGTAGTAGAAATTGGATGGTTGTCAAACACTATGTTCAGTGTCCAATGGCTCACAAGATCTCAAAATTATAGTATAAATAAGCTATGTAGCTTGGAGATTGGAACCATTGACTGTGAAAAATATAAGGTAATGCTAATGTGTCATTTATTGTTCTATTATTTCTTTTCGAAGAGAAAATGTGAAGAGAAAAAAGTCTTGTTATTAGATTTTAGTAAACTTTTTTATAAACKTTATAGGGTCATGATGTAACAGTTAAAGGTGGCTGGGTTGATGACAAGGTACAATGTTATTGATTGCACACATTCAGACTTGCTGCAAATCTCTGAATAATGCATGTTGATCTTGCTTTTTTTTCAGTACATGAAACCACTGTATTATTTCAAAGGCAACAGACATTACTATTTGACCACACATCCATTCCCACAAGGGGAAAAAGGCAGTGCTGGAAATTTCATTCACATTGGAAAAGTTGATATTACTGACGTGAGTAATAAACCAGTTTTGAGACACTTTATTAGTAAATTTAAAATTCATATTCATAATTTGTTTTGTATCTAGACTGATAATATAAAAAAACCAACTCCTCTTACATCTGGTAAATGGGTAGTTACAAAAATCTATGCTTTTGATGATGAGCGTGAAATTGTGTAAGTATGCATAATTTATGTACTTTATAATATTGCTGGTGCAAGTTGCTGGTACTTACATCATCATTACTGACAAACGTCTTGGGCAAAATATCTACTGACCAGATAAGTCTTTGCACAGACTTGTGCTGTAGTTGTAAGCTGTTTTTTTGTGTGTTCATATGAACGCAAGTATTTGTGTCAAGATAGCCAGATATATAAGGTTTTCTTTTGTTGTTCTCATTCATATCACATTGGATCCTGATTATATCACTTTTCATTGTCTTGATGCCTGGTATTTTCATGCTAGGATTAATGGTTCTTTTCAATGTACATATTTTTGTATGCTTTATGTATGCTCTACATGTAAGCTATACAACATTTACCTTCTAGTTATTTTGAGTCCACATTGATGCCAGATGGCAGGAGTGTCCCATCTAAAAGACACATTTACAGGTATGTCATGCTATGTTATCTGCATAATTTAATTTGCTGTCTAATTTACAATTATATCTGATTAATGATTACAGCTTATCTGTCAAAGATGATGTAATGACTTGTTTATCTTGTGGTGCTCCGGGTGTGAAAGGTAATACAAATTTGCTAYTAAAAAGCTCTGTTTTTGTTCCTAATTCCATCATGAAATTATTATTTTTAGATGGAAGCTCAGGGTATCTTACTGCATCATTCAGTAAGAAGGGAGGATGGTACATTCTTCACAGTCATGGTAGGTAACTGTTTTGCTTTATCAACTTTAGCAACAGTAATTTAGCCAGAGGTGAAGTTTTAGATTTGAATATGAAGTACTAKTWAAGTGCTTTTTTATGGTGAAATTGGGGTTGATGTTTTTGACAAGACAATAACCTTATACTGTACTATAGTGGCCCATGGTCCTTTGTTGATAGTGGAAACATGCAAATTATCAATTGCGTGTCTTTTTCTTTCTTTTCTTTGATAAGTAATTTTTATCACTGCAGGCCCTGGTATTCCATGGCTTAGAATATACAAGAGTCAAGACCCTAAAGAAGGTATTGTTAAAAAATGTTAATACATGTACAGTAATAGTATTTTAAAGTTTAACAAGACATTGTCACATAGGATTTATTGAGTTTTAATTCTGATGGTGTTAGCAGAACCAGTTACTTGCTTTACATAGTGCAACACCTCTATGTACATGTATTTTACTCWTTTTAGCTATATTGCTTTTAAACAAACCTAAGTTGAGCAATCTAGAATATGAAATGTATTATTTGCAATAATTGCACAGATCATATTATATGTTCTTGATATGTATGCACGATGTCTTTTTATAGATCATATCCTGGAGAACAATGCAGCTCTTAAAGACAAGTTGGAAAGGGACAACCCAAAGCTTAATCCATATCTTAGGACAGAGTATATTTCAGTAAAAAGTGAAGATTTTGATAACAGTAAGTATTTTACTACTAAATTTATATGAGCATTTGGTTTTCTTCAAATCAAGTTAATAAATTATTTAAAAAATATGTGTTTATAGAAGTCAATGCAAAGGTAGTTTATCCACCAAACTTTGACAGAAATAAGAAATATGCTGTATTTTTTAGTGTGTAAGTATGAGGTCCTGTCTGTAGGTTGTTTGTTGGCTGTTATTGTTTACAGTATCTGTCAGAAGGTTATTTTCTAATYGATTTTCTTCAATTTCTTTTGGGGTTTTAAAAGTTATGGTGGCCCAGCAACTCAAAATGTAAGTAATTTTTATGTGTTTGACTACAGCAGACTTGCTATCATATCAGCATTCTGAACTTAATATTTGTGTTTATGTTTTCATCTTGTTTCAATATATTTCAGGTGATTGAGTCATGGAGTTTAGGATTTGAAACAGGATATTTATCAAGTAAATATGACATTATCATTGTGTATGTGGATGCAAGAGGAACAATGGGTAGAGGGGAAAGGTATGGTGGAGTCACTTGAAACTATTTCTTGTTGTAGTTTAGTCTTGAAATATCACCATTTTTATAGGTACAAGCATGGTGTGTACCGCCATCTTGGTCGCAATGAAGCATTGGATACCATAACTGTAGCAAAGTATGTAAATTGTATAGAAAACATTGTGTTATCAATTGTACATGTGCTGAGATGTTGATGGTTGATCTTGCTTCCAACAGGCACATGCAAAGACAGTCATTTGTAGATCCTGACAAGATAGCCATATGGGGATGGGTGAGAACACACTGCACATCATTTTATGAAAAATACCTTACATATTTTAGGAAGTTGATTTATACAATAAGCTCATAGCATAAGATACTTCACAGTCAATCAGCCAATCGGAAATAATCTTTTTATATGTGTTTGTGTAGTTTTTGATTGTTTTGTTTGTTTTTAATGTTCTAGTCCTATGGTGGTTACCTGTCATCATACATCTTGGGAAGTCAAAGTACCAAAGTGTTCAAACTTGCCATGGCAGTAGCTCCTGTCGCTGACTGGAAATACTATGGTATATTAATTTGAATGCCACATAAAATATGTACATTTGATATATAAATGTTTGCTTGTCATACACATGTAGTTATAATAATATTTATTTTATGACTTATCTTTATGTGTATTATTTTCAGATTCAATTTACACTGAGCGTTACATGGGTTTACCACAAGAAAATATAAAGGGATATAAGGTAAGAATCTRCTAAAATTCAACTTCAAATCAATGCCAGGTTAATTGAAGTATGGTTTATTGCAGGAATCATCTGTTCTACCTCTTGTAAAAAACTACAAAGGTGTTCATTAYCTATTAGTACACGGCACTGGGGATGGTAAGACTTAAAAAACTATAAATTAATGTTTTTTCATTTATTTTTGATTCCTCCAGAGATGGATACATGTGCTTTTGAAACAGCAATTTTGTAATGTGTCTACATCAGAAGGTTGTCAAGCAGGCATAATTTATTGTACAATTTAGCATATGTTGCAAATGCAAACAGAGTATATTTGGTTTTATCATCTTCAGATAATGTTCACTTCCAAAACTCAGCACAACTTGTAAGAGCACTAACAGAAGAGGAGATTGAATATCGTGTACAGGTGAGTTTTGTTATTCAGTTTGTGGAAAATTCCAGTCTACTTTGTTACAAATCTTTGAAATTTTTTTTTAAAAATATACTGTGAAAAGGACAGGACAATGACAATTTAAAAAAAATTAACTCAATTGCAAAAGCCTTCTGTTGAGATTAGAATAAATAAAAAATAAATAATTAACCAAGTACTGCCAGGTAAGCTAAGGTCATATATACACAAATAATAATGCAAATGAAATCAAATGACATGAGATATAATGRAATACCTTTACCCATTAATTCCCACAGTTCTATCCAGACAAGAACCATGCATTGCCAGGCAAACACACACACCATCATCTTTTCCATCTCCTGGAACATTTTATGGAATCAAAGTTCAATCTGAGAGAACTAAACCAAGCCATGGGCCCTCCACCTAATCCACCTAATATAAGATACCCTAACTACCCTAACTATCCTAACTATCCTAACTACCCCCCTACATGGCCAAGTTATGGATAACATAGTGAATTCATCATGAAACTTTAATAAACACTAATAATAATTATAGAAAAATATACAATTTAAATATCACTGATAAGCATAAATAAAAAAAATTCATCAATGTGAATACACCTCCCCCMAAAAAAGCTAATTATTTTGTAAATATTAGCCTGTATTTTTGTGTTTTATATATGGAGGAAGAGAATACATTAAACCCAAGTACATAATAATATTAAAATACGATGCTAAAAACAACTCAATGATAAAACAAAACTCAAAACTGAAAGCTTTGAAAGCTGTACTAATAGATAAAACTAAATTTGCGGGTTTTTTTTGAATTCAAAGAGGGAGAAACAGCAGGGCAAAGTTGAAAGGGGAGTTATCGTGAAGTAGGGACTGTTGTAGGCAATTAAATCATTCCATTGAATACTGGCAATAAAACTAAAATTAAAAGTGTTAACAAAGAAACCAAATAAATCAGCACAAAATTAAACCCAGTTCCATTTCTCTACATGATACTTATTGTTACTAATYGTTCGGAGCTATAGGATATAAAAAGAAATAAACGTCAAAGTTAATCGATTAACTTTCATTTAATATACCATYAATTTAAACCCATTATTGAAGACTGGTTAAGAAAGTCTGGACAGTAACTACTCTACCATTTAACATAATAATGTTTATGTACTTTGCAGTTTTATACAGATAAGAACCACTCCCTTGGCGGCGAGGGGACTAGGCCTCATCTCTATCATCTACTKACAAGCTTTCTTGTCAAACATCTGCACATCAAATAAAAGTAATAGTCATCAAATGACGGGGAAATAATGTTATTTATATCAATGGGAAATAGTATGTTATGCGAAGTACCAGGCTACGAAAGGCTATGAATGAAAATAAATGTTAGCAAATAATAATATATAATATTATTATTGTCTATTATGTAATGCGTTGTCCAGGGAAATCTATTTTAGTTTTCATTATGGTTTGAATAAAAATGACAGTTTAGCAGTATGGGGATGTTGTTCATGGATTCCCATGATTCTTAGTCGTCCCGTTAATGGGATAAGCGGTAATACTTTTGGCTGAGATCAAGGCCAATAATRTTGGATAATGTATTTGCTAAACATGGATCTATATTTTATTTTATATCACAATATTAAAACCTCGAAAAACGGGGTCACCGGCACTTCCTGATATAGACTAGTCCACTTGAATAGTAAACACACAATCTAGAAAAACATGCACCATTCTTCTTGTACATTGTATTGAAGTATTTATCACATTTAAAAAATAGTTTTATCATATAGTTATCTATGAAACCTATATTTCTCCATTAACTAGYGAAAATAACACATTCGATGTTTCTCTATATAGTAGAAGTAAAAAAAGTTTTACGACATAATTTGCTTTCATACACAATTATATGATAAATAGAATATTACATGTTCTCTTGGAGATACGATATATCCTAAAGTAATTTGTAGTCGTCTTACAGCAATATATAACTGATCCAACAAATATGGTGATGTAAATAAATTCGGGATTTCGTGGGAAAATAAATAAAGCATAATTGATACATCTGTTTCATTCTATTAAAGACCAATCACGGTATTCTTTGCTTTTAACTTCCACACGAATCTAATATCATCCAAACATATACAATGCCGTGCGCTTTAGAGCAGATTTCGATCTTAGAGCGCTTACTCGGGCCCCATCATAGTCACATGATAAATGACGTCGCATTCTGTGAATAACATTTTGTTTCTTCTGGTTTGACATTGCTGAAATAAGAGAAGTTGCATCCCATTTTCACGTTCTGTGAATAACAGGACATGCTGATAATTTTCAAAAATTGTTTGCTGACAGGTTTTTATGACAAAAAATTTCCCATGGTCATGTGATATATGACGTCAAATACTGTTATTGACAGGACATTTCAGCAATATTGGTTGGAGTTGGTTTATACARGTTTGATTCAGTAAAAGCTTCCTTCGATTTTCACATGGTCACGTKATGTGTGAAGCCACATTCAATGATTGTTAGGATACACCACGTAATAGTTGTGTAAAAAGATAAATTTAACACCTTAAAAAAGTATGTGAAATAACTTACTGACGTTTCGGACGTTAATCCTTCGTCGGAGTAAAAGTGCCAAAATTTTCATCACTTTTACTCCGACGAAGAATTAACGTCCGAAACGTCAGAAAGTTATTTCACATACTTTTTTACGGTGTTAAATTTATCTTTTTACACAACTGTTTCTTTAGAAACACCGACGCAGCTCACACTAGTTTACCGCTAGTTCCCACCATTACACCACGTAACTGGAGTTGCTTGCTGAAAAAAGTCGAATCAGGAAGTATCATTTCACTGTCAAGTGATAAATGGCGTCGAAGTGGACCACACTGTGAAACCATCAGAAAGACTTTTGGGTAATTTCTGTCTTTATGATGCTTTTTGGTCTRCATGTAACAAACTTTAAGGAACCTCGTTCCCAGAGGCTTTTTCCTAGAAAAAGGCGAGCAGTTAAGCTGTTTGGGTTACCTGTGCTTTCCACAACTTTTTCCTCTTGTCGTATAACGCTTATCCCATTAGTTGATGATGCGGCTAAGAATCAACGCTACAATAAATTATAATTTACTATTCCACCCCTATAAGGCCAATATGTAAACAGCAGGAGCGTCGCACGTAGGCTAGACCTGAGAACGAACGATGATGTCATGCTGACAGACTCGTCAAAATGATCATTGATTCTATAGTCACTCAAAAATGTCTATTACAGAAGAACGAACTCYAAGCAAACGTGGAACGCTAGAGAATCTTGGGTATGCTAAGAACGCTGCATTAAGTTGATAATCTGTTATGCCATGTGTCAGTTTTATAGGAATGACGCAAATGGCCTTTCCTTTAAATTGATAAATCAACTCAGTGAATTACTCTTGAACCGTGACGAAAGACAAATCCATCATTATCATRGTGTGACAGTGTAACGCCATGCTACAGTGCTCAAAATGAACGCTTTTTAAATGATCTTATTTTTCTCTAAAAGGCCATCTTAAAATGAAATGTGATTTGCGATATTTATCAATAAGATTAAAATAGGAAAAAGTTAAACGATTCTCTTGTCAACTATGTCTTCTAGATACATGTGCACAATCAGATGACAAAACACTTCAACGACGGAAAGACTTTCTTATTATCTGTACACCGTCTTATACACTTAAGAAATCAGATAGACTCCTTATTGTCTGAGATAATGAAAGACACTTTCCCCTCCCCTATCAGGGTCGATTTGTCTTATTCCCATTAACCGAATTGATTTGTTGGCGACAGTCAGTTTTGCATCCAATTTGCACGGTATTTCTGTATTAATGAATGTCCAAGTTGTCTTGTTTAATTACGAATAGACGGTACTTTTGTACACGGCAGGCAGTCGGAGCTTCCATTATCTTCATTTTAAAGTCGAAATTACGACATTGATTTTTGCAGATTGATATGTGAAATCTGGCTAAGATTTTCAGAAAATCACCTTCGTTTCCTAGAGTAGATCCATTTATTTTGTTAGTCCTAATCCATGACTAGCAAACAAAGTATCTTCCAATATTTTAATTTGAAAAATCTTCTTATTTCCATAGTATCAACAAATTGAATATCACGGTTTGGTGAGTCAACGGTATAAAGTAGCCAGCGGTATCAGTGTCAATAGGTCATATCTTTCTTCTGCTGGGTTAAATAGACGGTAGGTTTTGGGTGCCGAAAGAGGAATGCGTCTTTGGAGTATGACTGATATCGTATATAATTCACTGCGTCAAACATTAGAGAGCCGTAAGAAATCCGCGATGATGAACGTGCACTCGCAGTTATCAATGTTGTACTAAACCACGCTACATGATGGGAATAACATGTACCCGACCGCTGAAGAAGAAACAGCCAGACCAAACACACAACAATAAATACGTTAAAAATACGACTGAAGGTAGGTCGAAGTGTAACCACCAAAGATGGTTTCAAGAGGTTTTGGAGAGCGTGCAATTGTATCACAACACACACAAACCCGGTTTTTGAAAGAAGATTTTCTGAGAAATTCCCCCTTTTTGCAGGCTAATTTAGTGACACTGGAATTTTGTCTGTATTATGAATGAAGCAAATATGAAAAAAGTATTAGTTACTTGGAGAAACGTCAGTTAGAATTCATCTTCGCTTGTTATTATAATAATCAACGCTCTACTCAAGCTGTGCGGACAAAAAGGGGAAAACCGTCAAAAGAGATTCTAATCGTATTAAGATCTACAAATTCTCCTTTATTTGGTTTCTTGCCATGCAAAAAAGCCTGGCGAACTGATTTTTTTAGTGAAAATAGTTTGCTTTGTGGTGCTTAAGACCTACTGCAGGATGCTATTTTAGTTATTTCTTTTATTCCTATTTATGAGTATGTATTTTGGCTGGTTGTTTATATCYCTCCTTTGCCAGCATACCAAACATTAAGATTGAATTTGTCTTTTATTCAGGCGTAGTGATGAGTGACTACTGAAAGATAACTCGATGTTTTTTTGGATCATTCCTGAGTCAAAGCTGGTTATAATTGGCCTAGTTTTTCAGGCCGAGTAGAATAACCCAACTGCATTACCACCTGGTCACATGAATTAATAAACTCAAATCACTTATAAAAGGAATAAGTCATGTCTATGAATAAGTAAAATACGGACAAAAAATATTACATTTTACAAGCGGTGTTGCCTCTATATGGGGTACACGAAACTGGATTAAAATTTAAACGCGTTTTCCCGCTTCACTCGTGTGAGAAAACGTTCTTAAATTGCACACAGAATTCTTGGACCAGGTGGTTTTAGTCAGTAGATCAGTTCTGTGTTTTGCCAATGCGGAAACTGCTTTTATTTTTATCAAAATATCACGAATGAATGTTTGACAATCGATTTGACTTAAGAAACATTTTGAGTAATGCCAATAAAACTGGATGTGACTTATCATGAGAACGACTTGGCGCGGCACCTCGTTGACACACTTTTATTTTATCATTATGTATACAAGAGTAGCAAGCTTTGTTTGAATACCACAAGACCTATCTGTTATTTCTTACCATTCATTGCTATTTTGTGGTTAGAGAGTTCTTAAAAAGGAATGAACAATGGAACGCTTTTTCTTCCAAKAATATGACATAAGTATCTGGACACAAAAATATAGTTGGATGTCAATCAAAATTCAATATTGCGCTTAATTGAACAATACTGGGAGCCGGTAGCAGTTATCATACTTCGTTTCTAGAATTCAGAGGAATCACGTCTCGATGGCAAAATATTCAGCAAGAATCTCAATCTATAATATTTACAACTTAATCGAAGGAAATCATACTTTGCAAGGGGTTATTATGGAGCGTTTGTGGTCACTCCTTCATTGATAAATGGTTTAAAAAGGACAATAGAAATGAAGTACACCGCATACCCCATACAAATGTGTGAAGCATTTTCGAGTTCATTTGTGCAGCTAGAAGAATGACTTGATTAGCTCTAAACGGCACAGATTGCTTATGAAATTCTGCTCTACAATTGACCTTTACTCTTAGATAAACACAACTATAAAATGAAGACCTCCAATTAAGACGGTTGCTATGGGAAACAACCATAGTAACCTAAGAGAAGTTCAAATCAGCTATTTAAAGGTTTAGAAAATAATGAAGTCTAACTACAGTGACTGACACATCAATTACTTCCATATAGCACCGCCAAAACAAGTTGACAGTGATCAACACTTTTTTAAGTGTAAAACAATCATGTTAAATTGAGTTCGCAGTAAAATTTAAAATTATGTAAACATCTCATTTTCTAGAATACAAATTCATCTTCTAAATCCCTTTACTAGTCATTTTTGGATGTATGGTGTTTGTCAATCAGAATTTTAGTCAAAAAGCACTTGAGCTCACAAGGACAGGTTTGGGTAACGATATCACACTCTCAACCGAGTGAATGAGAAATAAAAGCGCCCTTCAAAYGTACTTCACTCATATTACGGTTTTCGTGTTAATTACAAATCTAAAATATTTCAACGAATTCAATCAGTTATGATAACGATTATCACAACATACTTGTGATTTGATTCAATATTGACAACCTTGTACAACATTGTGCGTTTTTATTCAGACCAGATAATATTGTGTTTAAAATGAGGAAAAACGCTAAATGTAAACAAACAAACAACTAATCTTACTTTTGTTGAAGGCGAAAATGTTCAACCGCTGATCCACATCACCACGGTCTCAACAAGTAGCGATCAGAATGTCGACGGTGATCAAAATGGATTCAAAAGAAGTCGAGACTTCACACGACCTCGACCGAAATCTATGGATGACTATACCGAAACTGCTTCTGCACTGGCCTTATCAAAGTAAAGATATTCACTGATTCGGCGTCACTCTCGCTCGCTTTTCAACCATTTGTTTGAACACCCTTCTCGAATGTCATAGACCAGCATTTTGAATTGGTAAAAAAATCACGAAAATTAATCTGGAATATTAAAGGATTTTCAAAATATGGATTTTCAAAATCTTTGCTTCTATGGGATATGTACATTGTATATTGCACATTAAGTCCGTGCGTTTTAGTCCAATTCAAAATGGTGACCAGAGTGAGCTGATCCGGCGAAGGACATGTCAAACTAACTAAAATTGTATTTATTCGAAGACTTCATCATCTTCTTCATCAGTTGGAAGATGGAGAGATCAATTCTGTGACTGAGATGAAGGATGAATTAAGTCAGGCAATTGCCATGATGGACATCGCATCGGCGAATACACGTGACTACAGGTGAATATTGGGCGTGGTTCATGAATGTACTAGTACGTCATCTAGTTAATATAACGTGTGTGCATATTATTTTCCTTAATAATGTCGTGCATTGCAAGTTTTTCATTCAAAGTCATGACATGTCATGAGGTTTTGTTTCCTGTTAACCACCTCCCTACAAACAAAAACTAAAAGAAGATTTATAAATCTCTCTTAAAACAAAACACAAACGAAAGATCATTGATAATGTGATTTTTTACTTTCTGTTCTTACTAGAGGTTCACTTAGTGCGATTAGTGATATCGACGAAGAGCTGTATTGCAATGTAGTTAGTGACGAGGTTCGTGAATGGATTGCAACTACCTTTGCTCGTGGTCAGGGTACATCGAGAAGAAAAAGTATTCTCCCGCGTCACACATTTCGAGGTGTTGTCCATGCTGTTAAGGCCAGTCTGTATGTTCACAAGTAAGTATTTTAAAAGTCTGTCTTAAAATAAAATAAAATAATGGACTTTAAATTCGCATTTTTAAATATAGGATTTTAAAAAATGTATCCGACCGCAATAGACTTCAAATTCCACAGGAAATTCAGGTACACTTTGAGGTAAGGAATACCAGGAAATGTGTTGATGGCTGATTGTCCAGGAACTAATGATGATCATATCAAAACACAGAAACTCAACCGATGGACGTTCGATGTTTTTTCATTCAGTGAAGCCACCGATGGTCACTCGTTGAAGTATATKGGCTTCGAGGTACTTAGTCGACTAGATCTTTTAAGGACATTCAAGGTTAGTAAGATGCTTTTCGTAAAGCGTTCATATTTCCTGTTTGCGGCCATGTTGTTGTAAATGGTTCTTTGTTGTCGTTGTCGACCTTTACAGAATGATAGAGTAAGCTTTCCTATGGTCTCATTTTTCTTTCAATTGTTATGGGGTAGCAGCTGTCGTCTGTTTTCTTGAATAGCTATTTTTATATGGTGTCACAAACACGCGAGGTTACGTGACCGTTCCATGTCGTGTAAGTGTCGTGATCTTTGCTGGCTTGAGGATGTTTTCTTGAATAGCTATTTTTATATGGTGTCACTAACACGCGAGGTTACGTGACCGTTCCATGTCGTGTCCGTGGTGTCGTGATCCTTGCCTTTAAACACGAAATCCGCTGCTTTGATAAGGCATGCCTGCTCGCCACTCTAATTTGCAGTAAGGCGTATGGGATATGGCCTATTATTTTTTTTTCGGTCCGGTATCCAAGTCATTCGCGCGCTGTGATTGGCTAGAGCGCGGTCCGGTTTTTCACGATCTGCTCGGTCCGACGGTATCCTGCAGCTAGGCTGCGAGCAAAGTTGCATAAAATACAAATAAAAAAATAAAAATGTTATTTACCGGCTATAGGTCGGTCCGTATAGGAAAACACTGCCCTCGTTTTTTTATGTACGGACCTCGCTCCGTACTGTCAAGACCGTACTGTCAAGACCTCGGGCAGTGTTTTCCTCCCAGCCGGTAAATAACATATATACATTTCACTAATTCCAGACTCTTTGAAGTGCTTATGTCAGGACAAACCTTCTTACAGGTGAACGATGTTACTCTGGATCGATTTTTACAAGCTGTAGAGGAAGGTTATAAAAAGAATTGCAATCCCTATCACAACGAAATGCATGCTAGTGACGTMACGCATACTGTATTCTACTTTATCACGGTTCTTGGTTTAGGAGTAAGTATACACGACAGCGATCGAGTGAGTAATTTGTTGATTGAGTGATGAATTGTAACGACAGTAATGCAGTTTTGCTTCTCGTAGCAAAGTCTTTCAGATCTGGAGGTATTCGCTATTCTTCTTTCTGCTATGATTCATGACCTAGAACACACGGGAACAACAAATGCTTTTCACATAAACTCAAGGTACCGCCATTGAACAATCTTTTACGCGCACTGGGAGGTGTTTTTCTTTCATTGTTATAAAGCATTTTAGGAGTATATTTGACCGATGTTATGTTAGTTCGCTTGTATACCTACCAGCCTCGGGGGCAGTTCCAGGGAAGGGTGCGCACGCACCCCGCTTTTTTGGACGATGTAATTTTTCATGTATCATATTTTTCTGCTGTTTATACTCCTGTTGTACTTTTCTCGAGAAAAAGAGTAGCATTCACAACATGTGTCTGCCAATATGCTGCTCTGAACAATCTATTTGAGTAGTGTATTCAAAGATAAGTTGCAATAAAAAATCAATTTGCTTCCCGTTCAAATTGTGCAAGCTTTCTTGCTCTAGACAATACGCAGCTAACAAATATGACCAGTTCCATCTGCTGTACTTAGTTTTTAGCTATATATTACTGACTAAAGCACCCCCCTAGGGTTATAAAATGCTGGATCCGCCCCTGTGCAGCCTTCTGGGAATGGTGCTTTACACTGTCTTWATATATTTGCTTTAGATCTGACCTTGCTTTAATGTACAATGATCGCTCAGTTCTGGAAAACCATCATATAAGTTCTGCATTCAAGATATTACAAGACGTGAGTTCACTGACAATTACTGATTGCAAATGATGATAACTCTGCGACCCAGTCTCTTCTTTTTCTTTAGAACGATAGAAATATTTTGTCCAATTTAAATTCAAACCAATACAGGTWMGTAGATATTTGTGGTAAAAGTTTTTCAATAGTGAAARTATTACAAAAAGGGTCATTCACATTTTTTTGTAGTACTCTTCGGTCTCTCCTTATAGACATGGTGCTTGCAACCGACATGTCTTCACATTTTGAACAGCTTCGCCTGATGAAGTTAGCATTAGTGAATGGAAGGTAGGTAGTATTGATAATAGGACGAGAGTTATTCCAGTAAGTAATAATGCATGCTTGTCTCTTCAGCCCGCTTGAGAGTGAAGATGTAATTCAACTGATTTTGCATGTAGCAGATATCAGTAATCCTACCAAAGACTGGAACATTCACCAGCAGTGGACAGAAAAAGTTATGGAGGAATTTTTTACACAAGTAAGTATCTATGGTATGCAGTGTAACCTGCAAGTAAGTGCGCTGACCATAAGCTTTAAGTACGTTTTTGTTGTTAGGGGGATATGGAAAAGGAACTTGGTCTTGACGTTTCACCGCTTTGTGATCGCTCAGTCACACGCGTTCCAGAGAGCCAAGTTGGTACGTAATGCCACAAAAACTCACTAACATATATACCTCTTACTGCATAAAACTGATTGATTGATTACGCGTTATTCAGGATATTGCGACTATTTTTAGAGTAATTTTTAGAGTAATTATTACATGAATTTTATTATATTTTTACAGGATTTCTAGACGTAATTGTTACTCCAGCATTTGAARTGTGCAGTGAGGTTTTAGAGGGTTTTTTGAGAGATAATGGTAACCACCATGTTACAAGTAAAGAGCTGGATCATCCCTGGTCGAAACCATTAGCTTACAATAGAAGGAAATGGAAGGAACAGTGTCAGGTTATAAACAAAGGTAAGGAACGATGTACAGACCGTSTCAGGCAATACTGAAAGGCATCTTCAGCTGGAGCAGTGCTCAATGGCACTGGGATGTAGTGTGTAGCAGGGCTTGTGTACATGATATTCAACGTTATTCTAGTCATYAGTTGTTACACTACCAAAACTAATCATTACAACTAAAGATGCATAAACTGTTCTTATGAAATTGAATGCATCTATACGTTTGCTATAAAAATACTAAATACTCACTAAATGATTAATACTGATTCTTTCTTTCTACATGTGCTTGTGTAAATGGAAAGGCTCAACTCTTAGTATATGCAGTAGGAATTCGACGACAAACTTACACGATCAGTTTCAAGACGATCCTAGTAGACGCAGCCCTCGTGGAAATAGAAAACGGCTTACACCCATCTCGTGATAATACGATTGCTTGATAAACTATTATACATAAATGGTGAATTAACCGAGGACACGAATAATACTACAGATTCACWACTGATAACCATAAAGTGCGGATATACTAAGGGAAGAGTTTAAACTACGTGATTCTACGAATAACAAGAGTAACTAACTTTTCTGCTTCTAAAAGAGCTAAGAATTCTCTGCTTAAAAATTTTCAACGTTAACGGCTGGTCTAAATCTCCGTTTTCTACTTCGCAGAATACACCAAGCCTGATGGAAGTCTTTTCTTTTTTAGATTCTTAGCTCGGTGGCTGGCTGGTAGAACACCCAAGGAAAGATCTACAATAGAACAACATTCATGTATTGACGGGCTAAACTATTTTAACCGGCTTAATTTGATCTTGAATGCTACATTGAATTCACTCAATGAACACAATGATAGAATATATAGAACACATATTGTTGTATTATCATCTCAGTACTGAGATGGTGAGTGGGTAGGGGGTAGGGGGGTAGGGGTAGTACTATTCTTCCTTTTAAGAGMACACCAATGATAGTGGGGGAGGGGTGGGGCATCTTGATTCGTATCACTTATACGTACTCGGCCGTACWCACTGGCGGCTTATTTTTCTTAAAGTTCGACTTGTGTTTTACTGTTGGCGACAATGAAAATTAAAACAAAAWTGATCATGAATTGAAGGGTGACATGGTAGAAAGGGCGATAATTCCGATGCCATGGTTATACACGATATCTTTCCATGGTTATACTACTCAGTTGTCAGCGAATGAGACRTGGGGTTTGTTAGTGTTATTTTCCCATATTTTCTTATTAAATTGCCCAATTTTAATGTTTACCGTTTTAGTTTGAAAACAATACTAGTCAGACTGTACATATTCCGGGTCTACTCTTTCCTRTCCAGTGMCTAACCCTAACCCAAATCTAGCCAATCCAACCCKAAYCCAACCCTAAACCAATCTTAACCCTCATCCCTCCCTGCATGATCTAMACTTAGTCTAACAAATATTGCTCCTTTTAAGGTGTGCCGTTTTTCATATGGCAAAAATACTGTAACAGTAAATATTTAATGTTTGTGTTACAATAGCAAAGTTGTACTGTTTAAAGTTATATGAGGGAAAGAGAAAATGTTTTGTGTTTTCGAGGTTGACACAAAAAAGAACTGTCAGCGGCTGTGTGCATGAATGCATGCGTTTAATTACCTAAACTTTCTCGTCAAAGCTTGGTTCCATTTTGCAGCCTATTAGAAATAACATTAACTATCCAATCGTTACATAATAAAAATCATATCATGGTTTTGATAGTCTCACTAGTGCATACATGCACTATACCAAGGTTAAACGAACGAACTCTCAGGAGAATCAAATGCTCGTTACCATGGTTACCCTCCATAACCTGTTCTCGAGCAAAAGAGCAGATCTTGCTACATAAAATGTCCTGGACGTCTAAGCAAAGTAAAATGGTTTAATATTATTGGATAGCATTATATAAAGTCAACACGAATGGACAAGATATGTGATCGTGTAAATATACGGGTACCTGGACCCAGGATCAAAGAACCACCTGCACTGCTTTTCAACATACGAGTCTAAAAAAATTGGAAATTATATCTTCCATTCATTGTCTTCATAAAACGCCTTCAATAAAACCCTAGAAAGAAGGGCTTATCCGATAGTAAAGTAGTTTGKTGATGTCTTCTTCTTGGCTGATGTTTGAACGACGCTAGCACATCAATAATGTAATCTGTGGACAATTAGTAACAGCGATGTTCCACTATACTTTTCCAACTACAACATATTGATATTGTTCAACTATGCAAGACACTGTGTTCAGCCTCACATATTGATTACCACAGATTGTTTTGAAAGACCACCAAGACAAAAACTCAGTGGATGAAATTTAATTACATTTCAGAATGGAAACAATTATTCTAGAAGTAAAATTGTGACAATGGACATGCTACAATGGTATCGATTTACAAGCCACTTTGTTGATAATCCTAATGAATCCACGACGATATGGTTATTCAACAAGCGTTAACCAATAAGGTAAGGACTATGGACGCACTGCGGCACTACTTTATCCCCCGGCTACTTTGCTTTTTGTCGAGATTATAAATGAGGTTCATTCTACAGTTTCTTACCTGTCATTACTCGTGCTCTTAATATGGCACTCCTTGATGTAACCGCTTTAAGAGATTGACTAATAATTGTGATAAAAAAGCAAGGCTATCACTAGATTGAATGAGATTCACTATCTTAGAAATTGCTATGTTATCATTTGTACTATTATAGACCATCCACGGGTCTTTCATTTTAACATAGCATATTATGAAACAATAACTAAATACCTTGGTTTATGTTTCAGGAATGTTTTATAATCTGATCAAGATTGTTTGTTTACCAGTCTTGGTTGCAGCTACTGTAGTTTATATATACTATATGTGTACTTCAATGCAACACCCTCAATTAGTTCATGTGCAGCCACTGTTCAAGTCCAAACATCGAATTTGTAAAAATATTTTGAAAGTAGCAACTCAAGGAACTTGGAAGCTTAATTCTCACTTGCCATCCGGTGCCCTAGAGGCACGTAAACAACTAGACATGGTTTTACGCCAGAGAAAAGGTTGGCCTGAGTTTCTGTTTCATGGAGATTTACGTTGTGGTGAGAAGTACCCTTTGCCAAGACCRAATTATGCGAATTCTTCGRCGTCCTTAATATTTGATGTACAAAGTCAATGCGACCCTCAAACTAATGCACCGTGCTGCAATAGAGACTTTGGTTGGTGTGGAGGTGGAATGAATTACTGTAAATGCAGCAACTGCATTGATTATCGAACCTATATTCCTGCAGAATTATCGGACTGGATACCAAAGAGTAGTTGTATTGTGACGAATTTCTCTCAATCTGGAGCTTGCTACCTGATCAATAATCATTTATCTTATATCACCTTTATGGGCGACTCACTAGTTAGACATCTCTTTTCTTCCATGCTATTAATTCTAACTAATGATGTTAAATACGGTGCTCTGAAGACTTCAACTTCACCGGCATACAGAAAACTATGTGCGGGGGATAGCCAGTTCATTGACAGCATGTGCCATATTCATATTGCAATGAGATGGAAGGACCTATCTCTTCACCCAACATTTTGCCCTAAACATCATCCGCTTAAATTCAAAATGGACTTCATCGAGGCATACAACATAAAGCATGCTCCAATCGCCCTTAAAATAATCAAACGACAGCTGTCCAGGAAAGGGTCGGTTGTACTATTGGGTATAGGTATACATAATAGCTTTAATGCTACTTTGGTCCTGGAAGTCTACCTTAAACCAATAGTCCAACTCGTCGCACAGTCCGGTAATGGCTGGCCTTTTTTAATATGGCTTACATCACATTCAGCAGGACCTCTCAAACCAATGCATTACAGACATCAAAATAACAAGGCGATAATTGCGTATAATAAAAAAATGATATCATATTGTCTTCAGCATAACATAGCAGTACTGGATACTTATAATATGACCCTTGGTGTCCATAGTTTTGACGGAACACATTATGGTTTCGGTGTAAATATGAAGAAAGCACAAATTTTACTAAATTATCTTAGGGAAAAGTTTGAGAAACAAAACGTTCTTTAATTTGGAAATTCTCTAGATCGACGAGTCATATGTAAGATATGCAGTTCGCCTTGCAGTCACGTTRTGCGCGAGCRCAGTAAGAAGTGGAATGYTGATAGGATGATCAGAAAAAAATGGAAAAAGGAACTGCAGTACCTGYGYCTCAGCGGAATGCATTGTTAGAYATTCACTAAAGGACCGCGATTACAGTAAAAAGTGAGAGGATGATCATTAATGTGGGTCTACTCGGGCACCATCTGTTTGACAGGATTATCTTCTTATAAAACACACACAATAAAACATTTTTCCTTGAGTCTTTCAATAGAYTGATAGTAAACTTTTACATCAGATTACAGTTTTGTTAAAAAATGTCATCTTGTGAAGGCAATAGTCCTGGTTCGTTTTGTCCTGACGATTGAATTAAAGAAATAAAGTTTGAAAGCTAATATAAAGTGAAGATTGAATGGCTGAATGGAAATGAGTAAATGGAATAGAAATAAATGGATGAGAATGGGATATAAAATGGATTATTTCGACAATTCTTCTCATCTATCTTTATTAGATTAATGATTGCCTAAGGTATACCATAACTAGAAGAGGATTAAAGTGAAAGTATTCCTCAGCTCCCACGTCCAATACTATTTACATTTTCTGATGGATTAATTAGTTCGAGATTTTACATCAGTTATTTTGAAAGCATTGCTTGAATAAGCATGTTCCTAAGAAGAAAGTCATTCATATTGTTGTTTCCTCGTAGTTCTTCTTATTAATATGGCGACATTTAAAATTACGCAGAACTCTCAAGCAATGGTGGAACTAGGGGAGGTGATTATAGGTGGCTTACCCCAACCTCATTTTAAGGTTCAAAAATTTAGAGATAGGAATTATGATATAAGTGAAAAAAGAAGAAATTAAATCTGAATAGGACTCATTACAACTACAGAGGGTTCACCTGATAGAAACTGAGCTTATTTTTCTCAGCCTTGATTAAATCTATCCATTTAACATTTTTTCTTGGATTGACAACCCCTTTGTGATGTTCTAGATCCACTATTGATCAAAACTGAACAAAGAAAAGAACAAAATATTTCTTGATGACCAAAAATGTAGTGACTGATATGTTTCAGTACTAGTTCGCGCAGAATAGATACGAAAKTAATTAACATGATAATTTTATCCACTCTCTTTGAACGCAAAGAACAAATAACACCACAAATTGATGACAAATGACATGCTTTGCATACAGTTTTTAGTTAGAATATTATAATGGAAAGCTAAGATTTTGAGTTAAATGTAGCAAAGTTAATTATATTGTCTTCATATCGTTTGATTATATTTAACGCAGTCTCTTGTCACACATACATCTTATCATGACCGTTATGATGGACTCAGTGCTGCATTTTTTCCACAATTTGAACAAAACTGGTCGTACAACATCATTTTATTGCCACAGCAAGTACAGAACTTGGATACAGTACGAAGAGATAGCGGTGGAGGAAGAGGTCTTTGAGGAGTAGGAATCCTGAAATGAGGATTATCAACTGATTTAGGCTTGAGAAGAAGAGGTGGTGGCAATGGCTGAAATAGTCGACCTGCATGAGGTATTCCAATCTTTTCYCTTGGGATATTGGCGGTGTGTAGGAAATTAGATGCCATGGTCGGTATAGTGCAACCATCTAATGCACCACTAGGACAACATGAACGTTGTGATGCTAGTATACATTCAATCGTTTCAACCACATTCTCTCTGCAATTTTGTAGAAACAGTTCCAAGTTTCTTGAAGGGTGGTTAGGGAAAATCTTCATTAAGAGTTCAAGAGATTTCTGTCTTGTGTCTTTATGGCCAAGCATGGTGTTTTCGTGGTTGTTATTCAGCATTCCTTCCTCTTCGCTGTGCTCGCCATAAAAATCTTCTTTTCTCTTTTCAAGAGTATCTTCTGGATCATCGGGACGTGTTGTCTGAAGACAATGGTTGTCTTCGGTGTTGGTTGGATTTTCTTGTTTCACATGAATCTCATGAGGTGACAGAGACCCTCTCTTTGGTGAGGGTGAATGGCTGTTACTACTGTTTGTATCTGGGTTACTCGTGCGCTTGCATTGAACTCTCCTTTCTAAAACAGAAAATAGTTAAGATTAATRCTGAAAAAATAATAATAGTTATTAAGAATTATTGGAAAATAATTTATTAAAGATGACTTATTAATGTTGAGGTTAGATTTGTAAAATCAAAAAAAATATCGATGTCCATTTGCTTTGGTGTTCCTCCAGACCACGTGATGGTCACGTGTAGGCTCATGTAGACGAGATCACAAGGGAACCCATATAAGATCTTTTGTGGTCTGGAATGACGTCTTTGGATTTTGCCAAGGCTTTGCTTAAAGAACTATATGAATTCGCTCAATTGTACCATCAATTTAAGGGAAGTGCAAGGTAGTATTTCACAAAAGAAATGATTATATTGAGAATGTAGCTGAGAGAATTCAAGCAGTCCTTGACGATCATCAGATCAGGTGACTTTAAGCTCATTCCACTTCACGCAAAACTTTGTTGTCAAGATCTATTGACGTCAATACAAACCCTCGTATGGTACTTTGAACAACAAGGATTCACCATAAACAAAGAACATACAAGGAAGCCAAGGCCGAGATCTTCACTGCCTGGCGGGGCATTACCACAAAGACCATCACGTGACCTGGAGTGACAAGTCTTGGTGATGGCTTCAAAAGGATTGGTGATTGCCAGAATTCTCGTCTTAAGTATGAATCATTAGAGTAAACGAATTTCCTTTTTTAAATGATGCGTCTTAGTGACCCTCTTTCTTTGTTTTTATTTTTTGTTGTTTTTATGTTCTGCTTTAGTTTATTACGAAAACTCTTTATTCGGATATAGCCGTATTTGATTCGTTTATCATTCAAATATCCTAATGATCGATTGAAATGGCCTTCGCCCAAAGTCATACCAACAATCAAAATCTCTAACGAATTGCAAACTTTGAGAAGCTCTGAGGTCGCGATAAAGAAGTTTGCTTTGCTCTTGTTCGTTTGCTTTTCTTGTTTACTAGAATGAAAATCTGTCTGAGAAGAGACATATTTTAATGATATGAGTTAAACATTTTTTTACCTTTATCGCTTGTTTGGTGATAAGATGGCGGTTCATCACYTTCATATCGAGCGATTTGTGGACGATGTAATCCACCGGGAAACAGACCGCCATTTTGAAACACCATGGAATAACTGAACCGAACATTTTCGATTTCTCTCTGGTATTTCTCTCTCAGTTCGGCACCTTTTCTCTGCTGTCTAAGTATAGCTACCCGAGCTGCGGTTATCCTTTGTCGTTCTGTTATCAACTGGCACTTCGAGCAGGTACAGTCTCGCCATCGACAGTAATGTTTGTGACCCTTCAGCCACGAAACCGTGCCATGACTCCGACATCTTGCACATTTTGGGATTCTGTGATGCTGACTTTCCTGGTTGTTATCAGGGGAGTCCACTGGTGAAGTTGATGTTTCACTCATTTTCGGTTTGTTTTCTGACAAAAAAGAATCGTATATGAATATATATCACCTATAAATGTAAGATTGGATTAAACAACTGACCAGTTAAGCTGCTGCTACCCATAAGGTATGATAGATCGCTTTGAAAAGTTTGGATTGTAATCTGCTTAAATAGCAAAGGCGAATCAATCAATTTTGGGGATACTCTTACTCTATTTTTACACCCAAAAATTCCGACTCAGGAGCCTTTGACAAAAACAAAGGCAACCTCAGGCAAATGAAAACTGAAGGTCATTGATAGTGAAGAGTCTCTTGTCGTCTTAGAAAAACGCAGTGAGATCACTGAAACAATAATTCGAKCTCACTGTTATCATCATCATATTCTCCCACGTGACCGCTGTGCACTCTTAACGCGCTCTCTGTTCCATCAAGCACATTTTAAGGAATTGTATGATTTGTYCCCGTCCTAGTCTCCGCCTCGCGTSGTGTTTTCCTACGTTTCTCTTTATGAGGATATAAAACATTTTATTTCTAAAATAATAGTTCCTTGTATGTTCTGCCCTGTCTTATCTTTTCTAATTTAAATTCTGTTGTTTTGTTGTCATAGTATGGACAGATCAACKCACATAGATCGAACATGGACGTGGGTAGCCTTTTATGCTTCGCTTGATTAAAAAAGTAGTCCACTTTAAACCCAAGGAAGACAATAGAAATTTCAAGCTGCAGCCCACAAACTAACAACACAATTCAACTAGTATATACTGACATCATCATAGTATTTATTGGGCCTCGTCTGATAGGTTAGCCAGAGACAAAAGAGATTAATTGTTATATGAATAATCCAGTCCAGAGTTTTCATCTTTTTTACTCTTGATTTGAACTTCGTGGTGACCTTAAATGTATTATTTTACCGATATACTAATCTATTTATCAAAGGCAGAAAGAGAATCATTCTTTTATAAACAATAAGTGGTCCTACTGAATCAATGTCATTTTCCTTCAGTGACAAAAGGAGAGGGAATACGTTTTTTTTTCCTGGGCAATATTCCGTCAAGATTGAGCAACCATCTGGTTTATGCTTCTTTGCAGTTGCCGAAAAAACCAGTCTTGTATAAGAAAGTCGTAAAGAGCTTTTATCGTAGTAACGGTGCCCATCTACCGGCAGGTCAGTTGGAGRCCTTTCTTTTTTGCCACCTGTTTTTCAAGCGAGCGGCAGATACAAAGTTTTTAGACAATGAATATAACACACTTAACAAACCCCTGACAGGGGCTCACCACTGCAAGYATTTTYCATGGCATACAGACTTGCATTAACCATAATGCCATTTTAGGAGTGATTGTCTCTTAGTCAATGTCCTAACTGTTCTCGTGATTATACATAAACACTTACTCGGCGGCAATCCACTTAAATGAAAAATACCCAACTGATAGATTCACTTGTTTTTTTGGCTATAGCTCTCGAATCATTTGATATATGCATCAGACAATTCAGCACGAATATGAACGTAAACATGTTGGATGGTCTGAGTTCAACAACCGTCGTGTTATTTCTTATCGAGAAYTGACTGCCACACAGAACTCTTGTATCTTTGTTTAACTAATGGAAACCTTACACCCGTAACTAACCGTACATTACCATGTTTGTCTTCATTATTGAACAATTTGTGTTTTTTCCAAGGATTGTTTACATACGTTCGAGTAATAGCTAGTTTGTGCTATCGTCTGCAATGTCCTGACACTTACTGGCAAATAAACAACAACTTTACTGAAGAAGAAAAGTTCTTATGCTCAAAATCGTTTGAAATTTATAGCTTAAGTACAAATACTRACTTCTTATTAAAAATGACTACTTTCAATAGCAAACAATCATATCAACAAAACTTGAATAAAAAACCCACGGATATMAGTCAWTACAACCAACAAATTCATCGCCATTCAGTCGGAGGAACGCCGCCGAAACTGTTTCCCTCTCTCATTCTGGATCTCTCTCCTTTTCTCTGATTTTTTTTCTTCGCGAGCTCAATATCTCAAAGACAAAACAACACAATATTGTTGCTCACTCTCGCCAACAACATATATCATATTAAAACAAATTGTCTTTAATGATTTGGTTTTATTCCGACATTGTTTTATGTTTACTAATAAATAAATAGTGGGCAGCTTTGCACGCCGTGAAAGCCACTTGGTCCCAAGTATCCGTCAATCGAGTACTTGATTGTACACCCAAGCTAACGTATGTTGAAAAAAATTCACAGCCAATGATCTTAGCGCCTTATGGTGCGTTTWGCTAGGAATGGTTGATAATACTTGACTTTGAATCGGTTGTATATCCAAGAAGTGGAGCTAGTATGTTGGGATTTGTTATTCCGACCCAGTTTAAGTAGTCTGTTTTCTGGCACTTGGTTAGTGTCATGAATATTAAACAAATGTGCTGCATAAAATGGGTAGTTTTATGTATAATTTCTATATATCTTATTGAACTTTCAGCATTGAATGGAACTAATTTGTCCCGAAGTGATGTTTAGCAACTTTCATTTATTGAACAAGTGGAAAATGCAGTTTTTGTAACTATCGAAAATATAGTCATGGCGGTAAAACGACTCAGATCTTAAAGTAAACACTCGACAGATCTTATACTTCCTTTTTACGAAACATTTCTTCAAACAGACGATTAAATGAACTACATGTAATCAGTTTTCACGCGATAAAAAGATAAAGATTGGAAAGAACAATTGATCCTATTATCCAGGTTTGAAGAGCAAGAAATAACATCCATCAGTAGAAAATTGACTGTAGTTTTTATGTCAGTAGTAAAAGAGGTTTATGATCGTCACAATCTGACGCTAAAATGGCCTAATAGTTTGGTCTTTTTAAGTTATTTATGAATAAGATAATGTTTGACTCGGAAAGAGTGAGGTGTAAATTTTTAAAACTGTTGGGATGGGCTAAACTTGCTGGACTCGGTGAAATACTGCAACCAAAAGATTTTTATCTTAAAAAATTTACCAAGTATTAATGACAGCCAAATAAACGAAGCATCTAGAAGAAATGTGTTCAAAATCAAAAAGTACAGTTAGAAAAAAAAAGGACTGACATTTATCTTGTATAATGATTTATAGAGAGATGGTTCGACGAATATTGGGAAATATTGACCATCTTAAAACGTAATTGAATTGCCCACAATTTCGGAAATCCCTGTCCAAAATTATCCGGCTGAATTTCAAGATGAAGCGACGAGTAAAGATTTTTTTTCTAAGAAATGCGATGGAGTGCCAAAGTGAATCCGCACCACATCATGAGTTTTATGAAATGCTTGATGTCAATGTGACAGCCATTGATTATAACAGAACAGATCAATATAATAGTACCTTTATACACGTCCACTGTACGAYGACACTCCCTTACTTTTAACTGAAACTAGTACTCGCAGTCCACGTTATATTACAAATCATGTTATCTGGTTGTCTGATGGCGGTTAGATAGACACATTAATCAACCCTTGGAGGCACACTCCGTGAAAGCGTTAGCCACTTTTTTGTTTCCCGGCAGTTTTGAGGATTAATACGTGTTGTTTTTTCGTGAGACAACGAAGTAATCTTAGTCGCATGACCAACTCTCAATACTTATAAGCGTCCTGCGCCATGTACAGTAAACACATACAAAAACACTTTGAAGGAATTTATAAAACAACCGTTGAAAAAGTCAACAGCTTGTTTAAAATTAGTTTCTAGCAACTGCCTTGAAATTTGGATCATATTTGATCCACGCACGTAGTTACAAATGGCTTCGTGATCTTACAARATCACCTCAACACAAAAGATGTATTTTTGTACGTGAGCTTTGTTCATCACTTCTATTTCTTTGTAGTTCACCATATAACTCCCGATTTGTCGTTCAGTGTTCCTCGAACCCTTAGGGCTGTTTTTCTTCAAAACAATTGTTAACTTTAAACTTCGGCTTTGCTACAAAAAGCCGATTTAAGAAAACCTTGCACAATTTTAGATACAAACCTTGGTTTGTTTATTAAATAAAAGAAAAAATGTTAAAAAATTTCTATGATCCGATGATATAGTTGCAATTTTATACCATTTTCTAAAAGCCATAGCAAAGATGTGCTTGAGGATATTTCTTGAAATATTACCTCTTAGAGTTCCAAAGTAAATCGAATTTCTGTTACCTAAAGCAAGTTATTGTTATTATTGTCAAATGTGAAAATCAATTACTTAGTGAGTAAGACCTTCAGACAGTCATCATCCACAAAAAAACATGAATATTTTTCGCTGCGTTTGTTGTTCTTCTTACCTGTTTTAATGCTGTGATTGTACGATCTCGATTCTGTTTTACGCAAATCTGCGGAGAATATGAGGTGTTAGTATTAGTAATACAGACACGTAATCCCAACATGCACTGATGATTCTACTCGCCCCGTCACGACAACAAGGATCATAATATCCTATATACCACCAGGTCATGAAAGGCTACACTTTMCTCTATTTAGACTGAGATTCTCTCTTTAAAATGTCGTTAATAAAATGCACTCTTTTAGTTTGGTATCAATAAGATGTATTTAATACCTATTACTATCTATCATGTCATGCGAATAAGAAAATTTCATTAACCACGGAAAGAAGATTTCTTTCATAATTGCTTTCATAATAAGTTAAGTAAGTCAATTGTCAAAAGATGTCGAAAGGCAGAGACAAGCAATGAACAGGTGCCTTGGGTATTTGATAGAGGAACTTCTCAAAGAGCCAATAATAGATTGCATAGAGAATCATCCATCTACATCGATTGCCTCCATAAATCTTGAATAGTGAGATATGGTAAAGGACAAATTAACAACCATTTGTCAATTGAAATAGATTGCTTCGTCAACACGTTTAAACACAGTTTTAAATGCTTTATTCATTCTGTACTCGAGAGCTATAGGAGCCATTTTGTTTCTACTTCACCTGCGATAAGCAAACATGACTTTGTTAGCGGAGCCAAACATGTAATATTGTCAGTTTTYATCTAGCATAAAAGATTTCGAAAACAGAGGATTAAAAGAACTGTCGTGTGACTGAGAATAGARAGGRCTCWGTAAAGGCAGAGTTTCAGATGTCAACAATACTTTATAGCCGACACATTGGTTTTAAGTCAAATCAATTTGATTGAAGGAGATTACGACAGAGCCTCATCTAAATAGAAGCCTTGAGCTAGGCAGCGTTAGAGAACATTAAATTGACAACTGGTAGCGTCCAACAAATTGCCAATCATAATGAGCCCTCAGTAGCTATTTCTTATTTTACTATTTTATACATGTTTTGTATAATTTTTCACTCTTTAAAATACTGCTATCATCTAGCTACCGGCTGTTCCCTATCGACTAGTCTGTTACATCTATCACAAACCTTTCCGGAAAAACAAATTACCAGCGGACCGCTATTTCATTCATTTGCTTCCATCATTGATTTACTCGATTTGCGTCGTTTCTGACTTTCAAACTTAATTTTTRAAATAAATAAATGTTGAGTTAAAGAACAATAATTTTAATATGAAGCGCCAGAATACTGTAAATTTAAGTGAGGCTATAAACCCCTAAGATGATTACTAAAACCCTTTGAATTGTTCAAACAACGGTCATGGGATCACTATGCCCCGCTCGACGGGTGAACAAAATGCAAGTTGTATTGATTTAAGTTCTTTTATTYTATTTCAATTAAGTTTGTTTTGACAGTTTCAATGATGTCTGTATATGCATAAACCGTCAAGCGATGGTCTTTTGTTGCAATAGATGAGGAATCGCCGTTCTATGTTTCAAAAATCACCAAAAAAAACATCTACAATCGCGCGCTACTGGAATCTGTTATTTTAAACAAGTCCTCTCTATAATAGTCTGTGACAGTCGAGCTCATATGGAAACATGACCTTACAAACGAGTTTATTAATCTATCAACAAAGTATCAACCAATTAATAATAAATGCCTTTTAACACTTAAGTACTCATGGAAAGAGTAACACTGGTTTCCAGGGGATTTGTTAGGCAGGCGAGACCCGCCGCTTATGTTTTCTAAATACAAGTAATGCATGTCTTAAAATATGTTTTATAAATGAAGAACAAAAGAAGATTGTTGTTAGTAAAACAGCAATAAAATAAAACAATGTTTGGAATAGAAGAAAACATGGCATCAGATTTTGGCAAAACAAATCTGACGGCACGTTTAGCTATAATCTTGATCAACACACACACACAGACGATATCGGCGAAGACGACAAAGAAATCAGTAAAACTCACTGATGACTTACCGAGCGATTTGCATCAAACCCTTGGAGCATTCCTTGTCGAACCAACAATTCATGATTTACTTTTTGAAGTAATACGAATTGTGTCCGTACTGTACTATGTGCTTTACTTTTCAAAACAGTTTCAACACGTTGATAATGAAAGAAGTAATAGTCAAGATGAATTCCTGGTACCCGTATCACGGTACATGAACACAACCTTTAGCAACCGCTACTTTCAAGGGTGGAGGCCCTACTATTGATCACGCTCTTTGAAGGCGATTTCGAGAATTTTCCGTTTTTTTTTATCTCATTTAGTATGCATGTTTTTTTGGTGAAGATTTAGCTCAAACACCAGCCTATAGTCACAAACACCAAAAACACTTCTTGTATRATCACAAGTGAAAAAATAGATACAAATACTTTAAAAATGTTGCATTGAATCTATTTAGTTTAGTCTCTACTTACCTGGCACCCTCTCAGTCATCAACCTCGCTGATTGAAAGCTTCGGAGACTAAATCAAAGTAGAATGCCGTCCAATGACAGTAGTCTTTGTGTAATATATTTTCCACGTGGTTTTTCTTTCTCACAATCGAACAACCCTTCTAGTGCAAAACGGTGACAGCGAATTTGGGTATTAGAGCTTGTTCTAGTTGGAAATGTTGATTCTATGAGTTGGTAAGAAAGGACTTATTGATCGGTTATTTACATCGTGTTATATATTACTATTGACTCAGGCGGGAAATCTGCACCACCGCTTTCTTGTGATAACACACAATTGTTTACCGAATAAAAATATTACAACATTTGTCAACTAAATAGTTCAGCTGGATTGATCCAGGTCTAGAAAGCAGTATGTTTTGTACTAGTGGACAAGGTACCTTGGTTTTATCAAAACCTACGTACATCCAAATCGTCATTAAAAATGAATTGTGTGAACGCCACGGTTGAAGCCGGCTATTGTCGCTTTCTTTTAATTTCCTATAAATGAGCTATTAAAATAAAGACGTCTAAAGTTAAGGGATCAAACAATTAATTTTGTTTCCGAATTGTTTCTACAATAATTCAATCCTTGATAGTTCCTATTGTCATTTTTGACATGGGTTAAGTATTGTACGATCGATAGCTGGCCGTTTTGTTCCAAATGTCATATTATCTTTTATTTAAAAATGTCGGAAAACTTTAACTTTTCTATCGAATGTTTGAACTTCTGGTGGATTTTGTGATGATGTATTTGGCCAGTCAACAGTCATAAACATAGCTCGTTATCAATTTGAAAACGAGGGCTTTGTGAGATAATGCAGGCTGGAAATTTTCGGGCTTTTTGAACTGTGTTTAAGTCTATTGGCTGCTATTTGAGGTACTTTTGGCTCTTCTTAATAGTTACTTTCAACATGCTAATTAAGTTTCAAAACAAAATATAACAACAACACAATGAAATCCACTGGCAAATATTGCTCTATACATAGTAATGTTAAAAACATGATAGTCAATCTAAAACGAGGTCCATAAAAACGACTCATGCAAAGCAACCTGAAATACTTCATTAAACTCATATTCTAAAATACTTTTAAAATGTAATTCTATTCAAAGAGATACCTGTTCGTTTGATCCATTTTGTTTTATAAGTGGAATTGGTAGCCACATTGTATTATCTTTCAGCACTACTTTTCTGAAAAAGGCTTTACATATTAATTCCTTTGTTTTTCAAAATATAAACTGATATAATTCAAAAAAAGTATTTCAAAAAATGAGTATCTCTTCGTGGGGAAAATGTAAGAGAAACCTATGTGTTTAGTTGTCATCTTGTTATAGAAATATTTGCTTTTTTCCTTTCTTTTGTAAACGTCGATTGAATATCGATATTTTGTGGACTTGGTTTTAGTATAAACAGTTTTTAGGATTGTAATATCTGCTTAAGCCATCTAAATTATAAACAAACACTGCTATTTTACACCGGGAAGAAAAATTGTTTTGACCATAACATTAAACAACGATCTTTATCGACTTAGGCCAATTACCATTGAAAAAGGTTGGGCTTTATAAGGCCTTCAAGGTCAGTACATACAAGAATCAGTTAAGAACCCAATGAAGTGCCATGAATGGTTTTATTAGAAGACCTTGTTTTCTTGTGTATCACACTAATATGATTGTAATATAGTATCTTTTCCGACCAGCTTTAGATGATTATCGACGACTTCTCTCATCCAAGAGCTGGTTAATTCGAGACTGTTTGTAATATTAAAATGGTGGGTTGACTGATTTACTGCAATGCAGCTGAGAAATATAACCACATTGAAGTATCGAGCTCTATTATTAATAAATAACTTTCCAACAGACACATTATCAAGGTTTCTGTAAAAAAGAATCTTTATCCCGCGGCGGAGTTGCCACTGGTATAGCTGTAGACTCAGCTGTTTTATCATAGAGTTGACGGTTTATGTCCATCTAGAAATYATACTACTGTTTCATACACACGCTAGTATATTGTGTCTTTTAATGTTGATTCAGCTAAAACACTGGGTAACACTTTCATTATTATATCTAATAACTCATAAATTAACGAAAATATATTACAGTTTTTGTTGTATAAAAGGTAATCAGGTTGTTGGACTATATTCCAAATTTGTTTTTCTAATAACAACTTGTAAACGAAAAGAACACGTATGAACAAAGTGTTACACAGCCCCCTTACCAATGAATATTCACGCTGTTCAAGAGTGGGCATTATGTCGCATTATTCTGATTATTGAATTTGCTTATTTAATCATGTTTCATTTTATTCATTTGTCTCATTCTCTTTTCGCTCTTTTCTTTTCTTGTTTTATTCCTTCCGATGCAATTTCCATTTTTGATTTGAAATGGTGTCACCTTTAAGCAGAAAATACACTTTTTACACRAGCTGCAGTCAAGTTTAATATCAATCGCACTACCTTATAATATACTTACAGCCAGGCTTATTAGGAAGCTGTATATTGAATGGAWAGCATTTGTCAAATTATAAGCCTCGGAAGAACAAGTCGAGGACAGATTTCAATATAATTGGCTCAAAATGTGCAATAAAGTGAGTCCTCAAAGCCTGCCAGCCCAAGAAGCATAACAGTCGATTACAGCTACGTGAAGTTCATAAACTTCAGTGACATAAACTTCAGGTCAAAAAAGTCAAAACGTCAGGACAAAATATTCTTTAGCGTTCATACAATATGACAATTTCATTGCAATTGAAAAAGAACAACACTAACAATATTACAGAAGGAGAATAAAATAGAATTATTACAATTATTATGATAATAATGAATAATGTCAATGATGCTTGTCGCTACTAACAGAAGATTCATCTAAAGTACAATGTGATTGGAGGAAAACTGACCATTCAGAGTTCTCAACGTCAGATTACGCTCTAGTTTACCAATCAGCGTATTGCTTGGGGTAATTGAAACAGAAAAGASCAATCAAACACACAAGTACCTCATCCGATATTTTACTTGATCTCACTGCATCAATTGGTTTTTAATATTTTCTCTGTCTTATCGGCGGTCTGATTAATAGCGTTTAGTAAATGGTTTAGTAAATGGAGCGTCACATTAGGTCATTGTTGCTGTCATTTTATCTCATTTATTTTCATTATGGCTGGTGGTTTGTATGTTATTGATACTAACAGCTGTTTACACATACATAGAAACCATCAAATAATTTAGTATTATTTGCTTGCTTGATCAACAAAAAACCTCTATGAGAAATAGGACTGATCGAACTTCTTGTGCTAATGACGAACCTTTAGTGATGTTTATGACTGCATCAATCAAAGACAGATAAAGAAATCCGTTTTCAAAATGTTTAACGGGACATATCGTGAAGATATTGGGCAGTTTTTGTCAAATTAGGTCATTATTGAGCAAATCCTACATTACCATTGCAATTGGTTGTCTTGTGAGATCCTTGCATAATTAATCATATCGATAAACTWCATTTACTAACAGCAAATGGTGCGTAGCGATAAAAAGGAGGGCTGCGTATATTTAGCAAGTGCATATCATCTCACATCGCCTATTCATTATCATGTCCTAAAATTATCTTAAAGTTATAGAACTTCTTTTCAACAACTATATGTGGAAACAAAAACAGCCTTACTACTTTATAAGTATCCTGAATTCAAACCTGAGTTCATTTATTAAACTTTTTGTAAAGTAATTACACTGAGATCTCAAAGTCTGAAGAACATTGAACAACACTGATGGKGTGGGCTGCGACGGTATACTAAAAGGCTTTAAAAAGGGTTATGTAGTACAGCACAATAAAATCGGCAGCAACACAAAAGCCGAATGTTTTGAATGGCACGAGAACTGAGTATAGAATGTGCAAAGTTTATGAAAAGTAACACAAGAAGAAAGCCGTGATGTGTTGATAATATCACGTCCATGAGGAAAACACGAATATTGGTGCCGTTAATTGGCCAAAAATGTACCCTATCAACTGATKAAAGAGGTTTAGTTGTCATGGTAAAAGCAGCTCTTTGAGTAAAATGTTACCATATGTTATTTTAGTTCATCTTGATCGTGCCTGGATATATAAACTAGTAAAAAGTGTTAGAATTGTCTTACCGTGTGCTAGTTGATTGCTGGTGTAACAAGTAGACGACTTGCAAGCCATTAACCCTTTTAAGCGCCACCCTTAGTTATTATGCAAATTTACAGAGAGCTTCGCTTTGACAGAGCGATATTAAAAGAACAGAACCCGGATTGAGTTAACATCAAAAAGGTAAACAATAATCAAGATAAACAAAGCCTGGTTCAGTTTAGAAGCCATTTTCAAAGCGTTCACTGAATGTACTTTGATGATCAAATTAAGACACTTTTAATTGCTTGACATATCAAATTAAACAAAGAGTATAAGACGTAGAAAAACTATATAAGGGTACCAACAGGTATTACAGAACAATGTTTTAGGATCGGCTTTTGCAACTGATTTCCAAATTTCTGTTATTGTAGTTATCTCAAGCAAATACCCAAACATTATTTTACGTTTCTGTCAGAAATACTAACACAATACTTTCATTATTCTAAAGAACGGCCATCTCTCCTGGAGGGTGACAAAACACATAAATGGATATTTGTTTAACTGACGAAAAGAGTTTTGTTCAATTACTATATCCCAGGTAACTGTACTCTAGACAAAAACACAGACAACAGCAATTTTCGCGCAAAGATTTTTGTTTCCGTACAAAATCTGAGCGGCATGAAGACCGCGGGCTAGTCAGTCGAATCCATTGCAACCAAAATAGGGTTGGAAATAATACTAGAGTACATGTTACAGTATCCTATGTACTGTATTCARAAGCTAATCGAGTAGTGCAACACGGTCACCACCTGCTCGATTTTTAAATTAGTTGAGGCAAGTTCTATTCTCATATTAAAATAAGTAAAAAATCTGGATCCCGTTT